CGTGATGTCGACCTTGTCGATGTCAACACCCCCGATGGCTGGGCATATTAACGCGATTAAGGCTGAGAATTCCGACGTTGGCCTTGTCGATGTGCCACCAACGACTGTTGGGGCTATAAAGGCATGCTGTCATTAGATAATCAGGATGACTCGGAAATCTGGCAGGTTAGGATACACTCTAGGAATAGCATCTACAGCTTTCTGTCAGCTCCTTCTAGTCTAGAAAGTACTTGTAATTGATTAAAATGGCAGTATGGATTTGCTAATAGAAGTAAGAAAGTTATAGATTATACGAATAAAACCACGCGGCAAGGTCCGGCAAGGGCCATGTTCCAGAAGTCCCCGATTTTATCGGCATAGCGCTTTAACCATATATATCGTTGAATACTCAATCTCCAAGCTGAATATGCTATAGCTCAAACCTTCGTTTCTAAGCTTCCTAACAGGGTAAAACTTGTGATTTAAGTTTGAAAGCCAACGATCCTGCGTCTCTAACCGCTGTGGGCCAACAACTTGCAGTAAGGTACCAGCCCCGGTAATAATCGGCAGTAGTGAGAGCTTAGAGCGGTCTAGGTTGGGCTACTGTACTCCGTACGGAGTAATCGTAACGAGCACAGGAGTTTTTAATATAATTATGGGGTAATTCTCCAGCATTGGACTGATTACCTACCACGTCATCAAAACCAACGCGACGTACTCGCTAAACTACTCTGCACATACAGTATCTTGGAAGCTGGGGGTCGCATTGGCATGGACCGGTAGGTTAAAGAGACGTCCAATATGTACCGAAATCAGCCAATAACCAATCAATATTTCAACCAACCAAAAAATCTACCAAACCAACAAAACTAAGGCGTTCAGTAAATCTGACAGAGTGTTACGCTGCACCTCAGGCCCATATTAGTGCTTACCACATTATTGTGTTGGTATCTGTGGGTAGTGAGCGATTACGGTAGTGACCATATATCGGGTGTCGGCATATATGCACATGAGGACAAGTGCAGCGCAGAGAATGGTTGATGGGTCACATAATAATACGTGCTTGCGCTAGAATATTAGTGATTGATAAGCTGGAAGCTTGTCTTATAGTCTAGCTAGGCGGTTTAAGCAGCTCATGTACAAAGTAGAATCTAGACTCTCGGCTCACTTGGATTAACAATTTGTCTAGAAAATCTTGATGGTTAGTCAATCGATTATTGTAAAGCCGATTGGCTCAATATATTCTAGTACATAATATCTTTCTAAAAATGCTGCTTCCATACAGCACTGAGCGCTGTGAACAGTTTCTTGCCCACAGAGGACTTCCATGAGTTAAAAGGCCGATATCCTGCGTAATACATGCCCCTAGGCGTGCGGTGTTCGTAATACTTGTATATATAATTATATTAATGAAATTGGTCAGTAATTCACACACTGATCAGCTCCGAAGTCATCCACTTTATAAACTCCTCTTTTTCCCGCGGTATGAAAGCATTGTATAGGTAAACTGAGAGTTGTTTCGTCGGGCCAAAGGATGACATGATAGCCTTTAATTGCAGTGCGTTCTATACAGAGAGAAAAGTCAAGTCAACGATCCTTTAATCATTTTCATGCACCCTTCAAAATGTCATGAAGAGAAAGATGCAATGTGTGCGATCAAATTACTGGTCTATAAAAACCCTGACCTACACACATCGATGTTACAACCAGCAACACAGATTTTCTTCAAACACTGTGGGTTGGGGGACCAACAATATCCAAAAGATAATACATTAGAAAGGTCAATAGTATTGACATCTTTATCAGACATTACTCTTGATTCCATAGCGAGATAGACTTTGATTATAGACTTTGAAACAGTCGATGCCTTGGGCATTTACGAACCAATGAATAATATTTCAATAGCTCGAACGTCCTACGTCAATGCCTAGCTAGCATAGCATTGAATTTTTTTTTAAGGTGAGTTTGATACCGCACTGCATGAAATAGGTATGTCGAGGTAGAATACTCTTCTCTCTGGTCTTATAAATTCTCGCCCACGTACAATTCTATGCTACCAGGCTACAGGCAGCCGAGCTACGTGACCAAATCATGTTGAAGAATTAATCTCAAGTGGCCATATGACGAGCTATTTTCACAAGATGCAAGTAATGGATTTGTTTACATCCTCACGTATTAATAGAATACCAGGAGCTATAGCTTAAAGTCTATACAACGCCGGTTCATTTATAAAGAACTATAGCTTATGACCTCCTGGCTGCAATCGCGAAAACACACCAGCAGAGTCGTACTTCTTTTGAATCTCTCTCAGCTTCTGCCGGCTCTCTGCTCCATATCCCGCGTAGACATCTGTTTCGCCATTGGCATAGTTCTTGAACACAAAGGGATGGTACAAGCCCATCTCCTGAGCCAGTGCTTTCGCTCGAGACATAACATTTTGCGCGGCGTTCCTCATCCTGGCATCGTCCATGGGGTCCGTGTATGTAACTGTGATGCTGAATACTAGATATCTAATCAGTATGTCTCAAAATAGAACAGTATTTATAATTAGACGTACGGAACAACGGTCCATCTTCCGATTTAATTCCCATTGGATTTCCCCCATCCTTTTCGGATAACGCAATGTGACGTTTAGTGATCAGCTGGTTATTAGTTGCTGGCTGGCAGTTTGGTATATTTTTGATCTCGTGGGTTTCTTCCAGGAATATGTCCCATAACTTTGAGATCAATTCTGCGTCCACTTTGAAAGTCAATGTGTCCCAATAGGTCCTAGGTTTCATTTCGTTAGCCCCTCTCTGTCGCCTACTCGATGGGATAGCAAAGTAGAAGTTGCAATAATACCTACCGATAACCCGAGAGGGTAAACGCATCTAGCTCTTTGACCAAGTCTGTCAATGTCCTGAGTTTCGTCGTAGAGAAAAAGGTGTTCATTGATGTCATGTTTTCAAATGCAGGTGGCTCGGCAACTGGCGCGAGATAAGCATGGCTACCTCCTGCTCCCATCATTCGAAGTTGTGGAAACCAAGCGAAGAAAGTGTACATGTGGGCATTGGTATCTGGCTGCTCGGCCATCCTCACAAAATGGTTTATGAAATCTCTGGAGTGGACGCATTTTCCGATAAAGCACAACCCTTGACGGAGCACTCTACCCATGTTGTTGGATGCTGACCGCAGCGTCCAGTCAAATGGCTCTCTGAGATTCAACGCACTCTGGCGCGAGGCAAGGTCTGACAATGCGACTAATTCAGTGCCTCCCCAGACCAAGTCTAATGGGTGTGTCTGCAAGTCGAAACGAGTCACAATGCCAAAATTGCTGCCGCCGCCTCGGAGCGCCCAGAACAGATCTGAATTGGTATCGGCATTTGCATTGACAATAGCACCGTCTGCCAAAACAACCTCAAAGTTTCGCACATTGTCTACAGCCCAGCCGTACTTTTGACTATACAACGACAATCCCCCTGTGCAAAAACTGTCAGGAGCTGAGATAATGCAAAGAATAGACTTCAATTACCTCCAAGCAGAAACCCGCCAACCCCGACTGATGCTATGCGGCCACCGGCAACGGCCAGTTTGTGCTCTTGCAGGACCGAATAGACATCTATCCATCTATTTCCCGAGCCAACAGACGCTATAGACTTATCTTCGGAAATATGGACACTATTCAAGTTCCGCAGATCGAACACGAGCCCATTTTGAATGTTTGAAGCGCCCGCATAAGCTGCGTGGCCGCCGCTTTTCACAGCGAATGGGCATTCCTGGTCCTTGACAGTGATTATTGCCTTGGCTATCTGTTCGGCCGTTTCGGGTGCAGCAATGCATAGAGGGTGTAGTTCTTGCTGCTGTGTACTATAATAACTTGTGCTAGAACCTTCGGGAGGTATGCCGCGGTGCACGTTCTGCTGTCCGATTGCCTGTTGTATCAAAGCGCACTATTCTCCTCGAACGCCCGTCCCAATTGTTACTCTAAACAGAAAATAGAACCTGTGACTGAGTAGGAAATTAGTCAGGCTTACGGCTCTGTCACAATTGAGTGTCGAACTGTTGACCGCAGCATAGATTGTCTGCTGCTCTAGCCAAATCGGCGATTGCTCCTGTCCAGCGACACGAGTACTGATCAATATAACTGGTATAAGAAGCCTGCGCACCCAGGACATGGACAACGGCATTGTGAGAGCGATTCGCGTCAAATGCACATTCTCAAGGTATCACGAACAGTGAACGAGTGTGCGTTCCTGTATTAATTTATTTATGCCAACTCCGGCGATTCATCCCCCTAACTTTTTCAGCCCTTCAGCTGTCAAATTATAAGTTCAGCTACTGCTTTATGGCGTTTAATTGCCAACATCAGCTACATAGTGATTGGCCTTTGGAGATTTAACCTTTGCCGTGGTTTTGGCCAGTCTTTCCCTTTCAGGCAAGATCAGGTCGCTTAATTCCTTACACTAGACTAGCCTCTCCTGAGTTCTAAGATTTCTTTGACTCATTGCCAGTTATGTTAGTTGTTTGGAGACTTTCTCTCTAGCCCATGATACATTGTGCCTGCAAATAGAGAATCCTCTGAATTCCGAATATTTGGTAATGTGGAATGAACTACCATGGGAGGGTGTAGCGGTACTTGGTTTGTGCGTAGTGCCGCCTAACTTCTACCACGCCGCGGGGATCGCACAACACGCAGGTTCTAATGGAGCGAATGAAGGGGGCCATCGTAAAGATCAAAGCAGCAACAAAAATTGTAAAACTTGCTTTTGAAACATGGGCTACTTCCAACAGAGTCGATGGGGTATATCTTCAAAGTAGGAGATTGTGACGGTGCTCATGCAGAGTAATAGCATCGATCCTAACCATGTGGGTGACACCACTCGCACATGTCATCGAATCTCGAGTACATGTATAAAACGTCGATCTACGGTCAACTTTGCATATCGATGTGCTACCTAACCTCGGTTGTCTTAAATATCGCCAGCGACAACTTTTTCATGATGCTTTGGAGACGAAGCATGCGGAGCTACCGGCCACATACAGACGGGCTACCGGACTGCGCCTGAACCCGACACGACACGATAGAGATAATACAGCGAAGGAAAGAATGCCACATGCCAACTATTCGGAAGGGCCGGGTTGTATCTCGCACTCAAGCTGGCAAGGAAGACGATCAGCGAGGGCGGAGGATTGCACGCGGGGTATTGTTCTACCGCAGGCCGGAATAATGGCCGAGCGCAGGGCTAGCCCTAATGCCTGCGTCGTTGAGTTGTGCTTTGCACGCTGAAATTTCTGAGCGATCCGCGGCCCGAAGTTCTTGTAGCATAATGGATATTAAATAGCACGCCTTGCATTGGTTCCCTTGCCCTCCTTCTGGCCCCACGGCTAAGCGTTTTTCCTAGCTCATCCAACTGGATATGGACCTCTCCCCCGGCACGGGTCGGTAGGATGCCACCCCAGGAATGCTCACCGAAGGTGGGAACAGTTTGCCTTGGAGATGTTGGTTTTGTGGGGAGGATGAGAGAAGCCTAGGGGAAACGCTCACCCGGCTGATGTTGCGGGAGGTCCCCAGTTCACCGAGCGCTCGAACGCATCGTAGCCTCGCTATTCCCTCACAATGCCCCAGATGCCCGTCGTGGCCATCCCCAGGGAACTGTGGGGAGGCCTGCCTGGAGGTGACAAACCCCGAATTTTCCGCGTATGCTTTTTAGAAGCCGTCCCCGCGTGTTGCACACTTCTCCTTCCTCAACTGAGACTCATCCACGGCTCTATTGCCCTGGTCTTTCCTTCCGTCTCCTGCTGCAGTAATGGGTCTTCTTCAACTGGTTGAGGACCGTCCGACGCCAACGGCTGTCTACAACTGGCGAATCTACGTACTCGCTCTTATTGCATCATGCGGCTCCAACATGATCGGGTACACATCAGCCTTTATTGGCACAACCATCACATTGACCTCGTTTGAGACGGAGTTTGGCTTTGAAAATATGACCGAGGAGCAGGTGTCGATGATAAGTGAGAACATTGTGTCTCTGTTCATTGCCGGCGCCTTCTTCGGGGCGATCCTGACCTATGCGCTCGGCCACTTTCTGGGCCGTAAATGGAGTTTGGTAATTGCCTCTGCCATCTTCACTCTAGGAGCTGGTCTCCAGCTGGGTGCAACATCTTCTACCGGGCTTGGCATCATGTATGCCGGACGCGTCTTTTCGGGGTTGGGAACTGGCGTTGCGTCCAACATCATTCCCATTTATATTTCCGAGCTATCACCTCCAGCCATCCGCGGACGTCTGGTTGGGTTCTATGAATTGGGCTGGCAGGTGGGCGGCCTTGTCGGCTTTTGGATCAACGTATGTCTCTGAAATCCCACATTGGCGACTATATCTAACGCGGCTGGTCTCGGTGAACTACAGTACGGTGTCGAACTACATATGGCCCCGTCGCGTCAGCAATGGATCATCCCCTTTTCCATCCAAATCATTCCTTCAGGGATGCTATTCTTCGGCGCTTTGTGGATAAGAGAATCCCCGCGCTGGCTCTTTCTCAGGGGTCGTCGAGCCCAAGCAATGAATAATCTTTGTTGGATTCGTCAACTAGATGAAAGTGATATTTATATCAAGGAGGAAGTGGCGGCCATCGATCAGACTCTAGAGGAGCAGATTGCTACCATTGGCCTTGGTTTCTGGGCACCCTTCCAGGCCGTTTCTAAACGCAAGTCCGTACTCTACCGACTCTTCTTGGGATGCATGCTCTTCTTGTGGCAGAACGGCTCCGGCATCAACGCAATCAACTACTACAGCCCCACGATCTTTTCCAGTATCGGCGTATCCGAATCTGATATAGGCTGGATGACGGGCATCTTCGGTGTCGTCAAGGCCGTCATGACTATTTTCTGGCTCCTCTTCTTGGTGGACCAACTAGGAAGACGGAATCTCCTGCTCGGTGGCGCACTCATGGGATCGGCCTGCATGTGGATAATTGGAGCCTATGTTTGTGTCGCCCGCCCCGACTTACATCCAGCCAGTCATGTCAACGGAGCAGGCATTGCGGCTATTTTCTTCTTCTATTTCTGGACGGTATGCACACTGACTCCCTATGATGACCGTTTCGTGGGACTGACGGAATAGGCTGTGTACACCCCGACCTGGAATGGAACTCCATGGGTTATTAACTCGGTAAATTCTCTTCCCCGGCTATGTGATCAAATGACTGTATTGACTGTGTGTAAGGAATTTTTTGACCCCAACCTCCGATCGCTCGCCCAAGCCGTGACAACATCCAGCAACTGGCTGTTTAACTTCCTTGTCTCCCGCTTCACGAAGCAAATGTTTGCTAAGATGAACTATGGGGTCTACTTCTTTTTCGCATCCTTGTCATTCCTAGCCTTCTTCTTCGCCTTCTTCTTCATCCCTGAGACAGGCGGTATTCCCCTCGAGGCCACTGAGCGCTTATTTGAGATCAAGCCTGTATGGAAAGCCCACGCGAAACTCAAGGCTCAATTGAAAGAAGATGAGATGCAATTCCGCTCTGAAATCAAGGACGGTGTTTTTGGGAAAGAGGAGAACGAGGCGCATGCACACGTAGAGAATCCCGCGGAGAATTCGGCATCTTGACGAGCGTGTTCGGTAGAGTTTATTTCTTTCTTTTTTTTTACTTCTTTCTATTTTTTATTTTATTTGATGAAACACCCCTGTTTTACATATGACTGGAGAATTGGATACATATATGTATATATGAGTATGGAGTCTTGATAGATACGATTATAGAATGTTTATAGAATACATCTCTTTGAAAGACTTGCCGAGGATAGAAGATCCTGGTTATTCGCAGTTCGCGGCCGTAATGCCTTTTATGATTTGTAAGAATATGTAAATAGGACAGTGAACATAAAAGAAAGAAAGAAAAACACATTCCTGCCTCATACCTAATAACACGCCGTTCTAGCTCGAGACGTTGAGGAAACCCACAGGTATCGCCGAACACATCATCGAGAGCAGAAGCTGCGTTTTACCACCCTACTCCTAGGTAGTATAAATAATAATCTAACGTATTGCTGGCCTGTGTATCCTGATACATGAGCTCAACGAGACGGGCATGTTTCTAGAGATGAAAGTTTCATATATCTCCGCCCACTGAATCTATCCAACAATCCAGTCTATAATTGCAGCGCTCGATTTGCAGTCAATGTAATCCTTGAAGAAATGAGGAGCGTCTGGTTATTCTATTTGAGACTATATATTGTAGAAAAGAAAGTACTACGTCATGTAGTGATAAAGTCGTTCAGGATCAAAACTTTGAGACTTGCTAGCCCTTGATACTTTTAAAGGCAAGCTTCGAAATATATTGCATGTTATGATGATTATTTTAAAGTATGGGGTATATTTAATCTTTCATACTCCGTCTCCCGTCCTCTGCTCATATATGCGGTCTATTCGTGCTCTCCACATAGGCCAAGTATCGCCCGTTCAATTATCAAGATGAAGTTTCAGTCAAGTCCAGGTTGCCGACGCTGCACCAATTCTTGATGGGCTGGGAAAAAAGAAGAATTCGAAGTTAGCAGGAGTGCATGCATTTATAGCGTTATCAAGAACAATGAAACATACCAAGCAACTTAGTCGGTAGCACCACGAGCAATTCGACTTTGGATATTTGTAGAAATCTGTCAACAGCAGGATAAATCCAATGATAACTGCCACGAGGGCTCCAGCTCGAACTAGCCACCAGGCCCACCAAAGTGGCTTCCTTCCTTGAAAGAAATTCAGAACACGACGGGCTGATTTTGAGCGGCGTGGTTTGCTATTGTCATCAAGAGTATTGTTAACATTGTTGATGCCGTCTTGGTTACCATTATCTTCAGGAGAAGGTCCGGCACCGCCGCTCATAACCACGTACGGCCTGCGCTGTAGACCAATTCGTTCGCGAATGTAATTTGGGGACCGCATCATACAGAGACCCATGGCCAGGCCCATAATGAAGCCACCAATGTGCGAGAAATTGTCGAGACCCGGCAGAAGTCCCAACACGAAAGATACGGCAATTTCAATTACAAGGAAGATCAAGTCAACCCAAGGACTCCGACGCTCTCTCCAAGTATAGAGCAGATCGAGAAGGTTCAGCGCGACTAATCCAAACAAACTCCCTGAAGCACCAGTCGATGAGATGCCCTGCGCGGCATAGTTTCCACCCATTACGAATCCAAAAATCCCGCTTGCGAAGTAGACCAATGCATAACGCCACCATCCAATCATTCTCTCCATTTCGGCTCCGACGGTCATCTGCATCAGCATGTTGAAACCGATGTGAATGATTCCAGCGTGCAAAAACATTGGTATTATGAAGCGAAACCACTGGTCCGGCTCTGGTTGATCACTCAACGAGCCGTGTGGCTTGGGATTAGGCACACCGCCAAAACCGCATAGTTCAGACAGAGTGCAGTGGTTGCTGGAAGCGCTGGAATCCGATGTGGTCGTGTTGGGACACGGCCAATTGATCGTTGTATTTGCATCCTGGACCCCAGGAATATTCTTCATGCACGAGACAAACCGGGAACCCATATTGATCTGCACATAAGCAGAAGGTCCGACCATGGGGTTGAAGCTCGGATGGATTTCAATGGGACTTCCTGTGAGTTGTGCTTCAGAGAAACCAATTAGTCGGATACACTCAAGGGCTGTTGGTACCGCTATAAGCCTACCACTGTATATTAACTCTCCAATAAAGACACCGATGTCAACAGCGGTTAACAACCATGTCACCCATGGTATCTTGGTGCCGAAATAACCTTGCTTTTTAGGGCGTCGTCGTTTTCGTCTTGAGCCCATCACCGGATCCATTGGCATCCCTGCATCATAATGGGTATTCTCGTTCACCCAGCGGGAATCTCGGGCTTGAGCCGCTTGGGCATTTGGTTTTAATGGAATGTCTTCTCCGTACTGGTCAGCTGGATGATTTCTGCCGCCCACAAACCCATTATCGTCGGCCAAGGAATTCTGACTATATTGAGGTTGGTGACTGTAGTCCTCGTATTGTGGACTATAGGGGCTTTGCTGCGCGGCGGAGGAAAAGGGATGTAGTTGCGGTGAATTCTCTGGCGCTTGATGGTAGTAGTCGCTGTCATGGTAGGAAGGGGGTTGACTGTGGGTAGTCTGTGGTCGAAAGCCGTTGTAGTAATCGTTGGCCGTCATACTCGCTCTTCGTCTTCCGAACAAAGCAGGAGGGAAAAGATGGGATAAGAAGTGAAGACTAAGATGGAAGCTTTGTCATTGATTATTGCAAAATCGTCCACGAAAGCATCGATTGTTAGGGGTCGAGCGGTTCGTTTCGGGACTCCAAAAAAAAGACTGGGTGCAAGCCGCAGCACAGAGAGAGGCAGCGTGATGAATAAAACAACGGACCAAGGCGTAGTCGAAGAAAAGAAGTGGTGATGATGGAGTGGTGAGATGGTGAGGTGAGACAGCGCAGGTATATTTTTAGTTAAGGAACGAGGCGGCGCGTCCCTGACCCAAACAGCGACTAGTGCGGATCCACCGCTCAGCCCCATGATTCGTCAGTGGTCTTGGCAGGATGTATACTCTACAGAGTATCCTCGTATGGTGAGCGTATACAATAGCATGAGATATAAGCAATGTTCAAGGCTGTAGTACGTGTGGACCAAACAAACAACGAATTGAAAGGATATAATGGCATAGAACAGAAACAAAGCTACTGCCACAGTACGGTACGCCGGCTTATATAATGGTCTTGGCGGCACGTGATGGATCTACTACTTGCTTTAGTTGCTGTACAGTTAGTTAGTTCACTACTCCTCACCACGCCCATGCAACTTCTCGATATATTTCTCGTCGAAAATGGCTCTCTCGCAGCCAGCCACCTTAGGCTTTCTCGGCTTGCCTGTTGAGATTCGCATTAATATCTATAAAAGTCTGCTCGTCACCCAGCACACTCTCTATATCTTCCAAGACCCAGGATGTCGAATAGAGACTTTTGCACCCCAAACCCCCCGTCAATGGCTTGCACTATTGTACATCAATCGGCAAATAATGAATGAGGCCAGCGCGGTTCTCTATGGTATGAACCACTTTACTCTCATGGAAACAACACAGCACCTCCTTGAATCCTTTCTAAGCTGCATCGGACCTGTAAACGCGGCCTCACTATCCCATCTATGCATCAATTTCCCCGCTCCAGAAAGCATAGCAAACCAACCAGCAAGAATCAGATTAAGCGAACAAAGCCTACGGAACCTACGGCTTCTTCAAGCACAATGCACGAATCTCAGGACACTGGAGACTGTTATAAATAATCAAAATTTTGGCAGCCTGCTTAGGGACAAGGATAATATTCAATTTATCCGACCAGCATTTTTGGAGATTAACATGCAGCTCAGGCATATTATGTCGCTGCAAAGGATTCTTGTCAGGGTCTACAGCGGTTCTTTAGACCCCTCAGCAAGAGAATTGATGCAAGAGCTTGGATGGATTGTCGTCCTTGGTAATAGATAGATAGCAGCTCAGGTGGTCTCCGTTACTTAGAACACTTCCGAGCTGCCCAATCGACGCTCTTCCGCGTGAGGGGTTGTTTGTCGCGAGCGGCTACCTGCATGATTCTTCAATGTGTATGCGTGCATTGTTTTCATTTTCTTCCTCCTTAAAAAGTAGAGTCCCGTCCCCGCTTCTTTTTGGGGCATTTTCTGAATGAGTTATTCGTAAGAACTTTTTACTATGCCTTCTTCAACAGCAGAAAATGGGGGCTTCCGGCACAAATGGCGCCAACGACTAGGTCGGTTTAGACACAGCACTTGCCTACCCCAAACCGCCCAAGAAGACCCAATTCCCGAAACGAAGTAAGCAATTGCATCTTAATGGTCAAGCAGTGCTGATTTTGCAAGCAGTTCCGCTTCAATCCCTCTGTATGCAACACCCACTGCCAACCCATTGCCGCAGGGCGAGGCAAGCGCTGGAAATGGAGACGCTCAATCCCGAGCCGATGAAAGTGATCCTGGTCGAAACAGCCTTGAACAAAACTTGGTCTCCGATCCATTGACGTTGAGTAATGACAATGGCTCTTATATGGTTCCTTCGGATATTTGGAGTGCAGCGTACCAAGAGGCAGTTGACACTCTTGGTGAAGAAATAGACATTGCTATCCTGAAGGGAAAAAATGTTGAGCAGTTATTCAAGAAACTGGAAGAGATTGACAAGGACAAAACGCAAGAATCTGCTTTCTTGAGGGGTGTAAAGTACTTACACTCCATACAAAAGCCGCTCGGGACATTCAAAGTAGCATTAGATCTAGCGAGTCCTCTGGCAAGCCTTGAACCAACTACGACGGGGGTATTTTTTGTGGTCAGGAGCGTGACAGCAGTAAGCTTGAATGGATTAAATATGATGCATGCAGGGGTTGTCCAGAAAAATTGACCGAATCATCTGCGCAGATCGCTATCAGCTTTGCAACCGCTGATGCCAACTTCGCGAATCAAATCGCGGAAATGCTAGAGCAAATCTCTTATATTGATGAATGCGACACCCTCGGCCAGAAAGCAGATAGGAAGGATATTCACAAGGTAATCAATCTATGGCGAAATTTGGTGATACTCCACTAAACTTTTCCAGGCCCTGGTATTGGTATACATGAAGCTTCTGGAGTTCTACAAAGTCGCATTTGAAATACTGACCAGGAAAGGCGCAAAATTGATAATGAAAATGATCTTGGAGAATGACCGACTTCCAAAGATTGTTCAAGGCTTTTTGCAATATTCTGAGACCCTCCGAAAGCTCATAGATAAAGCCACGTTTGAGATTGTTGAGGATATCAAGGGCATGCTCTATGATGATCACAGTAAGTTGTTAGACCCACAAATCTGTTATATACATTCTTATCGAATCTCAGTTGCTAGATGGCTCGGTAGTGACAAAATGAGCCGCCAAAGTCACTACCATGACACCCTGCAGGATCTCATGGCTAATCGGGCTTGCGAGTTCTTATTGGCACATGCAAATTTCATCCACTGGTACCACGCTTCCGATGCTCAGCAGTTGGCTATCCTTGGAGATATGGGCTGTGGGAAAACTGTCTCTATGGCATTTCTTGTTGACGAGCTGCGCCAAAGAAATGAGCACCAACTACCCCAGCCGAAGATGTGCTATTACTATTGCCGCGACGATGAAACGGGTCAGGCTATCTACATATTCTCTGCTCTAATTCTCTCGCTTCTCGAACAGCTCCGTGGCTTGAAAAAGCCTTTCTTCGAGTGGTATAGACAGGCTCAGACTTCTGGAATTTTCGACCCAGCGACAAGTGCCAAGGCACTGGAAGGGTTCCTGCAAAAATTGCTGGAATCCATTGATCGCCCAGTATTCATCCTCATTGACGGTCTAGATGAGTGCGACGAGGCATCCCGAAGAACTCTTCTCAAGCTATTGAAGAAATTATCCCAAACAATACCGGGTCTCAAAACGATTGTGTCTTCTCGCCCTCAGGAAGAGATTTTGGAACAGCTGGACGGGACTCCTAGGATGAATATAGGTTCTAATGCTCATCGAGACGCCTTTATTGTTGAAAAAACGGTTGAAATGCAATTGCCTGATTTATCCCCGAGCGTCAAAGCACTGGTTATAGAGAAACTATCTCACTTAGCCCAAGGAAGCGCCATGTGGACAAAGATGGTCACGGAACTCATCAAAGTCCGGAAAATCAAGGCACTGAAACCGATGCAAAGCTTTTTGGACGAAATCCCATTACCTGGAAAACTCTCGGAGCTCTACGTCACATTGCTCTCACGCTGCACTTCAAATGACCCTGAAAATTTGAATCTTGCCAGTACTGCTTTGAAACTTCTCGCCGTAGCCCGCAGACCTCTCAGCATACTAGAGCTTGCCTGGGCAGTTGCATTGGGAGTGACTCAAAACATCACCACCGTGATCGCTCTTGATAACCTGGTAGACTATCAAAGAGTAATGGGTCTTATTTATCCATTCATTGCTAGTGTCGATTTTAATGACACTAAGAAGCGCCAAGTCCGACTCGTACACCAGTCCGTGAAGGAATTTATCATCAAAGAATGGACTTTTAACCCTCCTTACACAGAAGACCCGACCTCTGAGGAAACCGAGAAGCTGAGCCTTGGCGAAATTGTTGAGAATCTAGATGCCTTTATCCTAGATATCTGCATTAGGTATCTTCTTCTAGATGAAATCAACAATAGAAGTGTGTTTTCCGAAGAGCAGATGGCGATCGCAGAGCTGCCCCAAGAGATCGACTTATTTAACGACAATGAAGGGCCGGTAAATTACGATCCATATGCCACGTGGGAATCCTGGGAAGAAAATATGATTCGCTACGATCCGACTGAGCGTGGTTTGGGCGAGTTCTTCATCTACGCATCATGCCATTGGGTGGAGCATTTTGGTGTTGTTCCTATAGAACCTCGTTCTGGACTGGCAAGCATAGAACGACTGTGCCAAGTAGGTTCAACTCGGCTTCACAATTGGATTCAGCAGAATTGTCGCCCCGGCTGCGCCATACAGCCCAGATTTACATTTGATAGCAGTCTGTATGATCCTCTCAGCATCACTTCGCTCTATGGCTCCGAAGCCATGCTGCGTCTTCTACTTGTGAACACGGACTTCGACAAGAAAAATTTCCATCAAAACTCAGCTATGAGAGCCGCTGACCAGATCCTCTTGTGGGGTGACTTGCCAAGGCTTAGGATAATCTTCTTAGATGATAGAGTTGGTCATGAGCTACAAAATCTCGACTTCTTCCGAATCATCATGAAAAATTGGTCTCATCCCACTACCGACCATCAGAATTGGGATCTTGCATTTGATCTTGTTGATTATGTGACAGATAAGCTGGTTCAGGAACAGTGGGGAAATGACTTGTTGTGCATGGCTGCTGGCGCAGGCTGTGTACCGATAATCCGGAGGTTAATATCTAGCGCTCAGCTCAAAGCAGAGCTTAGAAGCGAATTGTTGCGTGAGTCCCAACGTGAGAACCAAGGATCACACTTTAGCGAACCAACGCATCAATCGATTGGAAAGGCTATTTTGGGCAATCACGTTGATGTTGTCCAATTCCTACTAGGCATGGATGGCATCGAAGCACATCTTCGACACCGAAATCATCACGGTGAAAACGTTCTGCATTTGGCATCAATTACGTGTAATCCAGTCATGTTCCGGCTTTTAGTTCCCCGTTTCCAAGAAGGTGTACATCAGGCGGATGATCAAGGAGAAACAGCCCTATTGCGGATTATCAAGAACTACTCGGCTTTACGAAACCGGTATGAGTCAGTGGAGATACTCCTCGCAGAGAGTGGTATTGATTGGAATAGCTACTCTTGGGATGGGCAACAGGATCCTTTGCGGATGGCCGTGCACCTTGGTGATCTGGAAATGTGTTCCATTTTGATACGTTCCGGTAACCTGAACCCTCTCTCAGCTCTGGCCTTTGGCGAAGAAGGCCAGATGTATCTGAGAGATAGCCCTATGGAGAACAAGGAGAATATATTGCCAATTTTGCAATTGCTATGTACACATGCTAATATAACGTCGACTGACGTTAAGTGAAATAGGGGCTAGCGTTACTAAATTCTGTCCTATGAGTCTAGCTATTTACTGGGGTTTCTTTGTCTGGGTTGAAAGCCGGCTTAGCAAAGGAGTTGAAGAAGATATCTCGCAGGTGATATAAACTAGTGTCTTTGCTAAACACAATTCAATGGAGCACGCCTTCAAATACCCAGTCTTCTCTAATCCAAGGAAACTCGTGGAATCACCGGATTTAATCAAGGCTAATTCAGAGCCAATTAAGAGAACTATCTAGGTCCTTAGACCACTGCAATCTAAATAACTGTAACTGAGCATTATTTTATTGCCAGACTTTTGCGCCGAATCAAATTGTTGTTACATGATAATTAACCTGAGGAAATTAAACATAATGGTAGTCAATCACTCGTGAGTCGTGACCTCTTCGACTGTAAACGTTCTTGTCTCCTGAATAGTGCGCGACCTGCTCGCCTGAGTCTCTTGATCAAACTGATGGTATTTGGTCGCCGTGTTCAGGGCTGTTATAGAAGTGATAGATTGGAGTTCGTGCGGCTTCGAGTGCCTGTCCGACATGTTCTTCAGCACATTCTGGCCCCAGGTCGAACCCTGAGAGTGCCCGCCTTCTGAGTTATAGTAGTAGCCTCCGCGAAATGTGCCGCCTCGGCGTCGCATGTCGTCGCTGCGGATCATGCCGGATTCCAAACTTTGGTAGAAAGGTTTGAGGTAAGGAATACACGCGGTCACGATGCTCAAACATTGCGTTAGGCTCATCGCAGTGGCTACTGACCACAAGGCATATGTCGTATTGGAGGCGTTGCTTGCACGATTCAGCTCGACAATTTGCCAGGCAATAGCGGCAATATTACTGTGAACGCAGTGTTAGACCTTTTTCCGTATTGTCTGTTGCGAGCACATTGAAACGTACAAAACCCGGGTCGCAAAGCAACCTATCACGACGGCCTTGCGTCGGAAAGATACCTGGACCTGCCACATATATATGATGGGTACCAGTATGAGGCTAATATCGAGCAGGATATTGACGGCATTGGTGAAGTTCCAGAAGACAGTCTGGTTTATGCACTGGTCGCCCAGAAAATTCCACACGTATGGCACATGACATTCGAATATCACCACCAGAATGGAAGCCGTCGCCCACAGAACCATAGAAGCGATGAACACGAGGGTCTCCAGCTTTTGTGCCCCCAGATTGAACAGGTTCTTAATCAAAAAGACCATCGAAACCTTACTGGCGCATTCACTGGCTATCCATAGAATACCCGCGGTGTAAAACGACTTGTAGCGGACAGTCAATTCTGTGCCAAGATGTATCAGGGTACGGGGCTGTATGTAGAAGCATTGAATACCTTTTGAAATGAAACTAATTGTGATGCCGACAGCTCGTCGCTGTCCTCTCCGAGGCCATTCCCAACTGCAGCATTCAAGGCTGCTGTCTGGCCAATACTGAAAATCTAGCGCTGCTGTATTAGAATGGCAAGGGCAGGCGAATGTAAACTCGGAAAAATGAAGGCAACTTTACAAGAGATAACACAACACACCCATCATCGACCCCAAACTTCCGCACTACGACGTATTTTGTAGCCAAGCGAGCGACGACGGCCATGCAACTCGCTACCATCCAAAACCAAGCTAAGATGTTAACGAGTGCTCCTCTAGTTTCTGGTCCAACCGCACCAGGAGAAGACATGATGTTGCCTTTGCTCTCCGTCGATTGATGTGAGTTGTGCCTAAGACAATATGAAAAAAAAAGAAAAAAGAAAATGCCGGCGGACAGCAAATTCCTGGTGTCAGAGGGATTTGTTGCCCTTCAACCATAGGCCAGCAGCCATAGCACTACAAGTGATCAACTTACCATGCTGCATATAATTTGTAACGCAGGCCCCAATGCTATCGATATCTAGTTTGCCGCCATGTAACCATTGCCCCCAAATTTGCACCATTACGACTAGTCGTTACGCATCGAAATATTACCTGCATACGTACTAAATTTACTGTCACTAACTCACTCTAGTAACTCTTCTGGTAAGTAGTGAACTAGTCATTTAGTTAGGCGCTTGGTAAATACGGAGATTGCATCCATCGTCATATATATTGCGGGCATGACTAACTGGGTCTTCAGGATTGTTCAATATACGCCGTGGCCTGATCAATATCTTCTGGAACAAATTCTAGACCCTTTAGTCCACTCCCCCGGATACTGTGGTGCGGCGTAATGAACATGGCTAATATTAAATACGATCTTGTTGGACACGACAGCGAATCAGCCGACAACGACGAGTGGCCTCGGACCGTCAAGCAAAAGGGGGCAAGCCGTCGCTACATATGGCTGCTCGCCACATTGTTTATTAGTGCACTGGGCAATATCTTTCTACTCTACAAGCTAAACCAGCAGACCAAACTCGGTCCCATCAGCCGTACGCATTATGGTGAGAAGGTTCCTGTTTTCCCTCTTCTGGCTAGGTTTAGTTTGCTGAAGAGCTACGTACCAACAGCCGGACTCGTGAATGACCTTGATGTCCCATTTGCATGGGATACACCCTTTAGTTCTGGTGATTATGCCGAAGTGAACAAACTATGGTACGAAGACGAGCAATCTGACAAGGGAATTATTTCCCTGGACAATGACTACGCCGAGTCACTCGGCTTGCCCAAGTCGCAGCCGTTTGCGTGGGATTCAAAGAAGAAGAGCATCTACATCACAAATGGTCACCACAATCTCCATTGTCTGGTCTGTTACTTTTCTATTTTCAGGCATCTCGTTATTACTACTAATGCCCTCCTGATAGCGTAACATCTATATTTCTCTCGATCAATTCCGTAACAACCAGTCCCAAACGATCGAATGGCAACACGTCCTACATTGTTTGGGCGCTCTCCGGGATGATATCATGTGCAACGCTGACGATACTCCTCGCTTTACCGAAAAGGGTGGTCGGAGGCCAGGAGAAGGTCAAGTGCGCAAGTGTCGTGACTGGAGCAAGCTCCAGGAGTTTGTCCAGGAGCATGCCGGCTGCTTCAAGTACATTCACCCGGAGAATCATACGATGGAAACTATTGAGAGAGTAAAATATTGCCCAAATGACAGTCCATATCTCCCACTTATCCGCAAGTATTTTGGCTTGCCGGACGATTGGTTGCCGTGGCCAGTGGAAGGATCGAAGTAATTCAGCTGATGAGGGAGCAACAGAGTGCTTGTCGGTGCGCACTTCGGAGACATTTAGAAGCTGCCTAGGTGTCTGGCCAATGTTTAGCTGAAGGCATTTTGTCCGAATTTGTCCGGAGTTGTCTCAGTATGCATGCATAAATCCAAGCTTTTCTTGCAGAGATTGTTTAGTGCAGTTTCATAAAGACGAGTAAACCAGACGAGTATTAATATGGTCTCGGTCACTGCATCCTACAGGCAAAATTTGTTTGATAATGTTTTATATAACTAGGTATTTAATAAAATTGCAATGTAGTCTACTATATATTCATAAGACAGAACCGAGTCAGGAATATTTGAATACGTTAATCGTCTCTTCATCGATGTGGATCTATGAGGACATCGGGGTTTCGCTATGCAACGTATCAGTCACGGAGATATTGTCTGGTCTAGACCGGACTATTACTTACTCAGAGGAAGGGGTCCGGCTTGACAATGTCCTCTACGTCGGATGAGTCTCGTTTGAGGAAGGGATCCGGTTTGACAATGTCCGCCTCCGAAGTGTCTCGTTTGAGGAAGGGGTCAGGCTTGACAATGTCTTCCACAACGGCTGCGTTTCGTTTGTGGAGGACTGCTCCCTCTTCCCGAGTATCAACGGGAAGAGCGAGAGCCAGGCTGCCGATAGAGGCTAAGGCGATGATAATATCGGTGATACGCATGGTGGCACTGCTTTAAATTATCTATAATATATATGTCAGCGGTACGCATACGACGATAGAAGGAGCAGGCTATACATTCAAAAAATCTGCGTCTGGGCTGGACATAGTAAAGTGATCCGTGTTATACTCAGCAAACAAAAGACAAAACGACGCAGAATACGAAGTAGAATGGAGCCTTTTAATAAATAAAATATCCACTTTAGTTGATTAAAAAGTTCCCAAAGCAGAATGCAACCCTCCAAGTGCCGACATGGTTGCTGATCCTGATCCGTATTGAATTGAAATGCCACCATACTGAATGAATAGCGGCATTATTACAACTATCTTTGATATTTGCTTTTTCTTCATTACCGCTGCTGCACTGTAACTCCGTGCCACGCAAACTACGTGTTGCTGTGGTGTTGTTTAAGTGGTTTATAGACAACAGGCGTCAACTACTAGTAGTACTTGGCTTGGAGAAAGCAGCACGCTAAGTTTCCGGTGCTGCAGAGACGGTACTCCGCACTACGTACCGAGTAATAACCCTGGAGTCTCTCCACTGCACTGTGCATGTTCTTTCCGGATTTTTAGCGATGGAAAGCTCCATCAGGTGGTACTCCGTAGAGCTGACGGTTAGCAGGCAATCGCATGTCCATCGATCCACGTCCCTAGTGCTGACACGATGCAGAGAATGTGCTATGGAGCTGGTATTCTATTGCCCAAGCAAAGACAGCGTCGGCCGTGCTAGCTAGGATGGCTAGCTGTGAGCAGCAGTGCAAGGGTAGTCGGCTAGTGCTGACGGTAGGTAGATCCTTCGGCGGGATTCTTCATGCGTGTGGCGGATTGGCCAATAGTCTAGATCTAGCCCGTAATCAAGCACTGATACCTCCTATATTACGTGGCACGTATGCCCTCTTGATTGTGCAGACATAATAATCAATGGACACGATGCAACGCAGGTGCATAGGGCTATTCCGGTTTGGGGAGGACAGTCTGCCCGGAATACCAAACCGGGTAAACGCGGGGGGTCCCCTCGTAGATAGCCAGGAAACCCTCAATGGCTGACCTCTACAGTCGCATTAGAATGGTTGCTATGACTCGCTTAACCACATATAACAACCAACTACCTCATCCCGTGCCAGTCCCCTTTCTTGTCAAGCCCCCTTTTTTTGCCCGACTGAGTCTGCGCCCACAACAGTAGGTCCAGCAATGCCTTTGGAACTTCACGAGTTGAGCGGCGACGCCGAGTTTCCCGCCCTGGTGGATGGCCTATGGAGGGGCTATGATCAGCCGTTCAACGGCTTCTGGGAGATTCTAAAGGGCCCATCGAAGGAAGAATGCATTGCTCGCTATCAGTCCTGGCACAAAGCCGATCCCACTAGCCACTGGCTGTATGTTACGGACTCTGAAACCAACCAGGTTGCTGGCGCAATGCAGTGGAATATTTTTGAAACAAATCCATACATCAATGGCCCACCATCGCTGCCAGCCTATTGGTGGCCTGAGGGTATGTACCTCTATTCTGCAACCTGCAAATAATTGTCCCGGCATGCCTAACATTGCAGACAGGCACCCTTAAGGAAATAGCAGACCAACTGTTCGCCGGTTTCTTCTCTGGCAGACCCAGCAGGTTTGGGAGACCGCATCTTTGTAAGTATACCTTATGTACTTTATTAGACTGTCTATGGCTGATCCTTTGTTTGAAAAAAAAAAAAAGTAATCAGCTACTGCTTCACTGATCCCAACTACCGGCATCGTGGCGTCGCCAGTCTAGCTATGAAATGGGGGCTTAAAAAGTGCGATGAACTTGGCTTAGATGCATTTGTTGAGTCAACCGAGGATGGTCGTGGGTTTTACGAAGCTCACGGATTCGAAGTATTTGATGACTTCACCTTGGATGCGTCCACGAATAGTCCAAGTGAGGAATTTACGCAACAGAAAGTGGCGCTCCAATTGCCCCTGCACGGTTATTACATGAAGAGGCCTTTCGTTGCAAAGTTGTCATCTACCTAAACAATGCGCTAGACGACCAGGACAACGCTGAAGATCCAGACCGCTGAGCAACCAAGTTGAATCGAGTAATAAGGCTTGTAGCTGGACAATCTGTAATGGCCGCTTTAATATAAGAAGATAATGCGTACGCATCTCATGAAATTAATAACCAGTTAGTTTATCATAATCAAGGAGTCGAGCGAAGATAAAGCTTTGAGGGGGGTGGAGGAAAGCGAAGGAAAAACACAGAAAAGGACTAGAGGACCTCCATATTAACAAACTTCCCCGAGTAAATTAACCAGCTTGCTAGTTAGCTGACTAGAGCTCATGTTAATGTAACATTCGACCTAACCTGCGCACGCCCTCGGACTGCCCCAACTAAGGCCAGACCGTGCTATCTATTCCTTTTAAATTCCAGAAGAACTTCTTTCTACTGAGAATTTCCTCCCAAGGAAATTAACTGTTGTGTGCTCTCTACCCAGTGGCACTTTAAAAGAGAGAGAGATGGATAACTATCAGGATGACGGCGTTGACGCCGTTGAGTTGAGATACCTGCAAGATAAATCTATTTCTGAGCGCGACAATGTCGACCTTACACGCCTGGGTAAGAAGGAGGTGCTCAAGGTACGAGTCTCCAACACTGAAATTTGAGATTTTGGTTGTTTCCTGACGCAATTGAACAGCGAAACTTTGGTTTCATGTCAATGCTTGGGTTTAGTTGCACGGTTATGATTACCTGGGAGGGCGAATTGCTGTGCGCTTTTCTTCGTTTTATAATAAAGTCACCAAAGACTGAATATACTGACTGACGCCCTCGTCAGACTATTCGATGACAACTTCTCCAACGGTGGCTATGCAGGCTCGGTCTATGGCTATATTATCGTTTGGCTTGGCACACTCTGTGTTTTTGCGACAATGGGTGAATTATCATCAATGTAAAATCTCTACATCTTGATGCGAATGCCATGGTTGTTATGCTGACTGTTCTACTTTCAGGGCACCAACCAGTGGTGGGCAATACCACTGGGTTTCGATGTTGGCACCGTCAAATGTGCAAAAGCTTCTCAGTTATGTTATCGGTACTGTGCCATTTATAAACGAAAATCCGGACCGCAAGCTAAAGGTGATATAGGTTGGTTAACGGTCGTTGGCTGGCAGGCAGCAGCAGCGTCTGAAGGCTACCTCGTCGGGTCCCTCATTCAGGGCTTGATTGTCATGAACAGTTCCACCTACGATCCCAAGCCGTACCAAGTCACTTTGTTGTTATGGGCAGCAATCTTTTTTGCAGTCTTCATCAACACTGTGGTTAGCAGTGCTCTACCTAAGGTCGAGGGTCTGATGCTTATTCTTCATATACTCGGATTCTTTGGCATACTTATTCCGCTTGTATACCTGGCTCCTCATACCGATGCAACTACGGTTTTCACGACATTCTTAAATGAAGGCGGCTGGGCAACGACGGGCCTCTCCTTCATGGTAGGACTGGTAGGCCCTGTTTTCAACTTTCTTGGTGAGTTTCATCGTCGCCTACGCCTTGGATTGCATGACTAATATACGAATTTGACAACATGTAGGAGCGGATGCCGCGGTTCACGTAAGATTGACTTGTCTTTCATATACATATTTTTCTGGGAAACTTAGCTCATATGCCATGCTGCTAGATGTCGGAAGAAATAAAAAACGCATCACGGGTCGTCCCAGGTGCAATGATCTTCAGTCTCATTATGAATGGAGTGCTTGGGTTTGGTATGCTGCTTGCCATTCTCTTCTGTCTTGGGGATGTCGATACCGTCCTCTCCACTCCAACGGGCTTCCCATTCATGGCAATCTTCCAGCAAGGGGTTGAATCTCTCGGTGGAGCGACGGCCATGTCGGCTATAATCACGGCATTGGTGATCTGTGCAACCATCTCTGTCGTTGCTTCAGCTTCTCGAATGACCTGGTCTTTTGCTCGTGACCGGGGTCTTCCGGGGTGGAAATGGCTCAGCAAGGTTTGTAATCATTCTCCTTATCTACCACTCTTCCACGACTGTTTTATTTCAAGCTCCCCCCCTTCGTTAACGACATAGAATATAGGTTCATTCAAAATCATCCATCCCCGTTATCTCAATTGCTCTTACAACAACAGTCTCATGTTTACTCAGTCTGATCAACCTTGGCTCGTCTGTCGCGTTCAACGATGTGGTCTCGCTGACAGTTGATGGACTGTACACCTCGTACTTTATCGGCAACAGCCTTTTGCTATGGCGGCGCATCTCAGGCCACATTAAGCCCTACAACTCCACCTCCACACACGAGCTTACAAACGTCGCAAATGCGGAATCTCTTACCTGGGGTCCTTGGAGAATTCCAGAGCCATTCGGCACGATAATTAATGCGCTCGGCTGCTTGTACATGATTATCATTTTGTTTTTCAGCTACTGGCCCACCACCATGGACCCAACACCGTCGACCATGAATTTCAGTTCTCTTATGGTTGGAGCGACGGGAATATTTTCGATTCTGTATTACATTTTCTGGGCCAGGCGCATTTACACTGGGCCAGTAATTGAGATTTAATGGTGTTTTCCCTCTCCATGGAACTACTGACAAGCAATCAGAGAAAATGGGAAGGGGGCAGTAAATGTCCACTGTGGTAGAGTTGTCTTCGATCACACCGAGGCAATGAGGGGCTTTTCATAGCTTGTATTCTTAACTTATTCCTAGTCGGTGATGGAAAACCTGTAGTTTATCGACCTTCCTTTCTACTTGAGCGCTCTGCATCCCATAAAGAGAACAAGAAAAGCGCAAATGAAAGCGCAACAAAGTGAGGGAGATATCCTTGGTAGCGGCCAGAAGCGGAATAGTCCCCGAGATGGAGCCCTTTTTTGTAGCCAATCGTATTCGACTTCAGTAAGCCAATCGGAGCGCGTTGCGTTCCGCAGGCTGCATCACGTGGCAAGCAATAGCTTGTTGTTTAATACTTGATTTTTATTATCTATTAATGAATGAGTGGCGGTAAGTACCTACCAGCTGAGAAAGTAGAGCGATATTGTCTCTACTACGTTTATTTTCCTTTTCCCGTTCAGACACAACTACATTTATATATATCTACGTATATAATCAAACATCTCCGGCTCTCCGTACATCCTCCACGTTATCAATCGCCCCACCAGCTTGCGTGTGGAGCGGATCTAACCCTAGAGCCTGCCAAGCCCAAACATCGCAACCCATTACGAATATGCGTGTTTGAGACCTGAAACCGTGTGAATCTGTATGACTGAGTTGCACACATAATAATACCATTGACATGCCTCTGTATCATGTGTTCTTCTGGATATATCGTCTGAATATATAGTCTTGTGATGCCTTCATACCTAGGTGCTTTCTTGCAGCATCACGTCGGTATAATAGTAGCATATCCCTTTAAGGAACTTAGATTTAACTAGGTACTAAAGGACTGGAAAGCTCTTTTATCCGTAGACTTGATATTCCACATGACGCGCACGTTACTCTTTCTCCGAAGCCATTAACACCAATGGGGCCGCACAACCTTTGGCGTACCTAGGTAGGCAGCCCAAATAAACTATTGGCTATAGACAACTGTCAACCAAAATCGAAACAAACCGTGTTCGAAGTCGTTTCCCTTATTGAGACACAGACACAATGCTCCGTATCCTCGTATGTTTGTGCGCTGCCGTCGCCATTCAGCCAATTCGTGAATACTTCGTCTCCCCGGACAGCACGGCATACAAAGACGAAAAGCCGAGTCACCGCCCTCGTCGGAATATCAGTCTAGCAGCGATTATTCCCCCATGCTCCACGCAAATGTATGGAATTAAGATGGGATAGACGATCTGACATCGCACATATTTCTCCGCCGCGATGACAATGAACTATCCGAAGTTCCTCCTCCCCTCGTTCTGGATGCAAGGGGCTTGAGTGCAGTCTGCCATGAACCGAAGTTTCCAAAACCCGTTTTTGTACAGCAAAACCGCGGGAAGAAATATCTGACTTTCTGACAAGGGACCGAGGGAGATGGCGTTGGCAATGATTTTGGATTCGCTTATGACGTGATTCAAAAAGTAAAATCAACCTCTGGAGGAGAGAGAGAAAGAGAGAGAAAAGACACAAAATACCGTCTACGAATCACATACTGAGACCAGATGCAGGTTACTTTTATTGCAGGCTGACTACGGAATACTGCACGGCCCGTAGTGTAATACGGTAACAATACATTATCCTGTACGCGGGTCCCGTATTAATGCTTAATAATCGCAACGTTGGCAGCCTGCTGTCAATCAATCGATCGTTGAATGCTCCTTCTCATATTTCGCTACCTCTGCCCTGCATACTCCCCTAAACGAGATATCAAGCCCTGCACTCGCATTTCCACGCCGTCGCACGCAACACCATCGTCGCCCCGTTAACCGCGAAACGAGGCATGCCCTCCGCGCGTCATCTCTGACAGATTGAAGCTATTCGCAACGCCAGCTTACGAGACGCACTCGTCGAGTCAACGAGCCGACAAGATCCGGCTCAATGATAAATGGCAGTTCTTGGTTCTCCAAATGTATCCCCCAAACGTCGGGTCCGTTCAGTCGCTCGTAAAGCCGAGCGAGTATGCGTCACGATAGCCTCATATTTTCCACTGGCATTTGTTTACACTTTAACAACATGGGCTGTGTGGGTCGATGCAGGGATTGGCTTTCTACCTAATAAGAGCAAATGGCTCGGTGCGTTATTTGGCATCAACCTCTACTAATCATGGGTTAAGCTAACGTTTCTACCTACCTAGGCTTGCCGAGCTCAGCTGTCGGGGTGTTATTATATATAATGTTGAACACATGCTATACCTTCGCTGTTTTCACGGATCCGGGCTCACCCCTTGTGACCTCTAAACGCAGCAACAGCCGCGGACAGTACAGCCATCTGCCAACAACTGAGCTACCCGAATACCAGAGCTACACGGTCAACTCACAGGGCGGCGCGAGATACTGCAAAAAATGCCAATGCCCGAAACCGGATCGAACGCATCATTGCTCAAGTTGTAAAAGATGTGTCTTGAAAATGGATCATCACTGCCCGTGGTTGGCCACATGCGTCGGACTCCGTAACTACAAGGCCTTCTTACTCTTTCTCATGTACACTTCCACGTTTTGTTGGGTTTGCTTTGCCACAGCTGGCCTGTGGGTCTGGGATGAACTGCTGAATGATGTTGCTTATGCAAATAACTTGATGCCGGTCAACGTGGTTCTGCTTGCCGTGATTGCCGGAATTATCGGATTGGTGTTGACTGGCTTTACCGCCTGGCATGTCAGTCTTGCCATACGAAATCTAACTACTATCGAGTCACTAGAGAATACACGATATCTTTCCCCGCTGCGCAAAGCCCTTGACCGTCAGCGAGTCGACCACACTGGGCAACCGCCGTCAGATGGCAACTTCGGCCACCGACTGCAAGGCTATGGACAACAAATTATCGAGGCGCACGCCAACGCGATCCCCGGTGTGACCCGTGCAGAAGAAGGCGAAGAGCGACCCTCACCGGTCGCGGAAGCGCGGTCTGGTCAACATCAAGATTATATCTCATTCCTACGGGAGTCAAATACCGACGGTACTCCTGCCCAGAAAGCGTTGCACCGCTCATATGAAGACTTAGAGAGACAGCGAGAGCGTGATCGATATGAAGATTACCTGGATTCCAGGGACAGCAAAAACATCCCGAATCCCTTTAACCACGGATGGAAACAGAACCTGCGACACTTGTTCGGCGAAAATCCGCTACTCTGGCTTCTTCCTGTCTGCACCACCTCCGGTGATGGCTGGTACTGGGAGCCAAGCCCAGCCTTTCTCGAAGCAAGAGATAGCATTAGGCAAGACCGCGAGCGCGAATGGGCTCATTGGTTGGAGCAGCAACGCCGGCAAACACATGATCACTGGCTGAACGGCACAAATTTGGCACAAACTGCGACCCGGTCTGTACCATTACAGCACTCACCCAGAAGCGCACACAGCTATTCAGGCGCAGGCTTTGATCGGCCAAGCTCTGGGGTGTCGATGAAAACGCTACGGCCAGAATCGCCCCGCATGCATCATGACGACTCGGATGATGACGACTACAGGTCGAGCTCGGATGAAGAAGATACGGCACGGAATCAGAAACGAGGACAGAACAGTCAAGCCTCCAGGAGCAAAGCTGACCGAGTCCTTGGTATCACGCGGGATCAATTTGTGAGCCAGAGTGATGAATGGCGCGACTGGGATTAGCCGCTAATGTATTTTTAATATTATTTTGCTTCGTCGCGTGCAACTTTCTTTGTGGCTTAGGCATGTAAGCTACGTGTACATAAGACACATATAACACTAGGGGGTAGCATTGCCTACCTCCATTAACCCTAACCCCAACCGGAATGTAACGACGGGCAGCGCGGAGATGCTGAACCCGCCGATTGCAGCAATGGGAATCAGTCTCTTGAAGAAAAACTAGTCTGAATGCGACTATTTGCCTAGTCAATGTGTGACTGGTTATTTTGCATGATCGACAGTCCCTGTTAATATTCGTGGGATAGTTAGCTGGGTGTTCTCCAGCGGCATAACTAAATGCCAGCTGGTCATTCTTACTAATTGACGTTGACATAACTAATTGCCCAGCTACAGCAGGTATTCGCCCAACCAGCCTCACTCTGCTTCGGTTGGCATTTGCCCTCTCTCTCTCTCTCTCTCTCATTCTTTTAATCGGCCTTTATAACGTTTGGTGCAAGAGCGCGCTCCTGGGTAAACTGAACTGGCCGCCCGGATTTTCGCGAGCTCTTCAGCTTTCCTCCGGCCCAAGTCCTGATCGACCGACCAAATCAACCATCGGTCAATTGTTCCAATCTAAAACAGCCAACTACCTTCATCTGTAACGACTCTGTCCCCAAGTCTTTGTTATTTGCTGCCGAGAACTGACGTGATAAGACGCTCTGCTTGTGCGCGCGCAGGTACGTCGCCACCAGCATGTCACCCACCATCCGGCGCTTGATGAAGGAGGCCGCAGAGCTCTCAGAATCCTCCCCATCGCCGTCGCCGCATTTCTGCGCCCATCCCGTCTCCGATTCAAATCTGTTCGACTGGCACTTTACCATGGCCGGGCCACCGGCTCCGTCCGCATATGCTGGGGGAATTTACCACGGCCGCATTGTCCTACCACCCACGTACCCGCTACGGCCGCCATCTTTTCGTTTCCTGACACCATCCGGAAGGTTTGAAGTGAATCGCGAGATCTGTCTTAGTATCAGCGGTCATCACGAGGAGACGTGGCAGCCTGCGTGGGGTATTCGCACTGCCCTGACAGCTATCCGGAGTTTCATGGATGGAGATGCAAAGGGGCAACTAGGTGGCTTGGATGCGCCGGAAGACGTGCGCAAGGTGTGGGCTCAGAAAAGCCGGTCCTGGCGATGCGATTGCATGGATGGCAAGACGAATGAACAGGTTCTCAATGAGTGGCGGGAGATGTGCGCGCAAAAAGGCATTTCAGTGGATAACGAAGACCGAGAAACCGTGCCAGATCAATTAAAGATGAGCTATAAGCAGAACTTCGACGACAACAAGTCTCCATCTGCACCGGCCGTTTCAGGCACGAAAGAGAGACCGACTTCCCTTCCTAGTGAGGCCAATGCGGATTCAACCCATCAGACAAGTCCACCAGCTCTCACGCTGCCACAAGCACCTCCGATGATAAACTCAACGACCGCAAGAAACATATCAGCCGCCGGTACGACTTCTTCTACAGGGCCTGCTGCAAGTTTCTCTAATACACAAGCCGCGTCAACTACACCTCCAAGGCCAACACCAACACCAACACCAACAACTGCCACGACCTTAAACAGTAGTACAACACGGACGATGCGAACAAACTCACAAAGAAGCGCTCTCAACGATAGCCTATGGCTGGACCGAGCTATCGCAGGGGTAATTATTGCCCTCATATTCATGATTCTAAGAAGGATTGCTACTTCGGAAGATATCTAAGCTTCCAAAGTAAATACATATATGAACAATCCTTATACATGTGGACTTGTATATCTTGATACGTATACCCTTCAATTATCGAATTTCCCCTTTTTCTAATGTTTGTGTGCTTACATTGCAGCCAATTCTCTATTTATTGATGCCTACGAGCGCTTTCGCTTATGTCTGCCTCACACGTGTGTACGTTTTTTATTTTTCATTTTATTCCCTATTTTGATGTGTAAATAAAGTTGTAGGGGTAATCATTAGTACGCTCTAGAGTGCGGAGTATTATGATCTGAAAGGCACGATTAATGCGCGCGTAAAAAGGGCGTATTTTGTCCTATCTGAAAGAGGATATATGTTACACTAATTATATATCAAACATATAAGGACATATAGAATAAGTCCCACAATAATACAGCCTGGACGGAATATTGATCGTAAACACAGGAGGAACTCCTTAGAACTAACAAATCGTGTAAATCAATTCAAGACCATCCACCAGTACTCCTTTACTGTCCAAACACTTTTGCCTCCAATCCCAACTTCTTTGCTGACAATTTCAACTTCCTCAAGCCAACTAAGAACGCGCTCGATATCCCACAAAGCTAGATATTTCTGGAGCTGTTCGTGTATGCCTTTCAGGTCTAGTTTGGGCCGTATCGCGAGAATACCGACGATCGCAGACAAAATGGATTCCCATAACTGATCTTGTATATTACCATTGATATCCAACCATAATGGCAGCTTTTCGAAAGCCACGCCTCCGTTCTTGTCATTGAAAAACCGGTTTATCTCCTCTTCACCTATCGGCATACGATTTGCACAGATCCTGTTCCATACGGGGTTACCGTACTCATATCTGTTGCTGTCCGGGATCACATCCACTTGAAATTTGAATTTCGCCTTGTCTAAGGCACGTGTCTCATAGTTACCTTCTGTGAGACCGAATGGGTTTGCAGGCGGGTCGCTAGGTAAAATATGCACACGTCCTTCGGCTGCTAGAGCCAGGACTGCCAGGACGTCCCCATCTAATGCGTCGTATTTAACCTGAGCAACACCGTCACGTCTGAAATCATTATCAAGAGTCCGTTTGAATTTTGAGGCCTGTTTCAGAATTTCTGCATCGATGGTTCTCTTGCGTCCAAATGATTGATAGAACAAATCTGTCAGGCTGTAGTTACGGCCCGGGACGACACGCCCACGGTTGGACTGAGAAATAAATCGATCTCGGGTGAGCTCCTTTATGGCGTCTTCGATCATATCTTCAGAGAAACGAGATAGTTTTTGCCGCGCATCTGTGGCACTATATGTTTCCTCTTTAGCGACAATGTTTGACAGTATCCAGCATTTCACAGCTTCCAATTTGCCACTTTGATCTCGATCATAATGATTCACACTTATAGGCGCATTCACATATGGTCGAGAAGAATAGATCGATGCCCTCTTTGTGATACTTATCGTGGGGTGAGGCGTGTAAATTGATTCAAACTCATCAGGCAATTGGTCCACTTGATGTCCAAAACGCTCCTTGAACTGCGCTCGAGATCCGGGTAAGTTGGGTACATCTCGAGCCGAAGGCGAGTAGTACTGTGTAGTGGCCCAGGTCACCACGCCATCCCAGTCATAAGACAGTATGTCATTGAAATCTATGCCAGGTAATGCAGGTTTTCTTTTCCGATATTCTGCAAGTAGTTTGGCGCGAAATTCAACTTGCATTTGTGCTAGTTGACGCCGATCACGGTTTAGTAGCAGTTTACTATTCATGCGTATAAATTCCGGATCTTCCTCTGGAAAAGCCTTTGTCACGAGATCCCAATCAACGCTCTTCCCGTAAGGTCCTCCCGCGATGGTCCTGACGACAATTATTGCGTATTTCATTCTCTCAATCAATGAGCTTGGCAGGTCTTTCAAACCTCTTCGTCTCCGACGAGGCAGTGCTGGTTTTTTGTTCATTCCTGGACTCTGCTCATGTTGCATTTGATCGACTGAAGGTAGCTCGGATATTTCTCGGAAACCAGGAATTTCGGGCTGATTTGGTTGCGATATTACACGCTTGAGTGGTGGCTTGGAAGGTTTCGAGGGCTTGTTTCGACGAGCTCTCACCTGCGAAGTCGAAGCCGAGACTTGCTTCTGCACCCCACCCGTAATAAACTCTATATTTCCAGCAATAGGTGCTTGCTCAAATGCTTCGTGAATAGTATGGTGAATGAAGCCTAACCCGTGGTGTGGGTATTGTGGATGTGAAGACGGAGCCTGATGGAGATCTGTGGATGATACATTGTGCATTTCCCAGTGGGAGATATCATCAAGATGATTAAGAAATTGGCCGTAGCTGGATTCAGTGTTTTTGCGTTTACGTCTCTTGATCTCTGTAACTGGGCGGTCAGATGCCCGAGGCAAGCGACGTTTGGCAGACGCCGAAATGTCTATATTCATCGGAATATCAGACTCCTTGCGCAAGCCCTGATACTGCAAGGGTTCTAGACGAGCGCTGAACCCTTTGCTAACAGGTCTTGAAAACAAAGTTCTTCCTTCGCGTTTGCGGTTCATTGACTTCAGGCGAATAGGCTTTAATAAACGCTTCTGAAGAGATTCTTCTCTTCTTTTTTCTTGTGCAACAACGGTGGCGGGTTTGTTCCGTAAATTAACGGTTATATGTGATTCCATTACTTGTTTCGGGTGGACTCCAGTCGGCGCACCAGTGCCACCACGTATCAGCCTCGAAATATCGGAGTCTACTTCGACATTATCCGGCACGTAATAAGTTGATTCGAGTAGTTTCTCCTTCATTTTTGTGACCAGGGGACTAGAAGAACTGATATCTGGTTTCATGACAATGCTACGGCTAATCATGAATCCTTTCGGTCCCTTCCCAGTGAAGGTCATTTGGCGCAGTTTGCCTCCGTCGATCAAATATTTTAACACGTTCTTGACTGTTCGGGAATCCGGCTTTTCATTATGATTCAGATGTTTCATCCAAACCGTTGCGAACGCATACCACAACTCGGTACCCGTGGGGAAAGCACCCCCTGCCTGTTCAATGATATTCATGACGATGTTCTGTCTCAAGCGTCCGACAGAACCTCCTCTATCGGAACGCCTACTTTTTGAAAATACGACTGGAAGATCGGATTTAGAAGCGACTGCTCGCGCAGGTTCCAGTCTTTCATTCACTGGCTGGATCTCAGTAGATCTTGTAGCTAGTGAATCTGCGGAACGGTGGGGCTCAATTTTGGTGCCCTCCAAGTCGTTTGTTTGGGAGGCGATAATCATGCCTGTTTGTCCTTCAACCTTGGAAGAAGCCCCAGATTGTACCCCTGACTGAACAGGAATTGTTGAATACGCTTCTGGTATGGCCGCATCTGATACAGGTATCGGTTCAGTTGTAGGTGGGCTGATAGTTTGCGCATTGATCTGAAGAGAAAGTGTCTGAGGCTTTGCAAGAGGAAATTCAGGGATGGCGTGACTGGAGTGACTTGTCGACTGTGTAGGTTCTGTTGGTTCTGTCGCCAATTTATCTTCCAAAGCCACAGTTGACGGTTCTCTACTGGTAGGTCGTGGAGTTGACTGCACAGGAATAGCCGAAGAGATGTCTGACTCCGACGGAGGGAGTGATCTGAGATACTCAACGAGCGTGGTGCTCCTAAAAATTGCAATTCGACTTTCTCTCGGTCGGCCTTGCCTTTTCCTCGCCGGCCGAGCTTTGCCCTTTCCAGTCACATAGACACCAGGCGTCTTCCGCTCCATAAGCTGAACGGCGACATGCGTCCAACTTTCATCCATGCCAAAAGACGCGAATACTTCCTTAGCAGATCTCTCACCTCTTCTAAGCTCCACTTCGACTTTCTCAGCCTTGGTCATGGGCACAGACCGTATACTGACATCTTGTTCGGGAAGAGGACTAGGCAGATGCTCAATTTGCGTACTTTCAAGCCGCTTAGAATGGTCATAAGCATTGGCGATTCGACGAAAGCCGGAGTAATGACCAGATTCGCGTTCAAAAGAAGCAACTAGATTTAAAGGTTAGAGGCGTTAGGGTAGGAATTGCGAATTTCATATTACTTACCCACATTTCCCTCTTCATCAACCGCAGCGACAGGATCGCTCTTCGTTGTAGCGTAGTTGCTAAGACCTTTAGAAGAGAGTATACAGTAATAATCGCGCTCAATGACTCCTTTTCTAGGCAACTGCAGAGGTGCGAGACCATTCTCGTCTATGATGGGTGGAGCATCAGGGCGTGGCACAGTAAGCTTGGAGCTCTTAGTATCTCTCGCACGAAAGGTGACTGCCTCCCAATCAGCACGTGCAGTATCAACAAGCTCCTTAAAATGAGGATACGAGTAGTGCACATAATGTGTAACTGTGCGATTCATCCCGATATCTCGAACGATAGCGCTATGCTTCAGGTGCGAAGGTTGTGATAGCTGCCAGGCCTCGGTCATACGGTTCAAGGTATGCTCACTTGGGCGGCGAAAGACCTTGCCAAAGCCCTCCCTAATTACCTGGGCATTGGTCCTTCCATTGGTGCCACTACCTTTAATAAGGTTGGCAATCAAATTCGGCACATTGACGTCTGGTGTCCACTTTATAGGCAGGTGATCAGAAGACTGCATATCAGCTTGCTCCTCAGCGTCGTCATTGTCTTGATCCACCGCAGAGAAGAGAGTTTTGTAGTCGCTTTTAAATATCTTCATGTCGTTCTTCGTCGGCTCATGGACCAACAATACACATGGATGAAGAGACCTCATGGTATCATGGAATTGCGATCGTGCCTTCACTCGTTGCACGCAACCGATCGCCTCAAATTTTCGGATTGTTCTACTTAGTATACGTCGTCGCCAAGGATCATTTAGATCAAGTTCGTCTTTGAGGTCATTTCGAGATATGATCTGATGTTGCTTGAGGACGCGAAATAGGCCCTGACAAAAGGCATCGATGTCAATCACGTTTCGTGGTTTGACAGACTTGGTGTCCAGCACTTCGGCATCAACGGCGGAGACATGGGCGAATCTTGAGAATACACACAAGCTGGTCTTGGCCGATTTCACATGCACCAGACGCTTCTCAATGTATCCCTTGGAATTCAACGCATCGGTGCGTTTTGGTACCGACCGGGCGTCCTGGCCACTGCGACGAACCAACTCAGTCTGCAAAATCCCCTGTGACCTACAAGTGGCGATGATAGACAGCAAAACAAACTCGGTGGCCGGGACTTTAGTGTCGTCTTTTTCATGGCCCGTCAGTGCTTTCCAGGTACGATCTTCGGAAACGAATAGCCGAAGATCTGGAGATCGCGAATCCAGCTCTTCAGCTTCGGATAAACTAAGTCCATTGAACTCCTTGTTTCGTCCGACAGAGACCTCCGGATTCAGTGTCAACCACTCCCACAGATCTTCCTGCAGGGCGCGATCCAGGCAGAAGTTTGATATGGTTGGCGGCGCATCCTCTGCACTGAGTACTTTGCCATTGTGAAAGCCCTTGATTAGATCCCAAATCTCCGCGAGCCGGGTTCCTGGGGCATGTTAGCGCATGGCAGCAGCAACATTCAAACGTGTAGACCCAAAGGGGGCCAGCTCTTGCAAGAGGAACAAGAAATTAAATATCACGGAAATAAGAAAAAATGCAAACAGCAGGAACGCTGGGAAGCTGCGGCTTTCCGTAACGGGAAAGAGCCGGTGCCGAAAATGGAGACGAACAAAAAGAAAAGCACAAAGGGGAAAAGAAAATGGTGCCTCAGGCTCTTACCGTCGGTGCCGCTGATGGCGATTTCAGTCAGCAAGAGCTCGATGAGTTCTCGAAGTGCCCCGACCATCGTGGCATGGGGCGGGGCTCCTGTTTTGCAAGCAGCATGAAACAGCCGTGTTCTTTTTCTCTTTTCAAAATTTCGAGACCGCTGGGTTCGAACGCGCGACGAGTAGATGCAAGGATTCGAGCGTGGTCGAGTTGGAAGAGAATTCGTTCTTCCACTCCTGCAGCTTGGCGTTCGGCTCTGCGCTAGCCGTATCCGGGCAGGCTGGTTCCGCCAATCAGAGACTCAGAATGCATCTCCTATGACGTCGATACTACCAACTAACTACGTCCCTAAATACATCCAGTAGTAACTACCATCGCTAGCTTCACCATTTGTTATCTCGCTTCTATACGTGTCTGCTAGGTGCAGTGCCTAGTGTCGAGTAAGCACGCATCCATCCTCCATCCACCGAGTTGCCTAATTCGGAAATCCAGAAGCTCTTAGCGGCAAATACACTGGCTGCTAACTATCGACACATCATGTTCGTTGACATATAGCCTTTCCGGGTACTATCTTCCATGCTCGAGTACACCCAGAATGTTAAAAGGTATCCCCGAAGATTGTGCAATCCTAGGGAATGTGCATTAGTGCTGTACAACATGGCTGCGTGCTATGACGCCAACGCAGAGGAGAAGGGAGTCAGACGAATAGAATAGCTGTGAGGAGTCTGTGGCTGTGTACATACGCACCGCGAATCAGCGAAGAGAATGCATATTGCCGTAGAACCCAAACGCCGACGTTATCAATCGGTGATGGTCTCTGTCTTTTCGTACTCGTAGACAAGCCTTATTGCGCCGAAGTTCGGAAATATCTCTTTTGCTGTAAAGCACACTACAGAGTACTTTTCACTACTACGTCATTAACTCCTGCGCAGATACTCCATAAATCCTTTGAAGGTATCGCTTTGCCATGTAAGTGGGCGCTGGATATACCTAGGTAATAAGTTGACTTCGATATGCCAGATTTTTCCAGAGCTACCTATGTATTGGGCTGCATGAACTTGTTATGTAAGGTCACGTACACAGGTGAGTGCTTTCTGGTCGTCTTTTCTTGCGATCTTCGGAAGAGGCAGTGCCAATGACTCGGTATCGGCGAAGACATACGCTATACTTTATATCATGCAGCCGTACCCTGGTAGTTATGAGTATTGCGTATGACAGTTGAAACATGCAATGCGTCTATTTAGCATATGCTTGCCGTAAATACATATCTGGGTCCCAATTACGTACATCTTCCGTGTGATACAACAGGAGCAGTGGACAGTCATGTGGAGTTTCAACTCTTCTCATATTACGTGTATGGTCATTGTAATTCAGTTACGTATATATTTCGCTAAATATACGTATAAGAAAGGACAACGTTTTTCGCCTAGACGCGTCTTGTATATAGAAGCCAGATAACTACTATTTTATGTAAAAGACGCGAAAGCGCTCGTATAAAACATTGGAAAAACATACCGCGAGTTCAAATACGTACAAGATACCGCGTCCGGATTCCATTAATCGAGAAATCACGATTATCGTTAGATGACCGAGTAAAGTGTAGTGTCTGAATGGGCTCAAGTAGAAAGTAAATCCACGTTGACGAATCCATCTCAGTCGATCTTCGGCAATCGGCAAGCTCACCTGCGTGGCGCTCATGACAGCTGCAGATGAATGTCATTCAGTCTGGGATGCGCGACATTTCCTATTTCGATGGTCTAACTAGTACGGAGTACTCCGGACTCCGTAGGCACTTTTCTGGGCGTGTTTTGCTTTTCCAGATAAACGCGTTAACCTCGCTGATAATACATTTCCTGGAGGAGCCACCCCAGTGCGCGTCACCGCCTCGTCAATTTCATCCTTCTGCCGGAAATAGAACGATTAATTATTTTCGAGCTGTAGCCTATGAATCGTTGCGTAGCCCAGTGGAAGAAGCAAGTTGACAATTCTAGTTTAGTTTATTAGAGTGCCATTGCAGCTGATGTTCCAAGCCTGACTGGCCGACGCTACGTCGATGTTAGGCTTGTTCACTTCCAGCTGATGGTAGTTACTAGTTAGAGCAAATAGACGCAAGATCTCATAAGTTCCGACCCACGCGGACAGGTGGTACGAGACTTCGCGTAGAACTTCCGCAAAATAACAGTCGATGGCATGAGGAAGAAAAATGCCCTGGATTAGTGCCTGAGAAGTCAAGGGCTGACTGACCTTGCGGCAAAACACGGGACGGGAAGTGGAGCCGACGATGTGTGATTGGGTGGTGCCCGCGATAGGACCCCTCCCCCTTTGGGAAGAGTTCGCCCAGAGAGGGCTGAAGCCTGAAGCCTGCTTACCACTTTGTAATAGAAATGGGTTTGCTTTTTCCTGACGTGAAAATCCCGTTCGTAACCGCATATAAAAGATTGCTTCTCCCTTCGATTAAATCCTTCTCACAATCCACCCTTGCTGCGCCTGACTCCCAACCCAGACAGCTTATTTGCCATCGATAGTCAAAATTCGTCATACCGCGCTTTCGTGATCCCAACCAAGCAGAAGCCATACACTGGTAGGTGTTTTGTCGCCAAAGGCTACGGCGGTGCCGGAGCAAGTGTTCTCCGTCGCCTGTAGGATGGCCGTTGGAAACTAGTACTAACTTGGTTAGTTGCCGCCGGGAAGCGTCCCGAACCGCCCAATCGCCCCGAGTTTATTATCCCACCTGAGAAGTATAAGGCTAGTCACACATCGACACGCACTCGCGCACCCACTTAAACACGTCACAGACTACTCCAACGCTGTGCGGGGCCGTTGTTCTTCTCTCCCTATAACCCAGAAGGACAAGGGCCAACCGCCACAACATCAAAAGACTTGCTCAGAAATCATGCCCGACTCAACAAACAACCCTTCAGCTGCATCCTCAGTTGGCGCAAATCCGCCTTCATCGTCCGTGCCACAGATTCCTGATCTTGTAGAAACGAGGCAGAGATGGGATGATAGTTTTGAAGCAAGTTTCGCAAAGATACAAGAGATACTGCGTCAGTGATCCCATTGTCCAACAATAGTTCAACTTCGTTTTCTCACAACTTGTTCACAGGCAGAAACAACGAACCACGCTCGCAAGCCGTGAAACAGAAGAAAACAAACGACCACGCAAAATGAAAGATTGTTCGCGCAATCTTTGGCTACAAAGGGACGAACTTTGGGTGCTTCACTTTTTACAGAGGAAATGGATCTGATTGGCCCTACCCGTCAATTGATGAAAGTTGATTCCCACGAATTATTGACTGCGTTACCGACACGGCGTACCTCTTGATAAAGATGTTTCACAGAGAATCCCTGGTATCGTCACCGAGTTGGATGGAATACAGTACGGGATTAGGAAACTGGAAGTGTCTGCTGTGTCACGCCCCAAAGGTGCAGCGGAAAATGGTACTGGGTATACGGATGATTTTTTTTTCTTCATTTACCCTCGCTTTTTTGACACTTCATTCTTAAATGAAGTATGTCAGCCGTGTAAATAATCCTAATTCGCTTTTCTTTCAAGGGGAGCAATACTTCCGAAATATAGACTCCGGTCGTCAGATCAAGAGCGCGCCATTCGCTCACATTACTTATTGGCCACCGCTGTGGCTTGAACACGTGCCAGGAGTCATCGGGGTTACTCCTTATCTGTTTCTCGCTTACTCATGTCCTATTGCCTCTGTCCGCGGTTAATCTACTCCGTAGAAAGGAAATATATGCCTTTACAATCTTGATTTGATACTGTTTGTTCTTCCGACGATAACTGCTTCGGGTTTTACAGGCTGAAAATTTGAAGTGCAAATACCTCATACTTATGCACTTCACGTGTTAGCTATCTCAGATCAAATTAATACATCCCAGACTATGTCTAAAGCTATGACAATTTTGATCCCTTTCAGCACGCCTCGCAATGTCCTTTAATACAAGTGTTTGAGTATGACGAGTACCGAGCCACGCTTAGTTTAATGAAGCACGGTCCACAGAAATACACAGGTTGTTGATGCTAATATCCTGCGACCAGAAGCTGCACTTTATGTCCACGCTATAGCAAGACGTCCCTTGCCTCTGGGTGGATCAGTGACCAAAGTATATAGCAGAAACTTAAAATTATCTTTTTTTAATGGTCAAAGTCTAAATCTTGGAACCACATTAAACATTTGTTTCTTGTCTATTTAACTTTATATAACGGGATCAAAATCTTCCACTTATTTTATAGAATTCGTTATTCTGGTCACGTCAGTATTCGCGTTTTGGATTCGTACCCATGTACTCAATAGAGTACAGACCCCTTGCTTATATTATATACCTTTGTAAGACTTTATGGATATGTAGTCTGCAGCAGTACATGGAACCGTAACGGCATTGTGATCTTATAGAATATGTTCATATTCTTCCTGAAAAGTCAGTGCATTGCCCATACGCCAGTTGCCATTGAGAGGATTTGATTTTCCCTGGAGAAAGTTTTACAGATCCAAAGCAGTACGACCATCGCGATAGTAAAAAATATGAATTTTCATCAAACATACATTGTATATTGACCTGCTTGCTATCACCCTAATCTCCTTAGCGTAGCTTGAAGTTCTCTACTCTTTACTTTATTTTGGTGAATGGGACTTCTAGAAAATCTCAAAAATTATTCAAAAACGTACGAAAACTTTAATAGATATTTGATAGAAAAGGTATTTTGATAAACATTTAATTTCTATCATGCAATATACAACAGCCGAAGAGTGGTGTTGTGGGAAGCAATCTATTTAATGTCCAGGAATTATATAATGGCCAGGAGCCTTCCCAGTTGTATAGAATTACAAAATCTGCACTGGACATGGTGAAAATAAATAGCTTTAATTTCCTCCGTGAAATACCTGCATTACCACTTAGTGCTGTCTGTTGCTTGCGATTAGAATTAGAATCTAGACCATATTAGGATGTAGAAATGTAAGATTTGTTACTCTAGAGTGGATTCCCCTCTTTTCCTAACACATTGCATGCTTCCATAAACCAAACTATTTCTTGAAAATATTGAAGTTGGAATGTAAACTACACCGAGTAATTCTTATTATCAGTGGACCAAGTACTTTGTTTTGTAACTAGCCAGCCAACTACAGAACAAAATAGAATGTAGCATTCCGTTACGTGGACGCCGTACGCCGTACGCGCAGTACAGAGTGTCGCTTTCTCAAGCTGTCCTTTTCTGTCATCGGAAGCTTCATGCCCAAACCATTTTCGTCCTCTCCCTTTCCCATTTGTTCTATCAGTATTAGTTTCGAACTGTGTAAATACATAGGAACCAGCTAGGTTTTACTATCTCGATCGAGGCTGATCGAACAAAGAAATGCGAAAAGGTTTCTTTCCACGGATACATATACCTAGCGGGCGAGGGCATACAAAGGAAACCACCTATTTAGCTACCGGCTTTAGATTGATAAAGAAAACGTCTGAAAAGTTCTATCAGCTTTTGAAAACATAGTATTGACCTGAACTGTACTATTGTTTTTTGAACACCTGTCTCGTTAGGGGATTTGCACTGGAAGTCGCATTTTAAATGACTCGTAAACCCTGGAAAGCAACAAAATAGCCACTAGAGACACGAACAAACAAGCAAGTAATATTTGCCCCTTAATATGCTTAAGAGGAGACTATTACTTCGCCATATATCAAGGTAAAAATAATCGGGAACTAACGAACAAGTGCTGTATGTAGCTCTGCCCCAGGGAAATCGTAGCTTCAAGCATTTCGGAAGACGTCAAGCCTTGAATATAATCTGCAACACGGAGTATAGAAAAAAAACTACCCCTCACAAATTAGTTCAGGACACTTGTGGGTAGTTACCAGATCCTCGCATTAGGAGTAAGTATGTTTGGTCAGAAGGACATCTCTCCTTTCAGATTATTCAAGAACCATGGATTAGCTTTGCATGATCGACATCTAAATCGCGCGCATCAGATCTGAGAAGGCCTAGCATGGCGTTCTTCGCTACTTATATAGACACCCTGAACGCAGTGATCCCACCTGTTCACCTTCTCAAAACTGCAGTTTTGTTTTGTCATCCTTTGCATTGCATTGCGCCTGCTGCAGTTGCTCCAATCGGAGAACACAGCCAGACGAATTAATGCAAGGACGAAGGCCTAATCCTCCGTACGGCCAATAATTGGAGTAGCGGAGCTGCAATGCAAATAACACAAATGTGATAGATCAACTATATTGATTTTTTAGCGGCCGCTTTGACACCTTGACAGCTTGACGCGCTCAGTATGTATTCATCCGTGGACTTAGCGCCGAATCAAGCTGTGAGAGAATAGAAGAAAGCATTGAAAGTGGGATGGAGCCAGGATACAGCCAATCCGGTGTGAGTTCTTTGAATAGATGATTATCAAGTACTCACTATTACATAGTTAGTGAGCTTAGTGAGTGCCACTGTTGGCAACATCCCCTCATTTAGGAAGGGCCGTTTCTTTATTCTGGACTCTCGTTGGCCTTGGCCCTATCTCCTCTTACTCTTCCTCCTTCTCCCCCCGCCGCGCTGCTGCTCCCGGTCTTATTAAATACGAAGGACCTTCAAGTATAACTTTTCTATGATTACTGCGAGGAAATAATAAATAGTCTCCGGAGTACATACATCCATTGGTGACTGCGCATTGTTGAAGTCTCTCCCGGAACCATCCAAGTCTCGTCGCTTGCCACCAAGGATGGATTGGATCCAGGCTGGCCGCTTGGTCCTCTACAGCCTCGGGCTTTTTTTCGTCTACAAGATCTTCGCCCAGTTCAAGCATGTTCGACGGCCATCCTTACCCCCAGGGCCGAAGCCCAAGTTCTTGGTCGGAAACTTGGGTGACCTCCCTCAGGCGGGAAAACAGGAATGGGCGCATTGGCTGCGGCACAAAGATGCCTACGGTATGTAAACAAGCGCGTCGTTGTCAGTTCCGCGAGCGACTGGTTACTGACAAAATTTGAATATTCAGGTGGCATCAGCTCGGTCACGATTATGGGCCAGACGATAGTTATTGTCCACAATATTCGGTTGGCATTTGAATTGCTGGAAAAGCGCTCTGCAAAGTTCTCGTCGCGACCAAAGCAAGTTTTTGCTGGTCAAATGTGTGTCTCGGAGTCCACTTCTACCGCCCCCTGTGGCTAATCAAGATACTTGCTGGATACTGACTTCCGTGTTGTAGGTTAGGATGGGAAAACTCACTCGGCCTCTCTCCATACAACAATCGTTTCCGGGCGCTCCGCAAGAACATGTCGAAAGTGATCGGTTCGCAGGCTGCTGCAGCGGTGTTCAATCCTCTGCAAGAGAAAGAAGTCGGCCATTTTCTGCTTCACTTATTAAATGATCCTGATAATCTTGCCGAGCATATCCGAAAGTAGGTCGAGCTCCTTTGGCCATTGAGAGATAGTGAAACCAGCTAAAAGGGAAACGTAGGGAAGCTGGATCGGTGATTCTCAAGATTGCGTATGGTTACACAACAGAACAACATAAGCTAGATCCCCTGGTAGGGTTGGCCGGTCAAGCCATGGATCAATTCGCGCATGCTGGGGTTCCGGGTGCCTGGATGGTCGACATTTTTCCATTTTGTATGTTACATGACCTTCCACTCGTTGGCCATGGTTGTGCTTATATTTATAATAGTGAGACATTTACCGGATTGGTTTCCCGGGACTGGCTTCAAGCAGATTGCCCGTCAATGGGGGGCTTCGTTGACCGAACTTACCGAAAGACCGTATGCCTTTGTCAAGCAGCAAATGGCCAACGGAGTCAACGATCCGTCCTTTTTGTCTCGGTTACTACAGCAGCCCATCTCAAGTGCCGATGAGCTGTTCACAGTTAAATGCTCCGCCATGTCTCTATTCACGGCTGGCGCTGATACGGTAAGTTCGTGGTCGCGATCTTCCCTGCGGGCCGATTATCACTAATGCCTCCTCACCTAGACGGTTTCATCACTGGCATGCTTCTTCCTAGCTATGACCCTGTTCCCAGAAGTCCAAAGGAAAGCGCAAGAAGAAATAGACCGAGTCGTAGGCACTGGTCGCCTTCCTGAAATCGCGGATCGTCCCAGTCTTCCGTACATTGATGCAATGGTGAAGGAAGTCCTTCGATGGCATCCTGTAACACCCATGGGGTTGCCACATATGTCTACCGAGGACGATATATGCGAGGGTTATTTTATCCCTAAAGGATCGTATATCATGCCTAATGTCTGGTGAGTTCTCTTTCTCACCTCCGAGTAAGCTTCTCTGATCGATAGTTAGGTTTTTCACCCACGATCCAAATGTCTATCGTGATCCGTCAGCTTTCGATCCTGAGCGGTTCCTGGCGACTGAAAATCACGTCCCAGAACCTGATCCGCATGACTTCGCGTTTGGCTTTGGGCGCCGCATCTGTCCTGGCCGGTTGCTCGCAGATACGGCCTTGTTTATCAACATAGTACAGGCATTGTCAGTCTTCAAAATTAGAAAGCCTCTGGAGAATGGCCTGGAAGTAGAGCCGGTGGTAGAATTCCTACCCGGTGTTGTTAGCCATCCAGCCCCATTTAGGGCTTCGATACAGCCGCGGTCGCCACACCATGAAGCACTGATCAGGAGTATTGAACAAACGCACCCTTGGGAGCCGAGCGATGCAAAGTTAATGCAGAGCGTCAGTTTCTAAGCAATTCTGTGTAGATCCTATGGGGAAGATGCAGACTTAGCGGGTGATGGATAGTAACAAGTGAACCTGTACGCAATTCAGGGGGTTCTGTTAGTAAGGACTTACAGGTAGTTATTTAATCAGTCAACGAGAATCGCTCAAGAAAAGAAGATCAGACAATGAAGTAGCTAGAGACACTAGATAATCTAGACCATCATTTCATGTCGTTCACAGCATAGCTCATTAACTAAGAAAATATTTGTAAATGGGTCGAGGCCCCTAGACCTAGTACTTAGCTTGTGTAGGAGCGAAATAAACATGCATGCGTGCAAGCGTTCGGGCCGTTCTACGCACCTTTCTTGTGAAACTCCCAAGCTTCGATCTTCCAATGGGACCGATCACCAATGTGATATGGATATATAGCTTGGTGAGGCATCCAAATCCGTTTTGTTACCAGTCTCCGAGCTGAAAGAGAAGGCTGCGCTGTGAAATTCCCCGGCCAATGTCGTTGAGCTCGACCCGCTTTCGGAGAGTAATTTGGCGATCCGTCGAGCAATGACACATAGACTAAACCGTTAGTTCAATACAATGATCAGCTAAAGGGGAGAACAGACCCGGATGGCGTGGTTATCAATGGGGCTGCATATGAGATGCGTGGCGGAGGGGCGAGACCCCCTTGCGCCGGATACAGTCCTCATCGACAAGCGGGATGTAGTAGTGCCTTGCATCTAATGCAAGTCTTTCATGGGATAAAGCAAGCTAAAGCACACACCATAGAGAAAACGAGTCATGGCCTCTCGATAGCCCCAGCCGGCTGCCGGAGCTCATAGGCCTGTCGGCCGCCGGAAGGTTGACAGCTTGACTAGTCAATCCCAATTTAGGTCTCAGATGGCTTTTTCAGATACATCATCAGTGACGCCCGCGACTCGGACGCCTAAAAAAGAGAGAGAAAGAAGAAAGGAAAGCAAAAAAACAAAACAATGCCTCCTTGCAGCTTTTTATGCTTCTCCCTGTTGGTGGTTGATATATTTCCTCTTTGTTAACGGGAGATGAGGGGACGTGAAGTGAAAACAATAGGCTACCTAATCTAGGCAAGCATATATGGGTATAAATCATCTCTGTGAAGTCCCTAGAAATTTGACTTTTTTATTGCTGCAATAGAACAGCAAACCAGCCTGACAGTCTGAAATACCTGCTCAGAACCAAGCACAAGGCCTGAAGGTCTACACATCAACATGAAGGCTGCCTTATCCGTGCTGGTCCCTCTGGTTCTGGCAACGTTATGTGGTGCCAGTTTGCTTGATCAGTTGCCGAGTTGCGCGGTACGACTTGACTCGCGCTTTCTCACGTGTGCTCTTGTAATAGCGTGGTCATCTAATATACATGCACCCGATCACAGGTCAATTGTTTTGAAAGCTCTTTTCCAGTCTCCCGCTGTTCCTCGCAAGACATAAGCTGTCTATGTGCAGACACTGGATTCCAAGATGCGGTACAGCTGTGCGTCGGCAATGGTTCCTGCACACCAAAGGAGGTTCTCAGTATGATGGCTCAAATCCCTGAAATCTCTGCTTTGCAATTCTTCAAGTTATAACCATCTGAAGCTGACGTTCTTAACGCCCATAGCAACCACCAATGCCACGTATTCGGCCTGTGGACTGCCGACTCATGATATTGAACCTGTCATGATTGGTATTCCAGCCACGTTTGGAAGTCTTGCAATCATATTTGTCCTACTTCGTGTTTATGCGCGATTGTACGTCAACAAGTTCTTTGCATGGGATGACAAGTTCATCGTTGCTGCTCTGGTATGGTTTTTTATTGCTATCCATGGATGAACGGTACTGATTGTGCTGCGAGTAGCTCTTCGCCTGTCCATTGAATTTTCTACTTTTCCCGAGTACGTTTGAAAGCACTCTTGCCTTCCAAATCAGCTTGATTTTATATCCATCACATACTAAGTTGAAATTTGTTAGTGGCCAGGTCAGGAATGGGCAAGGATATTTGGACAATTCCATTCGGAGATTTGACGCAAACACTAAAGGTAAAAAAGCCCTCCTATTGTTCTCTAGCTTCTCCAGCGTCTTTGCTTACCACCTTGTCCCAACTGCCTACACAGGAACTTTACTTTGCCGAAGTATTTTACATGGTCTCGGAAATGTTCACTCAGCTTTCCATCTTATTCTTCTACCTTCGAGTTTTCGATTCAACAACATTCCGCCGGTCAGCCATTGGCCTCTGTGTGTTCGCAATCTGTTTCGGTATCTCCAACACGTTCACAATGATTTTCCAATGCACATCGATATCCTTCTTCTGGAATGGATGGACAGGCGAACATGCTGGAAAGTGCATCAACATCAACCTGTTTTCGTGGATCCGCGCGGCCATTGAAATCATCATTGATTTGACCATTATTTCGCTTCCCATTCCCTTCTTGTTGCGGTTAAAACTCAACTGGCTCAAGAAGCTGCAGATCTTGGCCATGTTTTCGATAGGATTTTTGTAAGTTATACACCATCCCCCTTCTTCTGCCTTTCTGCTTCTCATGGTCAGAGTAATCGGAAAGGGGACCAAGACAACGAGGAAAATAGCACGGGGCTAACTATGAACCATAACAGAATTACTCTTGTCAGCATTCTCCGACTCGAATCTCTTGTCCGATTCTCCAAGTCCACTAATACAACTTGTATGATAACCACACATCCCATCTGGTAAAGATAATCTGTATATTGGACGATGCACTGACACAACAATAGATGACAATGCCCCAGCAATCTACTGGTCTGTCTTGGAATGCGACATAGCTATTCTCTGCGCCTGCATGCCAGCCCTTCGTATCGTTCTCGGTGCGGTCCTTCCCAAGTACTTCGGTAGCAACTTCAATTCGACTTCAGGAGGATCACGTAGAAGCGGAAGAAATGATCAGCAACTTTCACCCAAAGCCGATCCTGAAGCCGACCCTATTAACAAGACAATCGCTACATGGACTGCCGGTCCGGCCGACCACAGCCGTACACCAAGCCCAGTGGAGATGAACCACTTTGAACAAGATGAAGATAAGGCTTGAAAAGTCCGAGGCCAGGCAATGTTTGTATCTAGCTGGATACGAGTGTTGGCTGGCAAACAGAAAAGTGTGTTCCAGTGCGTTATTATGTATTCCCCCATAGTTCAAACCAACCAAGTTCGAACTGTGTCCCTCATTACTTCATTTCCTTGCTACAGTTCAAACAAGATTATTAAATATCAAGATTCTAATTTGTCATTCATTAATGTATTATTGTTGTTTCATGTTGTGAATGAAATATTCATTTCGGGCTCTGTTTTACCAAGTAAATTGATTCTGTGGCAACTCACATGTAGCGATGGGCTATTTTCGTTTGCACTGATGGCGATACACGTTTGTCTATGAATAGATGTATTTTGGATTGAACAAGATGAACTTTTTTTGCCCGTTGTTATTGTGACTACATGCATGGTTATCCCGTTAAACAAATTACCAAGGTAACAGCGAGATATATTCAATGCGATCATCCCAGGGCACTTTCGTTCCATGTATGGTACCCGGAAGACCGTTCTTGTTTGGCTGTCCTTAATTCATTATCACAATCAAACGCGCGCAAGCACTCGATAGTGCCTGACCCATCTTCATCAAATGAGTTATAGGTAAAGCCGTTATCGTAGCAAGTTCCGGCGTAACAGAATGCGAAGTTCCGGTCGTTGTTTTGGATTTCCGTTATGACTACTGTCCAAGGCAGCTCGGAGTAAATGGCTACGTTTTTCACTGGTTTCTCGAGATAGCCGATGAGGTTGCATGCATGGTCGAAGATGTTGATTCCTGTCCATACCTCGGAATACCTGTAGGTTTTTTCATTGATAACTGGGGTACCCTCAATGTTGAGGTTGCAAGTTCCTGGCCCCGTAGCAAGGCACCAACTCCCTTGGACAGAGCTCAGCATAGTTGTGATGATGATGGCGGTGATAAAGTAAGAATGCTGTATCTTAGATTTCATCTTCGCGGTGCACAAATGAAACGGCAAGTTGTTCAGCTGTCAGGGTCGAAGTTTCAATGTTGCGGTTGCGGATTCCAATATCTCAAGGTTTTAGAATCTTCAGGAGCAAAAAACGTGAACGTCGGATACCTATATAGGGATATAACCGTGGAATTATACTTCAACATGCGGCATAGTGCGGCAGGGATGAAACGCACTGCCTCTTGTTGCACTACCTAGGTATATGATTGGATATATATAAAACTACTAAATTTAAAAACCTAACTATAGCCTACCTTGTATACAAGAGTAGGACCAAGAACATATCATTAATACTTAAACTCTTCGCAGCAGATAATTCCAGCAAAGTTTATTATAGGCATCGTTAACCACTTCGCCATATTGCCATGTTGTAGTGTCAAATCTCTTCGAAAGATCAAGGGTCAAATAGAGATGCGCACAGTCGAAAATCGATACTATCAATAACCAATTCTTTGTGTTGGATCCAAAGAAGAGAAGTACCGCGGTTACTTTTAATGTGTATGGGTAGTACCCTATGGTACACAATCCTATGAAACCCCGTGCGTTCGTCACTCGTAGACTAAGAGTGAAGATGTCGAAGGCCCCGTATCACTCATGGGAGTCGTGCCAACATTGGAATGACTGATTGGGTCACGTTGGCAACGATAATATAGAAAATATAACAAATAATGTTCAAGGCATCATGATAATTGGGGATAGAACCAATGGAACGTGAAGGCGAACTATGTCATCCTCGTGAGTAGATATCACGGTGATCATTATGGACCACCTGACCCAATAAGACATCTTGATCTTATCCCGATGGAGAGACCAGTGGCTTATTTATCACCATATTTCACATTCTATTGCCCAGCCTCAGGCAAACACGACATTGAGTTCCTGCATGAAGAGATAGAGAATTCATGGCTAAGATTTCAGAGAAACCTAGCTACTCTGCGTATACCTAGGTAGAAGAACGTTGTTATTTATTTCAAACGTGACTCTCCGTTTAAAGGAGAGAAGTGAACAACTCGGAGTTTGACAAAGAAAAGGATTTTTGAACATTCGATGATTACCAACCCTTTCATACCTAAGCTATTGTTATTAGTAGGAACAATATTAAGCCTGTGTTTCAGAAAGAAAAGGACGATGAGATCTGCTGAACGATTCGGCCAACAACATCCTTTGCCTTCGCTTTGACTCGCTTCATAAAGAACCAACCTCCCTGCATCCAATTTATTAATAACCAAGCCGTAATTTATTATAGAGGGCATTAGGTTGCTAAAAGTCCCACAAAGGCCAATGTATAACTGACAAAGCAAAGTTTTCATTTGTTATTACTGAAAGATAGCAATCTAGCTTCTAGTTAGATGATTCGGATAATCTGTAGTTGCGCATTACCTGATCCCGTAAGTACCTGGTGCTCATTGCCATATACTTAGGTACGTACCCATGTAGGTGTACATATGACGTGTCCAGATAAAGCTTGAAACCTTCCTGGCAGGCTAAAGTGAGAAACTAGAAACTAGGACCTTTGTGGATATGTAAACCGCGTTTCATGACGCCTCTGGCACGATGCTGAGAGGCTCTAAAGATCTATAGACGCTTGCAGCATAAGATCCTCGGTCCGAAATGAAGCTGTGTTAGGGTTGATCCGACCGGACCCAAACCCGAAATGTTTCTTGGTCTATTACGTCACGTCTAAGTACACAACTGTTCTGACAGATGGTTTCACATAGATCCTTCACCATCAACAACGAATATAAAGAAGGCACTATAAAAATGCCACCCAGAACTAGAAAGGCTGCCATAGCATCCTCCAGCAAGTCCGCAGCGCCAGCGGATGAAATGGCCGTCGTCAAAACGGAGTCAACTTCCACTGCAAAACCAACTGCAGAAGCTGCCAATTGCTTGGACTCGGAGGCAACACTAGTTGTTGATCAGGGCGAGGAAGACATGGAGATCTTCGAAGCGGTAGACGAAGACAGTGCCGGGCCAATGGAGGCAAAGAATCTGCAGAACGAGGATGACCAGCGGCTCTATGCTATCGGCGGCGGCGGCTATAACGCCCTGAAAACGTTCCAAGGTCAGGTATACTCAGGTATGGCTATAGGGGGATCTCACACGTGGAACTATGATCAGGGCTTATGGAAGGAAACGAAGGTTGAGCCAGATCGATGGGAGATTGACTATAGTACGAAAAAACGACGGGCGAGAAAGGCACCAAAAGGGAGCGGCGTCCCGGTTGGAGCGCAATACCACTGGTTGATCGTGGGACATCAGGTAAGATCTAAACGGACTGTCCTTTGCCAGCTATTCATATGTATGTGAATGTGGAAACAACGACTGATAATGTACGTCTTGGGTGCATCGCCTTCGAGGGGAACAGTATGTTGAGAAACTAGACGAAAATACCTACAAGACGCACCTCGTAGGGTCAAAATACAAACTAGCACATAAATCAGCATCAGCAACTTCGTGGTCTGTGCCTACGGTAAAAGGCCAGCGAGACCGCGAGGTCGATCTCCTAGAAGATGCAAAACGACGAGTGCAGGGCCTACCGCCAGTTTTACCCACGGAGAAAGCCAAAGTCGATCAGAAGCAGGAAAAGGGCCAGCAGACACTTGATACATTATTTACGAAGCGCAAGTCAGGTAAAGAGGATGACAAGGGCGAAGGAACTAAGAGGCAGAAAATCGAAACCCAGGAGTAATGGGACAAATATAGATAGCCTTCACAATATTTGAAACGCTGCCGGGACCCATATGCTCATCTCACCTGCTGTGACATTACCAGCACTAGGCAGTAGACACTAATACACCGCTATTTCCCATGTATACGAGTCTGTACGAGTTGAAGCGGGGACTAAGTGACACTTGCATGGATTTTGATTACTTATATACTTATAGCTGACATATTGCACGCATGCCTGTCGTTTTGATTCTTTAGATAGCGCCGCTTGATTATGCATCGGATGAGATTACAAAATAAGTAGTGACATGATATTTTTCTCGCTCTCTTACATAGTGTCTCGTGATATTACTCTGTATTAAACGCTCACTTTTCCCTCTTCCTGCGCCCGTTTCAAAAGTTCTTCAGAGACGATCTTCTTGAGATCCTCAACAACCGCTTCTTCATTGATAAGCTCGCTCTCAGTCCAAAGAATGTGCTGGGCGATTGCCTGCCATATCATTGCCTCGGTTCCTGGAATTACATACCACCCATTGTTCTCGGCATAGTCATAGAGGGATGTGCGAATTTTGGGGTGATAACACATCTCTAGTAGCAGGCCCTTTTCCGATTCATTCTTCCGCCCAAGTAGCTCTCTTGTGATCTCATACGATAGTTTTTCTCCCTCGGTTTGCGGAGTCAAATCAGGAATGGCACCAACAACATAATATGGCGCAGTCAGTGCCTTTGCTTCTTCCAGAGAATGCACACCTCGCAACTTTGCTCTGAACTCTGGGCCAGAAGAGGAGTCTCGAGTGAACCACGAAATCAGCTCGTCTGTTTCAGACTTCAGCCGACTAACTAAATAGATCTCTGAGACGCCGAGGAGATAATGCAGAGCATAAATAGCACTGCGAGAAGCACCGCCACCTCCAATCACAAGACCAGGTCTACTTTTCGCTTCTGGAGACACCAGGGATGAAGGAATACTGGTGAAAGATCTACTAATACCGATTGAATCGGTGTTGGTGCCGATGCGTTTCGTTTCGCGGGTGGTTCTGTCGCGACGGAGGAAGATTGTGTTTATCGCTCCTATTACTTTCCCAGAAGATGTGACCTCGTCAACGTGTGACATGAAGGTTACTTTATGCGGCATGGTCACCCCCGCGCCGATGCAAGTCTTGGAAGGATCCTGTGAATCCAGAGCGTCCAGTAAATCCTTAGGATCCTTTGACTCGAGTAGATAGTATTGCCATGGCAGATTTTTGGTTGAGTACATATAGTTTTGCACTGCCGGAGACAACGAGTGATGTATCGGATAGCCTAAGAGAGGGATTTTAAATTCTTTGTTTCGAGACGTCGAGTCGTAGAACATAGGCAGACCATGGTCATAAGAGTCGCGAAGCGCGATGGACAGATCAGAAGGCATTTTGGGCGGATAAACACGTCGATACTTTCTTGCAACCCACTGCGTATGTATTGCGGAACGGAGTCTTTTTGTTGGCGGAGGAACCTTGTCGAATAGAGAAAAGCACGGTTGAACAATGCAGAGAAAAGTGTTCCGTTTTGGTATATTAAGATGCGCCAGCCTTCATCTGAATCTTCTATGCGGGAGGAGTCTTCTTTCCCAGCGTATACCGGGATCATCCGTGGCACGTGAAGCGGCTAAGTCTTTCGCCGTGCCAAGTCCCGGGCACAAGTTCCGTCTTCCATCTGTTGGTGAACCAACTACATTTTTTACACATAGTATGCTATATGCGTAACAAGTGTATGGATTGCAATCCTGGTGCATAGATGATAGTGGATATACAGTACAGAAGACTAACCGTTAAAAGTGTTTCCGGTTCCTCAGCCAGCAGGTCGTTGCGTGATGGGCCTGTACTAACTCGTGCTCGGGGATTTCCACAGACCTTGTAATTCTCTAGTTTCACATGATTGTGTAGTAGTAGTAGTAGTCTTATCTGCACAGCCTTCAAGACTACTGTAGAAAATATATGTATGAAAGTCTACATATGTCAGCCCCACAGCCTACCCGCGGCCGGCCCGTGAGGTCGATTGACGAGGGTATTGATTTTCCCGGGCTGCTTAGATGCCATCGGCCCCCTATTTATCAACCGCCTTTGTAAAACATTGTCGTCTTTAGATCCTGGTCAATTATTTTGGTGTGTCGACTCATCTTAGTTATTTAGCGCGTGTGGAAGATTGTATTACATTGTCCTTCTGTCAACCGACCGCGGGCAAGACGGTTTCTCCATAGATTTTAGATATCGAGCAGAGGAAAAGCCCAACACGGAAAAGATGCAGTGTGCACCGGGGATATCAACCATGTCCCTGGGACGCGCCTGGGTGCATGAGATGCCGGAGAAACTACGACAGGCTGCCCACGCAGGGTTTCAAGGGATCGAGGTTTTCTACGAAGACCTGGACTATCTCGCGCGATCATATGGAGATAAGCGAACTTATGAAGAAAATCTATTAGCCGCAGCCGCCGAAATACGCAGTCTATGTGATCTTTATCGCCTCACAGTGATCAACCTACAACCATTCGGCTTTTACGGAGGTCTCCTAGATCGTGAAGAACACCGCCGAAGGATCCAAGAAGTCAAATTTTGGTTTCGACTGGTCAGAATCATGAAGACGGATCTTATCCATATACCATCAAATTTTCTGCCTAAGGAGAAGGTCTCCGACGATCTTGATCTCCTTGTCCGCGACTTGACCGAGATTGCGGACCTGGGCTTACAAGAAAAACCCCCCATCAGATTTGCCTTCGAGAGTCTTTGTTGGGGAACATATGTTGATACTTGGGAACAGTCGTGGGACATTGTCGTGAAAGTAGACCGACCAAACTTTGGATGCTGTCTCGACACCTTCAATATCGCCGGCCGCGTGTGGGCTGACCCAACCAGTCCAACCGGGAAAACTGCAAATGCAGATGCAGATCTTAGAGCGTCCCTTGATCGTATGCGCACAACTGTTGATATCAATAGAGTCTTTTTCATTCAGCTAGTGGATGCTGAGCGTATGCAGTCGCCCCTAATTGAGGGTCATCCGTGGCATGTGGAGGGCCAGCCAGCCAGGATGTCATGGAGTCGTAACGCCAGACTATTCGCCTATGAGGTTGACAGAAACGGCTATCTTCCGGTAATAGATATTGCGAAGGTGATTTTGAAGGATCTCAGGTACAAAGGATGGGTTTCTATGGAGTTATTTTCACGAACAATGGTCGATTCGCATCCCTCGGTACCAGCCTCCCATGCCAGGCGAGGTATCGCCTCATGGGAAAAGCTAAAGGCAAACTTTGATGATGGTGTCTCGCATCAAATTTCGGGGAGGCTATAATGCCAACTTTCTGAATATATCTCTATGTGCTAATATAATACTATCATCGATGTGACCTTGTCTCAAGGGGCCTCCGGAGGACCGTGAAAAGCCATGGAGTCGAAGTTGAGTTCATTGCTGAGAAAGCCAAGGTTTTGAGCGAAGTCGGCGATTTCATCATCATACCTACTCACTATGTTAGCAATTATACGTTAACACAACCAAAGATGCATAAATACATGCCTTCTTGGCAAGACCATGGCAGCGATATCCTCAAATATCACATCGAGATCATCCCTCTCAGCCACAGTATTATCCATCTGCGGATCTGTAGCTATCTGCATATCGCTTACAGGAGTCTGCGAGCGAAACATTATTAGTGATTAGGAAACATAAATCATGCAGGATAAACCGTGGAGATTGGTGATTGTTTTTACTCACATAGATTCGATCATCGGGTACGGTTGTGCCAGCAGTACTGACTAATGGTGATGTAGATAGTGTTTGTGATGACATTACCCCATTTTTGGATCGTGATACCATAACAGGGTTTTGGCCAGATGCCAATGGGCGGTTAGAACTGTATACCTCTTGGACATCCGCAAAAAATTGAGAGAAACGTGATCGAAGGTTTGTGTTGATATCTGATGGGGCAAAGTTGCGCGACAAGTCAATAGCAGACTTCATCTGAGATGCATATATGACCAAGAGTGGATTGCGATACAATGGATGACCTGAGTTGAGAGATTGGGCCAGTAGATCTAGAGTAGTGCTGGCTTCTTTCTCAATCAGATCGCTGTGCTGGACCCCAGCCTTCATAGCCTGTTCAAGCACGAGCAATAGAACAAAACTGTATGTCAAATGAAGAATGAAAACAGGCGGTATTGCTATTCCCAGCCTCGGTAATTGATGATGCTTTTTCAGCTTAGAGTGCCAGATTTGCAGATGTGCAATAAGTCCTTGCAATTGACCTCGATCAAGCTTATCCTCGTCCTGAGGGGGTATTTTGCTCACAAGTTCACAGGTCAAGTTGAATGAACTTATGGTGCGAAGAGGTTGTCTGTCATAGCCAATTAAAGTAGACTGGTAACCCTTCGGTTGTAGCGGAAGCTCCCATTCTTCTAGAGCATTCTCGTCAAGGTGACCAATGACTGAATACCAAGTGTTTGGGAAGAAAGAAGTTGTGGATAGGTAGGCGGACAATAGCTGATCGAGAAAGAAGCATCCATGTAGTGTGTGGTAATATCTTTCGGAATTTTGGCGATCGACGGAATTAGCATCTATTAACATAGTGAATGCTTGCAAAAGCAACAGTCTAGACGTGTTGAATTGTCGTTGACCCATGTTCAATAGTGCTAAGATGCAAAGTGCCTGCACACTGCCGATTGAAAAGCAGTTCTCGTTCTTAGTCAAGCGAAATCTGACGTAAGTCTGGATACTATCTGAATGGGCCGAGCCATACAAATTGGACTCGCCAGTTACCGTGGCCGACGTATAGGCGACTATTGCCCACAGACAGAGGCCATAGTTTTTTGCATCATGCTGCTCCGAATCAATGCCCGTTTCGTCATGGTACAGAGCTTTCAAAATTGTCCGACGTTCAAGGATTGGGAACCAGCAATGAGTGGTCTGGAAATAGTTATCGATTATTTCTTGTATATTTGCCGGATATTCAGGCGATGGCAAGTCTGCACATTGCTGCAGCCTATCGAATAGATTTAAACTGTCCGGCTGCGGATGTGTGGGCCTTGGATTTTGCAGTTGCGGAAGCTGAGCTGCGTCGGTTGTCAATCTGGTTGCGATATTGCTGTCCACGGAACTGAGTAGTTGTTCGAAGTCCTTCGCTAAATCGGAAGATCGCCAAATATCTGATGCGTTGTCTAAAAATTCGCTGTCGACTACGCGGCCAGCAATGTTGTCCCGCAGTACTTTGCGGAGAGTGTATTCGCCATTCGGAAGGAACTGCTGGAATAGGCCCAGCAACGCCTCGATACCTCTGACATAACCAGTTGGCAGGCCACGCTTTCTCACGGGCGTCCCATAGGTGCACCCTTTGCCGAGATTATCGCAGGTTGAGCATGACGGCTGACCTCCATCGCATTTTGACTTGCGTTTTCGGCATTGGTCGCAGGCCTGGTTAATGCGCTGCCGCTTCGAAGAGGAGTCCGGGTCCGACATTGCGTGTCATTGTCATAGCGATCCTTGTTATTGGGCAACTTGGGCAACTTGGTCGGTGAGCAGATCCAGTATGCATGATTGAATTGTTGTAGTTTTTGACCGCACCGGGGAAGACGTAGATCACGTGGGCGGTTGCGGGGGCCGTTCCTCCGATGCCCCAGGCTCTGTCGGATCAACATTCATCCGGGCGCAGCGGTCGCTACTGCAGTCCGTCCGTTCTGTTGATGTTCATTCAGCATCCAACTATCCTGGCAGCTATGGTGTACTTCAGCGACTGCAGCAATGGATACAGCATCCCTAGGACGCCCTGCTCAGCGCCAGATGGACCTGTCGCATCACAACCCACGAAAGCGCCGGTTTGACCAGACAGAGCCGCAACAGAACAACCCATCGCATGCCTCTCTTCAAGTAGATTTGGATCGCCATTCCAGGCATCTGGTTTCCCTGTCGTCAACCACTAGATCTCCCACGCTCGAAGATCCCGAAAACCGCTTTGAGTCGCCGCTCTTGCCCAGACAGTACTCTGGGGATGAAAGTATTATTCTGGTGGGATTCCCCGGCACGGGCAAGAAAACGCTTGGTCTGATAGCGTCAGCAGCCTTGCGCAAGGAATTCATAGACTTTGATACCGCATTTACCGGGAGGACTGGGCTGGCACCTAGGGAATACATTGAAGCTCATGGAGCAGCAGCTTACCGAAATGTGGAAGACGAAGTGACAATCGAAGTTATACATTCGAAACAGAAAGGATTTGTTCTTGTCGGATTCTTCGCGATGGCAAGCAATCGCCAACGCTGCTTGCTGAAAACTCTATCAAGCACCAATCCTATTATTCATGTTCAACGGGATCTCAGTGATATCATCCACCATACGAGCCCCGACAAGGACCGACTCTACCGAACCTACCAGCTCAGCGAAAAGTTGCATCGGAGATTTGCCAATTTCGAGTTCTTCAATATTACCCAATCGTCAAAGAATGAAAAAGCGCTTGGACCTCTAAAGCTGAAAGCCACTGAGGGAGAATTCATTCGATTTCTTCACCGCATTTTGCCGCTCTCTGAGGGTGCGAATGGGCTTGCCAGTCTTTTTACAAATCCCTACACATATGCGTTGCAGGTCCCTATGTCATGGTTGGAAGATCCCAATTCCGATTACACAGAGCTGGATTCTGGAGCCGATGCAGTTGCAATCTTGGTTGAGATAACTCAAGATTATCATCATGACATTTTTTCTAGGCTGTCCCAAAGAGTTGCAGTATTGAGAAAATACTGCCACGTTCCTATCATCATTGACCTGGAGACTTCAAAGACGTTGGGCTATTCAGCGCAAATAAATTTGTTCGAACTGGTTCTTAGGCAAGCGCCGGACATTATTGTGGTGTCACTTGATACGGATTCGGCCATAGCTAAGCAGCTATCACTGGCAAAATGTCACTCTAGTATCATTGGTAAATATCACCAGAAACATGCAATTTCGGAAAATTGGCACTCAAAAAACCTGCCGGCCGCGTTCGAAAAAGCCAAGCTACTCGATTGCAGTGCTGTACGGTTAACTGGTGAAGCACAAGCGTCCGACGATAATCTGGAATGTGTGCGCCTAATTCAAGAAGCGCGAAAGTTATGTACTTTTCCAGTTAGCTGTTATAATACAGGGCAATATGGACGATCGTCTGTTTGTTTAAACCCTATATTGTCCCCAGTCGTTCTCCCATCGCAGGCCGCGAGCGAAGGAGTGACCCTCGCGGAAGCGCAACAAGCATTGTACTCGTCGTTTTGGCGATCTAAAAAGCATTTCACGGTCTTCGGCCAAAATGTTTCATACAGCTTAACTCCCGCTATGCACAGGGCTGCATGTAATGCGTGTGGAATGCCGCATACGTGTGACTACGTGGAGAGTGACCATTTATCGCGAATCCGCGAGTTCTTTGAACGTGAAACCCAAGGAGGCCTTGCTATTGTATATCCCTACAAAACTGAGATTGTGCAAATGATGGATGAACTAAGCGTTGATGCAAAAATCATAGGCGCTGTTAATACTGTCGTTATTGAGAGAATAACTAAAGCTGATGGTCCGCCACGGTTGTATCTCAAGGGTTTCAACACAGATCATATCGGGCTTCGTACATGTATCGAGAAGAACTTATCGCCTGCGAACGCAGTCCGACTACAAACTAGCGCTCTCATTATTGGTGCTGGTGGCATGGCTCGTGCTGCTATTTATGCTTGTGTTCAAGCCGACGTCAAAAATATATGTATCTTCAACCGAACCGAAGCGAATGCACATAGGCTTGTGGATTACTTTGCGCCTGTGTATCCTCAGCTCCGATTGACTGTTCTACCTACGCTGACCACCCCGTGGCCGACAGACTTGTGGCAACCGACCATCATTGTCTCATGCATACCAGCCCACAAAGTTGGTGGAAGGGATGCGCCAGATTTGCTGATCCCGGAACAATGGCTAGGAAGTCCTACTGGTGGCGTCTTTGTTGAGGTTCGCTTATAATCTATTTTCATGGCAGACGCATACATGTCTAACATTATCGTCAGTTCGCATACAAACCCCTGGTCACTCGACTTATTAAGTATATGCAATCTCGTCGATTGCAGGGTTGGATTATCGCCGATGGCCTCGATGTGCTTGTTGAACAAGGCATTGCTCAGTTTGAAATCCTGACGAAGAGACCTGCCCCCAGCCATGTCATGAGGCGCACCGTGCGTGAGCAATACTCCATCGCGCAACATGCTCATGCTAGTCATGACTCTATGGGATTAAAATCGAACTAAAAGATGTTCTTTCACTCTTCGGACTTCGGGACTATATAGCCTACTCTCACACCTCGAATCCATTGGAAACCCATGATCTATGAATCGATTTCGAAATGGAAAGCGCCTTCCAAGGTTGTTGTAAGAAAAGTTCCTCATAGTTCCACTACTGAAATGGTTTGGGCAGGCTTTTTTTTTTTTTAAAAAAAATAATAAAAGTCAGAAAACGCTTAGCCTGGACTCGATGGCGCCGGCATGTTCAAAGCGATACGCCGGCGAGAACTCCGTTCGACAAGCGGGGTATTCGGCAATCCGCCGATTTCTGATTGGGTCGGCAAAGTGTTTCCCCGTACTTCACGGAGGGCGCGGGTGACGCCATATCATCATTAGCAGTCACAAATATGCTATGCAACTCTTTTTACGTTCTGCCATTCAGAAGAGACACAAAAATAAACAAGAAACTGAAAAAAAAAAAAAGAAGAACGTTTTTCCCTCGAAAGCACCATGCCCTCCATCCTAATCCTCAACGGCCCCAACTTGAATCTCCTCGGGCTTCGAGAACCACATATCTACGGATCAGAAACACTACAGGATGTTGAAAATACATGTCGCGAGCTAGGAAGCCGGCATAATGTTAGCATTGAAACATTTCAAAGCAATCATGAGGGCCATTTGATTGACCGGATCCACGAGGCACGAAATAAAGCGGACGTGATTGTGATCAACCCAGCAGGCTATACTCACACCAGTGTTGCCATCCGCGATGCACTACTCAGCGTATCCATACCCTTTATCGAGGTTCATCTCAGCAACGTTCATGCAAGAGAGCAATGGCGGCACCATAGCTATTTCTCAGATAAGGCCGCTGCGTGCATCGTAGGCTTGGGAACTTTTGGATATGAGGCTGCCATTCAGTTCGCTGTGCGGAAGGTGATCCCAAAAACCACTGCCTAAGCAGCGAGACATTATGTTCAGCTGCTATCAGACGTCCAGTATACGAATGTTCATTCGATGGAGGATTTTGTTCTCAAGTTTAGGATTCTTTTCGGGGGAGCGATTCTTGTAATAATTACAACGTGATGACATTATTTGATGGTGAACAATGATCGATAAAATACTTTCTCCAATCACGAACTTTTCATTTAGTGAGGTTACTGACCTGTGTGAGGATAGTATGGTTTTCACTACCTAGGCGCCATATATGTAAATGAATATAGAGTCGCAGTACCTAACAGGTAGAGTTAAGTTATTTGATGCATGTCATGGTTTCATGCTAGTACCCAAATTTGAAGTCGTTAAGAGATAAGCGGAGCATCCTTACACCTTCTCAAACCATTTCTCGTCTATCTTTAAGTCACTCAGTTCAGCAGTTCTAGAATCGAGAGTTAGAACAATACTGACAACAAGAATTTTTACATGGGGTAGTCCACCCAGCTCTCTCTCCATACTCAGGAGGGCCGAGTGGTCGAGCTAGAAGAAATAATGTGGCGCCCAAAAATTCGGCTGATCTCTTGAAGGCTCCTTCCGGCAATTTCGGGAACCATTAAATAGGTGCAGAGAAGTGCCAACACGCAGAATCCATTTAGTAAATCAAACTCTCCCCATTGATGGAGATTGATAAGAGTTGAAGGTGTCGCTTTGGGGATATCGAAGTGAAATAGCTAGTGAAAGCCTTGCGACTATTCCCCGCCAAATGAGCGAATCTTGCTAGGCCAGAGCTCTGCACCGAAGAGGTAGAGATAAGGTAAGCTGCACAGACGTATTGCCCAGCAGAATGACTGTACCCAGGTATGTAAATAAAATTCAATACCTCTTGGGTTGAACTTTTGCTCATACTCTTTCTATGCGGAGAGATTTTCGTCGTCTAGCGATGTCTATGACAAATAACGATGCAACCACACAGCAAATCAACTTAGTGACAGTGTAGAGGGCTGCTGAGTATACCTTGACATCTGAGCTTGTAATCCCTATCAAGCCAAAAATTGTCCGCAAATAGTTGGCAATTACGCTTGCTTCGGACATTTGTGCTAGCACGTAGATGATGATGGTCAGTTGGACCCGGCGTTTTGATCTCACCATAAACGTTTCCTTGATGCTTTTAATGATGCTTTTGATTCAAATGTCGGCTTCTCTATCTTCAGTCTGAAATGCCATGCTATAAAATTCGGTGCCGAAGGGGTCAAAGTTCCAGAAAACATGGGGGAGAGTCTAGATTCTTCGGGAAAAAGGGATTTGGGATGTGAACCAGGAAGTCAACGGCGTTACATTGCGACAAGTTACCGGCTGTTCGTCTAGAACAGGTATCTCGTTTTTCCGAAAAAAACATTCGATCTATAAATGGGAAGAATAAGGACGAAAAGGTCCTGGCTTCAACCATTGGCGGTGCGCTCAGTTGCTAGAATCAGTCATTCGAGGTGAGCTAATAGCTGCGAGTCATAATCATTGATTACACTGGTTAGGTCCTCCGTGTGGGAATGCAATTGATGAAGAACGATACACGCGCCCGACATCTTCGATTATATTCTCCACATTCAAACATATTCTTGTAACTTCTGGCCTCAAGGTCCTATTTTGCGGTGTGCTTCCCCATTGGGGTTGTGGCTTGGGCTACAATCGGTATGGTAGGGCTTGAGGACACAGTGAAAGAGATGCTCAACCGCAGCTAATTCGACGATATTTTTGATATTTCGACCCTTGGAGACGACGCTCGATCCCTAAGCTAGGAGGAGCTTTAGAAGCCTCACACACAATATACATCATGCCAATATTATTTTTGCCATCTTTCATTACGCTTGGCCATATACCAATGTCTTTGGTGTAAACTAATAACTCGAGTAAGATGCATTCTCGATAGCTTCAGGGTAAATAAGCCCACCTTGTCTTCGGGCCTCGTCCATAACTTCCAAGACTGCAATGATTTCCTCCCATGGTAAAGATTGACTCTGGATTTTACCATCACGTAGACATCGACCAACCTCATCAGCCTCCCAGTACATGCCCTTTGCCTCAGACGGAACCGGGTAATCCACCACTTTCACGGATTCAATGTCTTGGCCTTCAGCACCATCGCAACGTGAAATGACACGATATCTCTCGGGCCGGAAAGACGGTCCATCCAGTTGGATTTCACCCTTTGTCCCCTGTATACGGATTGCTGGGCCGGCGCTATTCTTACCATCCGGATCAGTTGAAACTCGGAGATTGGTGAGAGCGACAGCTTGGGACTTCCACTCCGGTACGTCGTTTGGGGCAGAGGTAGGAAATGTGAGTAGAATAGAAGAAGCCTCATCTGCACCAGTGAGATGGTTTAGAGTCATCTGAGCTGCAATTCCGGATGGAGCCTGGCGCAATGATTCGGGAAGAGCGTGATAAAGACATAGAAATATCCAGGTAAGACTATAAATCCCCACTACATGAAATCATTATCAATTGCACCCTGTATGCTAGAATAAGCTAAGAAATAAGTCTGATGTATCGGACTCACAATCAAGTAACGCTCCACCAGCTAGGTCTCTGTTGAGCATTCGATGCTGTGTGCCCCAGGTTTTCTCGACATCGTCTCCAAAGCTTGTGTCTACCACTACGCGTAGAACCTCGCCGATTTGACCCCGCCGAATCTTTTCGAGTACATCAGACGTGATCGGTAGGAAACGAGTCCACATAGCTTCCATCAGAAAGAGATTTCTTTTTCTTGCTTCCTCACACAAGGTTCTTGCTTGGTAGGCATTCACCGTCAATGGCTTCTCGCACAAGACGTGTTTCCCAGACTCGAGAGCCAGCATAACATGCTGGAAATGATGGGAATGCGGTGTTGCAACATAGACCACATCCACCTTTGGGTCGGCGACCATGAATTTGTAGGAGTCATAGTTGGTACAAGCAGACGATAACCTCAACTCATTGACAAAATGTCGCGTTTTTTCCATCGATGAGGACGACGCTACCGCTGTGACGACATGGCTGATGGTTCTATCACTTTGCCACTTCTGACTTAACAGTAGGTCTTTGGTAAAGGCTAACTGTATGTGTGAGTGATGGGGAGAATAGAATTGGCCTCATGCCAATATTGGGTTCAAAATGAGACGTACTCTTCGCTATGTTGCCGGTGCCTAAAGTTCGTGCTCAAATTTCAGCCCCTATGATGTGATGAGTACTATCACGCTTAGGATACCTTACCCATAATGCCCCATCGTAGAATAAATGGACTATCCATTTAGATAATGTTGGACTGTTTGTATTGATTTTCTATTCGTTTTGCCGCCGTGTCTAGTAAATTTCTGATTCTCTCAGATATCCTTCGATCACCAGTCAACCATAGGACTATTAAAAGAACAGGGGGGAGGGGGTGCAATGTGATAGAAGATACCTAGTATGCAAATTTTCCTTTTGCTCATAGCTGTTGTGCGCAAGGAGCACTTTTGGACGTTTAAGAAAGAACTGAAGTACCAATGTCGCACAATAAGACATTGGCGGTTCATTCCCCAAATTTCTGTGTTCCCGGAGAGGCAAAGAGCATATTTCCTAGTTTACGTGGAACTTGCAATGTTGCAATGTTATCTACGCAGAAAGGCTCGAATTTGTTGCATCGCTATCATAGATGGTATCCGGATAAAACGGTTTCTCTCGATGAATAATGTCACGTTACATAATTTTAAGTTGTTTTCGCCCGTGAACTTCGTTATTTACTCAACCTCATTTCATATTGCTACGATGACAGAGTTATGTGGATCACATCATAAGACATCGTGCCAGCGTGATACTGGTTTCTGTTGTTGCTTCGTGTTTTGCGGAATAATAATATTCAGTAAGAAGTAAGCTACTTCCTTTCTTCCGACGCGTTATATTTCTTCGATTGTTTATATATAGATGACAGCTGTCTCACTCTTTTGAAATATTAGAATTACGTTTGGTAAGCAAACAAATTCTACATCTGTTTCACGTATTTCCGATCAGAGACGCAATCAACCTACTTGTTTGAACAACAGACAGTGAAGCATGTCGACTACAACCACCGCGACAACTACAACAGATAGTGTTCCCAAAAACTATCTTGAAGCTCTTCAGCGCGATGGCTTCGTAGTTGTGCGATCACTTCTCTCCCCGTCAGAAGTGGCAACTCTGCGTGATGCTGCAACTGAAATCACTTTAATGACACGAAACGCCAAATGGCCATACCTGCGCTCGGTACCAAAACAATTTCCACCTTGGCCAAACACTCCACCACCGTCATCCGAGGGTGGAATCTGGGGAGTTCAGCATCTGATGCATCCGGAGATGCCCTACCGGGATAAATTCATCAAGACCTACTTTTCGCCTAAGATTTTGGGAGTCGCGGAGGAATTACTCGGAATCTCTGGTTCCGATTGCTCTAAAGAGGAAAAACTGGTGATGGAATTATTCAATCTTCTGGTCGCACCGGAAAATAAAGCCTTTGAATTGCGTTGGCACCGGGATGATATCCAGGAAACAGTCACGCCAGAACGTGAACTTGAACTTCTCCAGCAAAAAAGTCCAGAGGGCAAACAGTCGCACGCGCAGTATAACTTGGCACTATGTCCCGACGCCTCACTTATTGTTGTGCCCGGTTCTCATCGTCGGGTGCGCACTGAGATCGAACGCGCTGCCGATCCTTACGAGGCTGTCCTACCAAACCAGCTGGTTGTCAAACTAGAACCTGGTGATGCAGTGTTTTACGATAGCAACATCTTGCACCGCGGCATTTATCAACCCAAAGTTGAGGGAGGAGAGGAAACGCGCCTCACGCTGCATGGTAGTCTAGGCCTGAAAGACAATAGCAAGGCTGATAACAAAGTGAGAGCAACAGCAGTCCTACAACATGGAATCGGATTCTGGATTGATCGGGAAGATGCTTCTCTGGGCGCCGGCGAGAGAGCCGAGAAAATGCGGACAAACCTGATAAGCCTGGGAAGGGGTGAGAATGTTGGATATTCGCTTGAAGGATAAATAAATCCAGCACCTAGGTTACCAAGTACGTACGCTTGGATACGATTAGTTGGTCCATATGCATTTTGTGACTATCAGTCACAATCCGAGCAGTTAGATGCAACGAATATACAGAGATTTTTCATTTACCATTACTGAATCGGGTTAGGGCTCGGGCACTCACGTGGCAATGTGAGCGGGCGTAACTTCATTCTATGTAACGTTGCACTTTTTGCCCCCTGATTTTTTACTTTTCCTTCTTTCCCTTACTTTCTTTTCTTCGTCTGCCTTTCCTCCATAGCCCTGCTCGTTCCCTGGGCCCAGCCCATCAAATCTCGATAGTAATGATTGGTCAATATTTCATTATTGACTATATCGTGGATGGTGGTTTGTTGAGAGGTGGAGTGGCAAGCCTCTACGATACATAAGCTCTCTCTGTCAATGCTAGCTAATCATCGAGCTCTCATGGCTAGGTAATTTACCAGAGACTACTCCATACCGCGACTTGGATAGTCAGAACTGTCCACGACATACGGTTTTTTACGTCTAAAGTGTACTTACCATCGGTTTAATAGTTTCTCATGGCACCAGGTCTGGTTTATTGATTACTTGAACATGCAGCGGCCGAGAATCCATACGAAGTTTGGCTTCGTACAATATTAATTATGTTAGATTCTCTTGACAGGTAAGTTGTGCCTTTGTATGTTTACTTGATCCTTAATCTAACAAGCACATTATAGTCAGATCGGCTCCCTCCTTTCTATGGGATTTGAGGGCACGACGGTCACGCCGCAGGTGAAGTCTTTGATTGAAGATTATCGGGTCGGCGCAGTTTGCCTTCAAGCCAAAAACCTCAAGAGTAGGCCGTCCCATCATCAACGTAAACCACGCACTTAGCATGGCACGTGTCTTTCCCTCCGTGAAACACTACAAAGTGACATCTCCTCTAGCATGATACTAAGCCGTTTACTTGTGGACTAGGTGCTCCCCAGGCTATAGAGGTAAAGATGCAACATCCGTATGCCCTTAGATGAGCGTTCTTTAGTGATGATGTAATCTAATGTCTTAACCCCCCTCAAAAAGCTTATTACTTCGCTCCAGAAAGTAGCGTATGACGCCGGATACAGTGAACCATTGCTCATCAGTCTCGACCAAGAAAATGGAGGCGTCAATTCAATCTTCGATCCTGACTACTTTCATCAATTTCCATCGGCAATGGGCCTGGCTGCATGCCGATCGCGGGATTTGACGCGTTCTGTATCTCGCGCTGCAGCGAAAGAACTTGCTTGTATTGGAGTAAACTGGCTCGTGGGTCCCGTCTTTGACGTACATTCGGATACAAAGCCACAGCCAATGGGGGTTCGCTGCTTTGGTGAATACCCCGAGATTGTAGCCGAGCACGCTTTGGAGTCAATGCTTGGGTACCAAGAAGGCGGTATTTTGACATGCATCAAGCATTTCCCAGGTTTCGGGAATCTCGACTTCCTGGGGTCACCAGCGGATATACCAAATGTGTCTGGTACTTTTGACCAGCTGCTTTCAACATCATTGATACCATTCCAAGCGGCTATTGACAACGGGGCCGATTCAGTATTGGTTGGTGCTTGTGGAATGCCGGATGTGAAAGATGCTCAAGTGCCGTACTCATGCCTATCTTATGCCGTTGTCACAACCCTGCTACGACGCAGAATGGGCTTTGGGGGAGTGATTCTCTCGGATTGTTTGGAAATCGAAGCTTTATACGAAGGTGTTGGGGTCAGCCAAGCTGCAGCCATGGCAATCAGTGCCGGATGCGATGTGATAATGTTATGCCAGAGTCATTCCAACCAGGTCGAAGCCATCCGTGGAATTAAGGCAGCCATTGTGTCTGGATTACTATCAAAAGACCACATTGAAGCGGCAGCTGGTCGCGTACGTAAGATGAAACGACGGCGATTATCCTGGGAACGAGCTTGGAATCCGGGCGGTCTGTCTGCGCTGGACATCATGAAACCAGCACATAAGGCCTTGTCTAAATCGGCATACAACGCTTCGATTACCTTGGTGCGAGACGTCCACCATTGCATCCCTTTATCAAAACATAGCGCACCAAACGACGTACTGTTGCTTTTGACGCCGTTAGTGGAACCATTCGGACATCTGCCGAACGACGAGAAGAGCTCACAGCATTCTTCCTCTCCTTCAACCCCTTCCAGGCAAGTCAACATTGCCAGGCATATCAATCATCGTGACAAAAACTATCTAGAGGGCGAGGGTACATTTCAAGAATTGGGTGTTGCACTTGCAAAGAGGTGGCGTGGCAAGGTAGTCCACACCTCATATACCGCAAGTGGTATTAGCCCCCTTCACGAACGGCTTGTTTCAGAGGCATCGGCTGTGATTCTTCTTACAGCCGATGGAGTGCGAAATGTATACCAATACGGCTTTACAAAATATATAGTGAGTCTCTGCCAAAGCAATAATGCCCAGTCCTCAGCATCATCGGTCGCTTCGAGTTCGCCTGATAAGCCTTGTAAGGCTTGTATCGTGGTCGCGGTGAGCTCACCTTATGACTTCATGAATGACCGACAAGTCTCAACGTATATTTGCACCTACGATTTGACGGCACCTCCGCTTAATACACTGGTGCGTATTCTCTTTGGGAATTTAAAGCCGTCTGGCCTACCTCCTACAGCACGACAGACACTCCCCCGTGCAGCAGTTCAAAGACAACCTTGGCTGGTTGAGAGATTCCAGCCAGAACGAGACACATTCGCATTACAGGACCTCTTTGATCAAGTTCGCATGGCAGCCTCAAATACTTTCAGCGATCCCGAAGCTCAGTATCCCTCGTACTGTTTCGAAGCACCTTACTACAAAGCTAGTTACAAACCACTGTTTGAAACGCAGCATTTTGTCGTACGTAACAGTAGTATTCAGAAAGTGTACGGATTCTGTGCAACTTACTATAGCGAAAGCCTTTCTCGCGGCATCATTGCGGCTATCGTTGTGTCCACAAGTCACAGGAGTAAAGGTATCGGATTCTCACTGCACCAACACGCTTTGCGCTACCTAGAGCAACGTCCTGGAATTGAAGCAGTGCAGTTTGGATCAGAAATTCCAGTTATATTTGCCGGGGTACCGAACAGACTGAGTACTCATCAACTTGGTCTTCGAAGCTGGGTTAAAAACAGGTGCGTTATTCCCCAAGATTTGTTACCTGCTTTCAAAAAATCTGCCCGTGTATTTCTCGCTTCTTCCGATAAGAACCGTGGATATCTTAGAATCAGCTTGCTAATTCCACGATTTTAACCACCATAACAGAGGCTGGGATGTGGGTAATTGGAACCATCACGAGTTTTATGTGATCCGCCTTTCAAACGACTGGCATCGAACAATTCTACCCGAGAAGATTGCTTCGAATAATAGCTATCAGTACGATTCAGTTCAACCAGAAGACAAGGAAGAGCTAGATCATCATCTTCTTGTTCAAACTTGTTACGGGGCTGGTAATTCATCACTGCGGCATCCCGTCGTGTTATCAGAGCTATATCGCATCGCCCAGGCCGATTCTCAAGGTTGCAAGCTTCTCCTGGCCAGAGAGACAAGAAACACGGATAGCGGTGGAGGCAAGGGGAAGATAGTAGGATCGATTATATTATATCACGGTTCTTCGAAGATGAACAAATATTTCCCCACCGAGGATAGGAAAACCGGCGGCCTGGTTGGCGTCGTAGCGATTCGTGGTGCCGAAGGCGTCCCAATAGTGGAGGGGCTAATCTCCAAGTCCATTCTCATTTTGATTGAAATGGGATTTGTCAGCGCACAAACATTTATAGTAAGACCAAACAAACCATTTCTCAAGATGCCATCTCCCCCAAGTCTGGGCATACTGACATCAAATTATCTCTAGGTCGGAGATCCTGTGTTTCCCCCGATGTTGGTAAATCTAGGTTTCCAGAAGACGTCAGAATTTCTTAGTATCAGCAAAAAGGCGACATTGCCAGTGGAGAATCAGCCTCCAACCCTCATGGGCTCAGTCGCTGCTTGAGAGCGGCCATTGACAAGAAGGCATAACCATTCTTGTTCACACATGTCATGTGATATGCGATATGTGTATGTTTCGACATTATCTCCGAGCAAAGAAAAAGAGCAATCAATCTGACCGTTGGTAATACTGCACCATGCTAAGGCAGCTTTGCTCTTATTTCCAATCCGGGAAGACTCACTTGAGCCGCAACGTCGTCATTGTCTATGGACGGGATCGAGATCCAACTTTAAATAATCTTATTCAACATCACATGTTACCTCACAAGCATACATTCTCCTGTGCGCCATGAAGACAGCGTTGCTGGGGAGCAAGATTGGTGTGAGTACTGTTTTGCACGCCGCAATAGCAAGACATCCCACGATTAACTGAAACGTAAAAGAGATATTGAAATTGAGCATGTACTAATTTCTCACCCGTACCACGCGACTTGGTCGATATAAGCAGAAGTTCGATTTAAAATGATTTGGATACGAAACAAAACATTTAGTCTTTGGAAATCTTGACATACGGCGACTCTTTAGTTATTAGTATATGTATTACCTCAAGACGAATCCCTTGGCAAGAGTAGACTATATAAATACCAAGTAACCTACTATGGACGATAATTTTCCAGAGTGGTTAGCAGAAGCGACGTTTATCTTAAACTCTCCGCTCTTCGGTTCAGAAGGAAAAGGCGGGGATGGGTCATTGATAGATATTAGATTGTGGTATCTGTGGGGTGGCTTAGGCTGGAGACAGAGCTGAGTGGACAGTCTAGTACTCTGTGGAAATAATCCTTCAAGGTCAAAAGTGGATAATGCTACCAAAGAGCTGAGTCTAATAAAAGCCGGATGTAACCAACCCCATTTTGTCTTATCTACAGGCATGCTATTCCACGCTAACCTGCTCACTAACAATTTCCGCTCTGCTCCGCAAGCCAGCTGAAACAACTTGAATCGAGGCAGATCTCACACATCCCTCAGATAGATGCAGTGCTGCGGTGTCGCTTCTAAGAACGCTTGGATTTTGGTTGGATAATATAATCTTTGAGATCAGTCGGCATGTCGGATCCCTTTTCCGTTGATAATGTCGAAGGAGATGAGTCTTCGGATGCTGGAATCTCACCTGAATACGGCAACCCGGGAACTGGACAGGATGAAAATGGACTACCACCAGATGTTATCTCCTTTGATTCGCACAGTCGAATCGGGGAAAGAGAGGCTGACAAGACGAGTATCTTGAGATTCCACCCTCTTTCCTTGCCACAGAGCGAGTTGCTGGTTGATTCGGTAGGAGATCCGCTGTCTTCGAGCATTCAGATACAAGCACACTTAAGAGGACGATTCTCTCATTCAGAAGACTCTCCTTCTGGAACTGTGGGTATCAACAACAAGGACCATGTTGCTGAAGGTAGTAAAGATGCCATTGGTTTAATCTTCTACCGTCGGAATAAGTTTAAGGTCTTTGGAACAGTCTCCATTCCTGTCACACTGAACGGAATTAAACGGCGAGATTCACACATCTCTAGAATCACTAGTCTACATGCCGAGTTAGATGCCATTGAGAGTCTCGAGGGAACGCCGGTGCGCGTAATACATTCCAACCCGAAAGATAAAGGAATAAATACATCGTCTCGGCTAGACACTACGAGCAGCCGAAGCAATTTGAAAACAACACTAATGGCCGAAGCACTACCCAGAGTTGACCTTCGGTTTGATGGGAATGGCCACAGTGAGGAGCCCCCTCGACACGATCATGCAATGTCCGTTCCAGTCTGCTGGGAAAAACTACAGTTCCGTCATGCTACTGCAAAGAAGCGCGGCACGTGGCAATATTTCTATCTGCGTCTGACGGTAACAGCAACGCTGGAAGATGGAAAAAGTCATATTCTTAGCCGGACTCAAAGCTCAGCAATCACTGTGCGCGGAAGATCTCCTCAGAGCTTCCCGAGCCACACAAGCAAGGTCAATAAAACTAGGCCTAATAACGGACGAGGACAGGGTATGAGTAATTTCGCGAAGACAGACCCTATACTGCCAAATATGCAGGATCATGGGAAAGAAACCACTTGGAGAAACAGTCCCCTGGATTTCGCTTCTATAGACTGCCAAACTACTCTTGATGTTGCCCCAGAAAATTTGTTGTTCTACGACTTCTCGGACCTGGGTGTCTGGAACAATAATAACTTGCGGTGGCGGGACAGTGAAGCTCAGAATACCGAGGTTCACGAATATCTTGACGGCGTTGATGCGCCCATATCCCCAGTTAACGCTTCCGCCAACAGCAATCACCCTACTGGCAGCCACGATCTCGGTTATAGCAATAGCCTATTCGTTCCCTCACTAGATACTCACCTTCTTCCAAGCATACCTAATCTTGACTCGATATTTAACTTGCCACATTCTCTATCGTCACTATCAGCGGACTACTCCAACATACCCGACATGCCCAGCGCTCATTCAACCTCGTTCACATCGTTTCCCCCAAAAACTGGCCTAGAGAACAATGGTACTATATCAACTGCCACATGCTTTGCCATTAAAGATAGCAGTGGTCAAAATATGCCCAAATCTGAAAATCCCGAAAGCGAAACCGACGAAACCGACGACGAACGCAGGACGTATTCCTATGAATATATCCCACTGTCCATCAATGACTGGACAGTCCCTGTTGAAGCTGTATATGTAAGTTACATCTCTTGGGCATTTGTTTAATGAAGCTTACGTGAACTGTGTCGAAGCGGCCACATGGAGTACATGCTAGGAAAGTACAAAATGTTGAGAAGTCTATTACCAAAAAACGATACTTCCTCTCGGTGAAATAAGTTATATCTTAGAAACTATGGCTATGACTTTAAAAATGGACTTAAAATGGACTTAAAATGACATGGGAACCCTGTATATAGTACTGTTTATATTACCTACTAATACCTACGTATTGGATTCCGTTTGACGCATTCTATTTCAGTGGTCGCCCCCTCGCCCCCCTTCCCCCCTGAGCACCGTTCACTGGATCAGTGAGTGTAACACAAGCTCAATGAAATGCTCAGCGAGCGAAGACTGGAAGGCAACTTTACGCTGCCGTACCATGAATGAAAGTTCTTTTCGCTTCCAATCGTTTCCACCTCCATCTTCTGGAGACGGATTTGTCTGCTGTCTCATAAGCGCAGTTGTATGGCTCTCAGTAGCTTTCTCACTAAGTTCTTCAAGGTATTCGAGCATGGCATCGTAGGTTTCAGACCTGATAGCCCCGGGCCTCGTGCCAGGTGGCATCGAGCTACCCATATTTACCATTTGTCTTCGTTGTATGTTGTGTGGAACATAGTGCGTCATCTCTTTTTCAGCAAGGGCCAGAGCTTGTTGCATAGACCGGTGAAAAACGCTCTTCTTTATCCTCATGAACCATAGCAGGTGGCCTGATTGAAACTTCTGTGTAATGCAAAGAGGGGTGAGCTCGGTGTTTTTCTCGCTTCGCTATTGTAACATCAACATCACCATCATCCCTGCTGTCGTAATGCGCGTGGCGTCTGCGATCGTCGTTCGAATCCGAGTCACTATTATAACCCCCATTGTTTGACCCGTTTCGTCGAATTTGTATCGGGAAAGATCATTCGTGGAATATCCACTGGCTGATTGTTCTACTCCCGGTGCAGGCAAACGACCAGCTTGCCAATCTGTTCGTTCTTGCACCTCTCCGGCATGGATTTTGCCGTACGGTGTATTGATGGAACCTGGGAGAAAAGAAAACGATGCTTTATGCTCTGAGGAACTAGGAGGGCTGGTGGAATCTTTCAAGGCTCGCTTCTTTCCCTTATTTCGGGACGAATCTTCGTTCAATGCCGTTTCAAGCTGTATGTATAACTTCTTCAGACGAGCGGCTATTGTCATACACAATCAGCGAATAATTGTCTCGACCAAAGAAACCAACCCCAACCCTAAGCGACGTCATTCTGATGCAGGAGCGCCGCAATGTAATAAAATTTCCTTCTCTCAGAGCCGCGCTCGGTAAGTGCACCTTAGGGCGAGAACGCATCGAGTTACAATATTGATTGCGCCAATTTGACCGAGACCATGGCGGAAGACAAACACGCACATTCTGGTTCCCGACTGAAAAAAAAACCAGCGGCGTCTACGACCAAGGTGCCGACTGTGAATTCAATTCAGAATATAAAACGGTTTTCTTCATACTCATCTTCGCTCGAAGAGGACTCTGATACCAAGTCGGCTCTATCACCATCTGGCGACAAACCAGGCAATAGTGATCAAAACCACCGCAGCTCCGAAAACATGGTTAAGGCTGCGCTGACAGAGTTTCTCAACGATGCCGACGTCAAAAGTAATCCCGATGGAAACAGATGCATTCAGAATCTGTTGATGAAGACAGAGATGGAGTGGAAGAAACAGCGTCGACATTCCGCACACCAGCGCGCTCAAGAATGATCACTATCTGTGTATTCGGACTTTCGCGGCACCAATGCTCCAATCTCTTTGGTTTATTTCAGGCAGACTCTTCTTAATGTTCTGCTACTTCCTCTGTGCCTCATTCACCAGAATCCGCAGTGTTGTCCCAGTTTCTCGGTCACACTAGGTTTTGCAATTTCAGTGGAGACGAGACATCCTTGATGCTGTTCAGAATGCTGGGGATGCACATTCTTGTATTCAGCCTCGGAGTTAGCTAGCAAATAAAAACATTATGTTTGGTGGTCCTTTTTTGAAAATCAGATTTTAGACCAGCATAAGCGAGTCAATTATTTTTGGAGCGCTACGACCTGTAGACCGGTCTCTTTTTCTCTCGCATCACGATGAATAACCCTAACCCTACGTGCCCGTCGGGTGGATGTCCGCTCCGCCAATCAAACGCCCCGACAGGCGCCGCGTAAATCCGAAGCGAGTATCTCCGACTTTCTGTCTCTACTTCATTTGCTCGCCAGGGATTTGCGGGAAGGGTAGCACTTCGGACATCGCACTCTATAAAATCATAAATCAAAAAACCACTATGCTGTCTCCCACGGCACCCTCTCGGACTTCTCCGTCTCCGAGGACCAGTCCCCGTCTCGGCCGGGGAAAGCGACAGCGGAAGACGCTTTCATGCTATGAGTGTCGACGCCGCAAATTGAGATGTGACCGCGAGGAGCCTTCGTGTGGGCGCTGTATTAAGGCCGGGCATCCGGAAACATGCTCCTATGTCTATGATGCGCTGGCTGTGAAGCATCCGCCAGCGCTGTCATTCGCGCCAAAGCAGCCCGGCGCGCGTTCGCGCGATGTTGCTCCAGAAAGTCATGAAAATCATACTAGTTTCCCCCAGCCTAAAGTGGCATACCAATTCCTAGATATCAGCGGAGAAAAGGATGGAACTCCTTCCTCTCTGCAGGCTGCGCAGAACCAAGGAACATGGCAATTACTAGGACAGATGTCGGATGCAGAACAGAGACCTGCCGTCAAAGCTGATGCTGATGACTCCGCCACCTATCCTAGAGAGTTGATGCCCAAGGAAACGGTCATTTTTCGGGGAGAGAATTTTAGAACGCAGTACTTTGGAGGCAGTAATGCAACTAGCTCTATTGCACATGTAAGGCATTATTTACATACCATTCCCTTGCCCTGTTGCTAGCTAAGACTTGTTTGTGCCGTGCTCTATGCAGTTTCCAGAACTTCGCACCTTTATGAGGGAGACTATCCGGCACCAGACAGCATTGCCGCGTGTTCAACGGGATGTAAAGACATTGCAAGTCCGCTGGAAAGGTCTCAAGACCGATAATCTTTTGCCTGTGACACATGAAGACTTACTCGGATTACTCCCTGATAGAGACACAGCAGACCGGCATGTCCGATTGTATCTGGATACTATTGAAACAACATATCGGATTGTTCACCACCAATCTTTCTACGAACAGTATGAGCTGCTGTGGGAAAATCCACACGAGGTAAAATCTGCGAGCGTGGTTATTGTCCTACTCGTCATGGCCTCTGTTAGCTGCATGTTTTCACACGAGCACCCCAAGTACATTGGTGACAGCTCCTTATCCCGTGAAAAAGCAACATTCTGGATCGAGGTAGCCGAAAAATGGCTATCTTGTCAAAGTGATAAACACGTTTACCTCGCCATCTGGCAAATTCGATGCCTCGTACTTTTGGCCAAACAAATCAACGTCATAAAAAAGAAACGCATCTGGACAGCGGCCGGAACCCTTTTGAGAGAGGCCATGTCTTCTGGCTTTCATCGTGACCCAAGCCTGCTGGGAGATAAGGTGTCTTTTTTTGACCAAGAAATGCGCAGGCGGTTGTGGGCTACAATAATAGAATTGGAACTGCAAATATCCATCGACAGAGGAATGCCATCCGCGTCAGCTGGCCTGCCTTCAGATACGGCGACGGTGCTCAATGTTCATGACTCAGAGTTGACAAAGCATGGTCGACCAACATCTAGGCCCGTGGAAGAACACACGTCGGCCTTGTACCTCCACATATCAAGATCGAGCTTTTCATTACGAGTATCTCTGAATTCCCTTGTGAACGATTTAAGTTCGCCACTACTATATGACCAGGTCCTGAATTATGAAGACGCGATTACCAAAGAACTCCGCAAGCTGCCTCAGGTGACTGAATACCAGAAACCGCAAGACAAGAACGACAGTGTATCTCTCATGGCGCGGACACTGCTTGATATACAACTCCGCCAATTTCTCATAATGCTTCACAGCCCCTTTGCTCGCCAAGCAGAGACAAACTCGCGATTTCTATTATCAAGGGTTACTTGTCTCAACGCTGCTGTTGAAATCCTCAGGAAATATTCATATATCAATAAATCTGGCAATTTGGCACTTTTGCTTCTTAGGAACGATCCATTTCGCGTTGCACTGGCGATTTGTCAGACTACATACATCAATATCAGCATGCAAAGTGAGTTTCGGTCGTCGGTTGACTATTCATGGGATACATTGGCTCACTAGCAACCGCAGACAATCTAATCTTAAACTCTAGTAGTGCTATGCTCATTCAATATGTCGAAGAATCCCTCGTCATGTTAGAGAGCAAGATCACACAACATGGAACTGGCTATACTTACTATTGGTACATCTCAGCGGCATCTGCATTGCTACGAGGATTATTGGCTCCCGAGGAAGCCTCAAGAGAGAAGGAAGAGGCCATTGGTAGGGTAACCAGACAGTATTACCGTATACTGGCATGGCAGGAAGATCTCGTAAAAGCCAGGGATATGATAGTTTCAGTACCCACTAGCGACGTGAGTATTAATTATCGAGGCACCGAAAAGAAGCCATGGGCCCAGAGAATCAAGGACTGACTTTTTGTCTAGCCCGATTATACTGGAAGTTTGCTGGTTCCAGATGCATTGAACGATACGACGGGACTTTCAATTTTGCCCGGTGATGATCCACAGGTATGACGCTTCGTCGTTGTTTTGGTTTGACTCGCTAACTTTTCATTATAAGGCTATGCATATGGACATGCCATTAGACGAGTTCTTTTTTGGTAATCCCGCCGCCTGGACCTTTGAAAATCTTTGGTCCATAGATTAGAATAAAGGGGTTGACAATGAAACGACTCTAAGTGAATATTTGTATTTTGTTGATACACATGTAAAAAGAAGATTTTTATGGATACGAGATCCTTTCAGTATATAACTGTTTCCCCAATCTAGCCTAACGCCTAAAGGCAGTTCCGTTGGGAAGAGAGATAGGGGTATCATTTCGCGAACTCGATTGGATCAAGTGATCAAAGGTGGGAGCGTATTCAACGCGCGGATTAAATGGCTCAAAGTCCCAGAGATAACCCAAGGTGCGCAAAAGGGACGAGGCCGAGTAGGAAACAGTCTCACCAATGAAGTTAGTGCCTTTCTGCTCGACGTAGGCTTTGTCAACCCAGGGAGAGATGAGTAGTGTTGGTATACGCCCCCCTAGACGGTCAAATGGATAAGTGTAATCCTGGCCGTTTGGAGCAGTCTCGGTGTACGTGAGGTTATCTGGCCGTCTAGCAGATTCTGGTGGCACGTGGTCGTGGAATCCACCAGATTCATCAAAAGTCAAGACTAACAAGCTTTCCTCCCACTGTGGACTTGCACGGAGAGAATTATAGACGTTACGTATGAGCTCCTCACCATCGGAGACGAGCCCGGTGGGATGCATCGAATTGGAACCGACACCGCAGCAGGACGGGTTAATGTAGCTGAACTCAGGAAGTGAGCCAGCCGCAGCATCGGTGTAGAAGTTCTCAAGGGCAACAATCCTGTCATCATTGCCGGTTTGATACGTCCAGTTAAAGTAGCCGGCGTCAGGACCTGTCCCTCCAGCGGTATCCCAGTAGTTGATCCAGGTGTGGTTGGTCTCGTTCAACACCTGCCAAATGGAAATCTGAGGGAAAGCATGGTTGGAGAAGGCGTCGTCATTATCTCCATGACCATATGAGGTTCCAGAGACAATGGCAGCGCGGTTAGGGTTGGTAGGCTATGGAAGCAAATTGCATTATTGTCATTTATTTGTAAGCAAGGCAAGAGGATTAATACGAGTACTTACTCCAGGAATGTCCGAATGCCAGTTGTTAAAAGTAAGGTAATTTTGGACCAGAGTGGTAAGGACTGGGACCTGTTCCTCGGTATAATAGTTCATCACCTGTCTGGACAGCTCAGTTCTATTGGCATCGGCACCATACAGACGAATTTGCTCATGGATAAACCCATTCTGATTGGGAAGTAACGTTCCATTTGCAATTGCAGCGTTATCAGGAGTGAAGTCGCTGTAGAACTCCATGTTGTTTCCAGTCACTGAGTGGTCTGGATCGTCGGCAACCTCATCGTAGTCCTTGGCTGCTGTACAGACAGTTCCCTCCGCTGGGTTGCTCACATTGTATGGGTTGCAATACGGCCCGTTTTGAATTGGATTCTCCAGACCCTTCAGCGTTTGTCCCCCCAACAGGTTATCCAACGAACGATCCTCCATGACAAGCACGACAACGTTCTTGATTTTGTCTTTGAGATTTTGGATGGAGGACTCCGAAGCTGGTTGACTGCGTTTGTTGGGCAACGCCGAAGCAGCGGCGGCGAAGGCCAACAGGCCCAGGAAGGCACGTGAATGCATAATTTGAAAGTTGTATTTTTTAAATGCCACCGACAACGTCCGTAGTTCTGTGGGAGCAACATGGCCATCTCCGGATTGGTACAGTAGGTTCTTCTTATATTCCTAGGAAGTCACGATATTCCGGCACAACAACGGCAACGAGAGTAAACCCGCGTGGTATGTCTCTGGGATTGGCCATAACTCTCCCCGGCTGGATTGCGGAAGCAGGAAGAAGAGTGTGCACGATGGGGGGCTTCCATGCCAATGAAAGTAGCACGAGGGACACGGTTCATTGCCATGATTAAGTATCTAGCGATGGCAGGCCCCTGTGAATGCTGGAATGCATGCTGCATATGCATGGCTGGTGCGGGGAGGATGACGGACTTACGGAGAATGCCAGGCATCTGCAGACCTCGTGTGCTTAATCCGCAGCAAGTCGGCACCGATGCTTCTGGTGAAGTAACGCTGAATGTAGCCTAACGCGGTCGATGAGTCTGTAACTCCCAGGCCATTTAGAGAGTTTGCTATTTAGTATCCTGTTAGCTGCGCCGATCACGAATACACAATTTGACCAGTGCCAACAAAACTAACGGTCATTGCTTGTACAATTGAGCAATCAGAGCAGCTCAGCAGGCCACCTGCTCGCCCCCATTCCACTTTTAACAAAAATATCCACATATTTCCTACACACAACCCCTCACTGGCCTTTCTGTCTTCATTTCGGAATCGCATGTAATTGCTCGCTTTCGCAATATTAGGAGATGTCGGAAGTTGAGTGAGCCATAAATTTGATAGCAAGCATCCATTTACTTTGAATGTACTAATTCACTGGCTTGTGCGCCATCGAAGGAATGCAATTGGTTATATCTCTATTGTTCAATCCCTTATACAAGGGAGGTTCGGAGTGAAGAGAGCCAACCGAGGTAGGAAGGATATAATTTGTCGAACAGAAGGCATGCGCATATTAGATACTTTAGGTAACATTGCAAGAGAAAAGAGAATTTTGTCCACAAGTTTCCAACAAAATCGTATCCTGCCGCGTCTTTGACCCTTTTCCTTTACTGAAAAGCAATAGGCCGTGGGCTTCTATAATGCTAAATATCTATATGCCCTGGTAGACTGAATATGCACTTGGTTATTTCACTCCTCTGTTATTCGCTCTCGATCACATTTTAAGGCCAATCCCACCTAGACAATCAGTTCACACGAGGCTGCAGACCAGCGAAAGATTGTCGATGACACCATGCCTTCTTTCAGTGTCTCCCGGCATCTGGCTTACCACCTCGACGGGATTTTCAAGGCGTAGGTTTACGTATTTTTCACCATTATCCCCGGTAGTCCAAGATATTGTCGCAAGATTGTTCTTGCCTATGGCTACTTTAGCCGACAGTGACTGACTCAATCCAAGGCGAGGCTTGAAATGCAATTGTGCTGATCCTGGTGCAGTCGGACGGATGCCTGCAAGCTCAGTACAATATTCATATATGGGTACACTGCCCCATGCATGGCAGTCTGAACGTTGTCGCACGTCATCTTCTTCCCACGTCGATAGCTTATTCTCTAGCATATGTCTCCAGGGATCCCATACAGTGGCCCAGAAGCTTTCATATGCAACATCTCCTGCCAAAGAGAAGGCTCTGAGCGCATAGAAGCGCATCATATATGAGCATTTGGAGAAACGAGCGTCGTTAAATGACTCTGTTAGCAGTCTTTCATAGTCTCCCGGTAGTGCAGCTCCTGAAAGAACGGCAAATACTTGACAATGTTGGGAATATGCTAAATCATCGGCGATATCTGCGGTTGAATCGGTGAAGAAGTTTCCATCATAACAATGTGTTCTAACGGCCTGAACGAGCGATGCGGACCGTGAAAGATACTCGGTTGCATTTCCCGGTCGACCGACATGGCGAAGGAGTTCAGCGGCCTGTTTGAGCACATATGCATACAGCATGCTAAAGTAGGTATGGCAATTCGATTTGCGTCCCGATGTTGGCACTCCTTTATCTAGGTGGTCTTCCGTAGCGCCCCATGTGGTTACCCAGTCGACGTATTGCCAAATGTCTTCTGAAATGCCACTCACAAGTCCCCGGCTGTCAACATGCGTATCAAAAAATTCAAGCACTCCGTCAATTCGAGGCACAAAGGATCGCGCAAAGTCCCTGTCGCCAAAGAACAAATGATGGTCGCACACGTGAAGCACCCAGTAGAGCGAGAAACCGGCAATGACTTGAGGCACGTGTGATGGAAACCGAGACTGCGTTAATCCTTCGGGAGTTACTGAAGCTGCGAAATTAGTAATGGCTTGTCGCATTAGTCTGTCATCTCCAGAAAGAAGGTAGTGGAACAAGGCCACGGATCGAGTGTCTCCGGAATATCTATATGTATGCACAGTTCAGTCAAATAACTTCAAGAATGCTGGAATTTATAGAAATGTTGTGATAAAGGCATACGGGCATACTCACTGGAGCTGCTCATAAAACGGACAGTCAGAATAGCCATCGAACATGCAGTTCCGCATGGTTCGAATTGAAACATCCCATATTCTCTCGCTATGTGTATCTTCAGGTTCCTTCCAGCTAGCCTTTACTGACAGTGGATAATTCACCTGGGTAGCTTCGAAAGAGACTATTTCGACTGCATCAGACGTAGACACACTTATTTCGAGTCGCATGATACGAAACGTGCGAAACCAAAACGGCTCATATGTAACTATTTGGCCCGCCGGTATCTGTATCTCTACCTCATCGTACGGACCGAGCAGGTGGCCATTTTGTGCGTCGAGTCGATTGGCTTTGGTGCGAAAAAATGGGTACGAGCGAGGCTCAAGTTCATATCCCTCGGAGTATGTAATCTTGAGTCTTACCGAGGCTCTGTTACTTGCCCTGAAGGTCCATCCTACAAAAGCAGTTGAATGAACCTCGGCGTTCAACTCAACAGTATGCGCAGAGCCAGAGGAAAGCACTAGCGGGCGTTTTTCTGAAAGAAAAGCTGTCCATTCGTCGGCCGGCACACTGCTTTCAACAACTCGGGCCACTTGGACTCTGACAGAAGACTTCTCTGGCATAGGTATGGCTCGTGGTCGGAGACGCCATGGTGCAAGCTCCCCATTAAGTGTCTTGACTCCATACGGAACGGGTACGACACTTGGGCTATTGTCAGAGGTAGAACCAATCCGCTCATTAATCTACGAAAACTAGTCGTCAATGTCGCTTTCATATTGTTACAAACTGAATAACTCACGTGGAGGAAAACATCATCGATCTGTCCCATGGGAAACAGAATATTGTTATCAGTCTGTGCCTCCCAGTCTTTTGCGGAGCTAAGATTAACAGTATTTCCCCCCGCCTCAACATGCCCAAATGTTGTCAATCCTGGCAAGGGCGTTCGCTCAAAAGGCATTGCTCCCCGCGAGCTAGCAAAGTATCGGACAACCACAATCAAAATGACATTCTTTCCCGCATGTAGATATGGTGAAATGTCTACCGTGTCATAGTACCAAATCGCCGGACTACTTCTCGACGGTCCTACAGCCACACGCGTCCCATTTACGTAGAGTTTGTACCGGGTGTCTGCCGAAAGATGGAAATTGGCACGATTCGGGTTTTGTGAGAGACTGAAGTTGCGCGTGAACTTGACTATCCTCCCAGCTGTGTTAAGTGTCGAGGAGTCCACCCAGCCAGGAACCCAGACCCAATTAGCCTGGAGCTCATTGATAATCTGCAAGGCGTTGTGATATTTCTTGTCAGCAGTGACCAACAGCAGCCCGAAAAGCGATCTGTGATTAACTGTACCTGCTGCTCTTCCACTGTGATCATACTGCATGAAGTCCCGGTGCCAGTGCGGATTCATAGACTTTTCTAAGACAGACTATCAATATTCGTATTGAATAACAGTCCCTTTTAGAAGCAATGAAAATTTAATTCCAGCTTCTTGCTAGGTTGTATACTATGCGGGGAACACTCCCCCCCCCAATTAATAAGAAAGACTAAGCCTGCGGGTTAATTCATGCCGAGCAGCGTCGGCTATTGATTAACCCTAATGTCCCAAGGAGCGAAGATATAAACACTGGATTCGCGGGTAATTTTCGGATAATATCTCCCTGTATGAGTGATATGTAGTTGTTTGCCAATGAAATACTCTAACATGTATGCGGGGTTCGTTGCATAACTTTATCAACTTTGCTTGGTATGAAGCGCGAATATAACTTCCTGTTCAGGATGTGACTGATGCAACACCATACTTCTTCGATGCTATAAAGCTCGGTTCATGCTCCAAGGACAAGTCATCCAGGATAACTAACCTCAGATACCTAAGTATCTAAGGAAGCTGAACAGTATACACGTATACATCACCGAACATGGCACTGGCCGTCCGGTCTGCTTGGCTTCTGGGCCACATCGCCTTAGTATCAGCCCTGACATTCCCTATTCCAGGGAAGCCGCCCTCAAACGCAAGTAGTCAGCTGCCTGCATCTCCAATAGGTGTCTCGTAAGGATCCTTCCTAGTCTGAGTACTCCATACTCAAAGATAGATGTTGATATGACCTTCGTAGCTTTGAGTTTTTCGCTTATCCGGCTTATCTGGAAGACGTCGATGCAACTGAAACATGCCTCGAAAATCTGGAGCAGCTGACTGGTACGTGGCCACCGATTCGAATTGGGGGGACAACACAGTAAGATGAGACCCTGTGTAAACGCAATGAGCCTGGATTTTTCTGAACCCGGCCATCCCACAGGGACCGAGCAACGTACGACGCAGACTCTACCAGTGCTGTAACATACACAGTTTCTAACTCAGGCGACGCACCAACTTCCCTTACTTTTGGTCCCCCATTGCTCTCATTAGCGGCCGAGTACGGGGGCAGTGTGATTCTAGGCCTCAATCGTCGCCTAGATAACATATCCAACACGATCGCTGCAGCCACCCTTGCGAAGAGCCGAATAACTAATCTTTACTCAATTGAGCTTGGAAACGAACCAAACTGTGAGCTCTCTTCTACTGACACCCTCGAAACCTGTTGAAGGGCCCTGACAAAAGAATTACTTCCGGGACAGTCTATACGAGCAGCGATCCTATTGCTGATGACAAGGATTGGACTGCTGCTGCTGATTATGCATCCCAGTTGGCTTGGCAGGACGCCGTATGCGGGAATCTATCTACATCAGATGTCATCTCGGCTGGTGTTTACTTTGGGACTTCTCCAATGAGCCTTGTTGGGCTGACAGCAGTGGAGAGCGACGCCAATGACTACGTCAAAGATTATTGTTCACACAACTACCCCCAGTCGGCAGGTACAGCCAACCTATCATCCCTCATGAGCCACAGTGAGATTGCTTCACAAATACAGCCTTATGCCGCAGAAATATCGGCAGCAGCTAATGAGGGCAAGGCACATATTTTTGGAGAGACAAATTCGGGTACGCTACTATCTCCTCAGCAATGCTGATGCGCTCATCGAATGCTAACAGCGTGCGTAGCTACGGGTGGAGGAGGTGGCATTAGTCCCACCTTTGGTGCGGCCCTTTGGCTTGTGGACTATGTGATGCAATCCTTGATATTAGGAACTGAGGTAACAAACGAACCAAATTTGAGACATGTATAGAGACTGTTTCTAATTGACATTGCCTCAAGGCTCTTTACTTCCACCAAGGTACTATCGGCAATTGTAAGTAATTGTACCCTTTCAAATACGGAGTCCCTTCTTCTCACACAGCAGTAGGCCAATACTGCTTTTGGGGCAAATATGATATGGGCGCTCCTTACTATGGCGCCTATTTCGCAGCAATGGCGCTTGCTGGCGCTGATTATATTGCGCCCTTGGATGACCAGACTACCGCCTATGCTGCGTATGCGATCTATAAATCTGATGCTCCTGTGAAGGTGCTCCTGTATAATTCCGATTACTATTCCAGCGGAGCGCGTCCTACGCAGACCTTCACTTTGACTGGTATATCTGCTTCTACGGTGACCACTAAGCTTCTTACCGCTCCCCATGCCACTTCTCGCGTAGACTATGGCGATAATCCGACAGTTGCAGGTCAAACTTTTACCAATGGAACTTGCACAATTCAGGGCACTCTTGAGGAGCAAACTACTACTGTATCTGGAGGAGAAGTTAGTTTCACTGTCGGGGCGTCTGAAGCTTTACTGGTGTATCTATAAATTATCCCGTGTACTTTGGTAGGGGCAATAGAGTCTTCTAGGTTCGCTACCTATATTATAAAGACCAATTGACTACGAACATCGCTACTTGCATGGATGAAATGATATAAGTTTTTGAAGGCACTGCGGTTATGTGCCAACCGAGGCATGGGGAAATATAGAGTTATACCCTAATTGCATGCTCAGTACGAAAAAGGCCGAGCAAGTTTCGATCATATCCCGGTCAGGAAGCCTCCAGAGAGCTCTGAGGCAGATGATTGATTGACTCCTGAACAATGAGACGGCTAATCACTATTTCATATCCAGAAGTGTTCTAGAATTCTTAAATTCGATGAATTCCAAAAGTCATCAACGGCAATTGAAATGGGGAGTCGGTTTATCCTTTTCCGGCATCCCATTGCCGACTGCTTGTCTTCGGGCTATCAATATCCCGCCCAGTGTCTAACGAGCCTTGGGCCCTGGTATGTGGATAATCTTCTAGCCATGTCTGGAGTATTTCCCGGGGTAAATATTGGCATCCCCGCGTGTCCGGGGATCGAAATGTATTACAACCGCGGGGTTGCCGTGGACAAAGACAAAATTGCATAGATCTACTATGTTACTCTGAGCCTGGTGTGCACGTAGTGTCACTTTCGCTACACAGATTGCTTTGCAGATATCAGCCCTGCCAGTGTATCACAATGGAGCAAGACAAGGCACAGACAGACATGGTGGAGCAATGGGTGCCAAATGAAATCCATCAAGCTGAGGTGGTCAAAGGTGATTCACCGGTTGTGAGGTCCGAAGTTGATGACCTGAGCGTATGGCAAAGCATTCGGCAATATAAAGTCATCGGGATGGTTGCTATGACTGCAGCCTTTAGCGCATCTATGGACGGTTATCGTGAGTTCTTTATGCCCAGATGTTGGTTTAGTAATGAGGATTGTGTTGACAGTATGGATGGGCAGAAATCAACCTCAACGGAGGTATTACGTCCAATAAAGGTTTTATTCGGCAGTTCGCAAGCCCCGGAACAACGATAATTTCGGGGACGTACATCTCTGCTTGGGGTGGAATCCAGTCAGCGGGTCAAACCGTCGGTCAAATTGTAAAGTCCTGATATATTTTCTTGCAATTGAGCTGCATTCACTAATCTGATCTGTATTTCACAAACAGTTTCTTCAATACGCCACGGAGGGATTTGGCCGCAAGCCTGCGCTTTACATTATCTGGGTTACAATTGTTGTGGTGAGAATTTCTGTTTGGTTCTCAAAATCGTATCGAAAACTTACTATGCTGTGATATAGAGCATCTTCATTGAGTCCTTTGCAACAAAATGGCAGCACTGGCTGGTAGCAAAGCTATTCTCTGGCATGGGAGTTGGGATGCTACAATCCACAATGCCGTTGTACTTGTCCGAGATTGCTCCAACTCAACTCCGGGGTTTCTTTATTAATGCATACTCGCTGTAGGAATTCCCTTATATGCAAACGACTTTTGTGGAAATTCATGCTAACATTCCGAGTTTTTGCCTAGATGGTTTGTTTTAGGTCAGCTATTTGGTTCTGTGGCTCTCAACGGACTTAACGACACAAAACCCTATGATTTCAGAACACCCATTTATACCCAGGTGAGTTGAATTCCTTCCGTTGAGTTTAGCAAATTGTAAACTTATGATTTCTAGTGGGCGATGGTAGGGGTGATAGCCATTATATTTGTCCTCCTACCGGAAAGCCCATGGTGGCTCGTTAGCAAAGGCAAATCAGATAAAGCAGCCAAAGTGTTGAACAGATACAATAACAGAGTTCGCGGTTATAATGTTCAGGAGCAAATTGTAAGGCTGCGATGAATCCCTCCTCCTATCTCTCTCATCGTTCTCTTTTTAATTCACTAATTCGGGTTTTGATGCTCATACGAACCTTAGAATATCATGACGGCAACCATCAACGAAGAGCGTCGTGCTGCGGAGAGAAACTCAGAGATTGGCAGATGGGCTATCTTCCGTGGACGCAACTTGTTGCGCTTTATTATTGCAGGGTGGCCCAAGGTCACTCAGCAGTTCGTGGGACTGACAGTATTCAACACCTACGCCACCTACTTCTGTAAGTGGGAGCTACCTGAACCCTGCATTCATTTCCTTGTCACTGAAGCTAGCCACAGTTCAATATGCCGGGTTCAATGACCCTTTTATCGTGACGGTGATCCTATCCTGTGTTCAGCTTATCTCCATGGTTGCTGTTGCGGTGAGCACCGATCAATTCGGTCGACGGCCCCTTACAGTCTATCCATACGCAGTAACTGCTCTTTCGCTTTTGGCTCTGGGAATTGTTGGCTGTTTTGACTACACGAAACAATCTTTAAGCTCTCTCCTGGTGAGTCCTAACAGTTTGTACAAAAAGATTATATGTCCAAACTACACAGTACTTAGATCATGGGGGCCTAGGTATTCTTTACTTGTCTGGCTACATTTTCCACTACAGGAGCTTCGGCCATTGGCTATGCGTACGCTGCCGAAATTCCTCAACAGCGTCTACGTGCACAAACGGCGGGTTGGTCCCTGGCTTTTTCAAATCTTGTCGCCATTATGTTTAATTTCTGCACGCCACTCATGATCAACGGGACTGTTACACGATGGGGAGTGAAAACAGGCTTTTTGTAAGTCTTTATTCTTTTTCCCTTGGGTGTTTCTACAGTGTAAGTAGACTGTGCAGAATTAATTTTGAGACTCCCATATTACAGCTTTGCGGCTTCAGGGGCTATCTCTGTTACCATTGCTTGGCTCATACTTCCGGAGGTCACACGTAGAACGCCCGGTGAAATCGATGAGCTGTAAGTCATGGGTTTCCATATTTTACAATGTCCCTTGAATAAAAAATAAATTTAACACTTCAGATAGGTTCGAGAAGAAAGTAAACTTGCGCAAGTTCAAAGATTACGTGACGGACGTGCAGTTACGCGCGTATGAGCAAAACGAGATGCTTTCTCGAGCTGAAGCCTAGTGGCGTGTGATTGAACCACCCTTGCATATAATTTTTCGTAGAAAATCTTTCATACAGAGTGGCATACGCAGCATTAAGCTTTGCCGAGGATGACATGTGAACGGGTGGCATGTTTGATTCATCATGACATTATAGCTTAGAAACAAATCTTACGCGGAGTGAGTTAGTGATATCAAAGTATAATGATATAATGAGTTGTTTAGGTCAAAGAAAACCTCTCTATGCACTTTTAGTGAGGCTGGGTCGAAATGCCGAGGCAATTGCCATATCGGGAAATCTTGTCGATCATACATTGTTCAGCGTGGCAACACACAGAGAAGGCCTGACACCGAGTGAAGCTGACACTATGTCTCTCGGTTCTCGGGGGTCGGTGGTCGCTTCTCGTGCCTTGCATAGTTACAGTTCGCAATTCAAATCTGAGGGAGGTGGGCACTTGGCTGTCTGCCTGGAGGCAAATCGGCATACCAGCTGTAAACCACTAGATACTGCTGCCTCAGTGTCTTGCCGGTGAATATTGGAATGCTTTTTTCCCTTCGAAGTTAACAAGGTTGGAAATGCGAAACATGTGAAATGTTCTTTGGCCTTCTACGCCTCTATGACATACCTCCTGCATTGGTGGGCTGATTGACTCTTGTCGATATTCTAGAACATCTGACCGTAGAAGATACTTAGCTCCTGATATAACTAGATTCTTTCTGTATGTCTAGGTATATATATCATCGAAGCATTCCAATCCAGATATCGATTTTTCGTTTCTCTCTCATTGAAATGAACACCCAGCCTTACAACTCAAAACTATACTTGCACATTCCCCGTTTCAGCATAACTTCTTAGCGACCTATCCTGAACAACCTAGGTATAGTAGTCAAGCTTAAGTGGCAGACCTAGGCTAGCACAACCATCATGACCATCATTTCACGATACTTACTGGTCCCTCTTCGGCTGGGGCAACTAGCCTTCGGAGCTGTGCGTACTTGCTCGTGACTATCATTGTCTTTTCGTCATATCCTCGAACTTTCTGCTAATGAATTCTTACTAGATCGTGGCTGGAGTACTCGGTTACTTTCTAAACCAGCTTAAAGACGCTCTAGATTCGTCCTCATTGGCTCGCTGGATCTACGTTGAAGTCCTTGCTTGCCTCTCGATTATTTTTTCGTTGCTCTTTCTGCTTCCAACGTTTCTTGAGATCTTTGTGTGGCCACGTGCGGTGCTACTCCTCTTCTTCTCTCATTTTTCAAACTGCTAACCTAAGTAACAGTTGACATTGTGGTTTCTTTGGCGTGGTTTGCGGCCTTTGGCCTTGTCCTGCATGGTCTCGACGGGATTACCTGCGGCAGCTTGCCAGGTTTGGGCTTATTCAACTACTCAGGCAATTGTGCTACGTGGGAGGCTGCCGAGGCTTTTACTTTCCTATCGGCATTCACCTGGCTAGTGACTGGATTTCTGGGTCTTTATCTAGTCTGGCGCGCAGAGTAAGTCATCTCAAAGCCCACTCTGTATCCAAGATCCTAACAATATTTATGTCAAAAGTGAACGCGAAAGGGCTCGATGGCACCGCAGCTATGATGTTTAAGCCATGATAATGCCCCTTCCGGTTGATCACGTTGTACTATGTATTTTCCTTGGTTTTCGTTGCACGAAAACTGGTGTATATCAGCTTACATTCCCTGAGATAGAGCTGGCGCTGGCGCTTTTGGTTTAAAATTTGAGAGATATGGTGTTAAGGTGTCTACACTTACTGATAGACTTGAAAGTACCTAGACTTAGATAATATCTAGATTGACGTTTACGTGCAATATAATATGGGGTCGTTCTGTGCAAACACAATTGTCTCATAAGGGAGGTACAGACAAAGGTGCATGAAGCAACTAATCACATTATCTACTCTTACTAACTAATCATCTCTCCCATCAGAGAAAGTTATATATTTCAAGTGGACAATTCATCTACTCAATGGAAACAACAAAAATTCTAGTCATCGGGGAGAACCCAAGGCCCTTAACCTTCTGTAGGACAGACCACGGGCTCGTTCGCTTACCTACAGTCTCTATCTGCAGGCTTATCAAGATAGAAACAGGCATTAATTATTTTAGGGCTGCGAAGATCTCTGTCTCTTCCTACTACATAGCGCACGGGGCGGGCCTTGATCGCGGGTTTCCTGTGAGCGGAACTCGCCGTCGACAGATAAAGTCATAGAACTGCCACCGCAATTCTCCAATGGAGACCAATCACCTTTTCATTCATTATCAACGTTTCGTTCACCTGAAATTGCATGGCTCGTTTTCAGTAGTTTTCCAAAAATACTAAACGGCGTTCGTAGGTTATTATAGGAACCATTTCCTGCGATATTCCAGGGTGATATCTTCTTCGCCTGTCAGCGGCGACCTCCGGTCTACACCATGGACTTTGAAGCCTGGCCCTATATCTTCTTATCTCTATTACCAGAATGTCAGTTCTGTAAATAAGTCGCATGCTTGGCAGTCCTGTCGCGATCATCTCAATGCGCGTCCCACCCAGGTGATCGAATGTCAAGGGTTTCCAACACAATTCGCTTCTAAAATGTCGACCACTGTTGATCGAGGGCCGGAGCTGCTTCGCGATATCTGGATATTTGCAGCGATTTCAATTTCGGTCGTTTTGCTGAGGATCACGGCGAAGGCACGAATTAGAAAGCTCGCCTGGGACGATGTGCTGATGGTCTTTGCGTTGGTTAGCACAACGTTCATCAGGTGCTATTGCGTGATTTACAGCAGTTTCACTAATACGTCTCCTGCTCCTTGCACAGTGCTCTGCCTTGGTCGGCTCGGCGATACTTACTGTAGGAATCAAGTGTGGATATGGCCGCCAAGTTTGGGACATTGACACAGACAATGTTTCCACCGTTATCATGTACGACTACCTGTCGCAGACGTTCGGTACGGCTGGCGGCGCCATAGGACGAATCGCCTTCATAGTCTTTGTGATCAGTTTACTCGGTGCGAGAAAGGCACATCGAATTATCCTGTGGATCCTGGTTGGCGCGCAAATCTTTGTCAACGCTCTGTTCATACTCATAATCTTTCTACAATGCCCCGGACATGCATCCGCTATATGGAACGAGACTGGCTCCGGGAAATGCTGGAGTCTCAATGTCCAGACATACTATGGTTATTTTGAAGGCTGTAAGAGACTCAGTATGCTTTTGGACAGGCAATTAGTTAACGGTGTTGACTTTGTGCCATCACAGCCTTCAACTCCGCCACAGATCTTTACCTCGCAGCATTCTCGGCATATATCTTCTGGAACCTAAATATGAAACCACGCATCAAATGTGCTCTGATTGGCCTTCTTGGCCTAGGGATCTTGTAAGACTAACCCCTCGCGTTATCCAAGAATATGACGAAATTTCACAACTCGCTAATGTTTCTCACATTTAGTGCAATGGTTGCATCTATCATCAAGACAGTTCAGATTGAAGTTCTTGGAAGCGTGGACAGCGATCCAACCATCGCGACCGTCGATTTAGAACGCTGGCTTTACATTGAGACATATCTGGTCATCATTACAACTTCAATACCGTGTCTCCGGTCCCTTTTACGAACAAAAAAGCCAGGATCAACAAGTGCATATAGAAATACGCATCGATCAGGCTTGACATATTCTGGGAACCAGAGTTTTTCTTTGGGGCCTAGAAACCAAGCATCGATGGCCGAGGGCCATGAAGGGGATTGTATGTCAAAGAAGTCTAGCAGTGAAGATGTTATACTTCGAGATACGGATTACAGGAAAAACTCTGACTGTGGCGACTGGAGATACGCTGACCATTCTGATGGAAACGTGGAAGATCCTATGTAATTATACGTTTTTGGTAGGATTAGTTATGACGTTAAAGATATCTATCCAGTCCATCCAATTTATCCCTGAAGGAGTTCTTCAGAGGCAACCGCATCTAGTCATTTTGTGTCCTTCCATAGGAGGCAAGTGGTAGAAGCACGATATTAATCACGCCAACGTAACCGATCGGCGACAAACCTAGCACCATATACAAGCCCGAGCAAGACTGGGACCTCAATGAGAGGTCCAACAGTAGCTGCAAGAGCCTGATTGCTATCCGCACCAAATGTCGCAACAGCAACAGCAATGGCGAGTTCGAAATTGTTGCTAGCAGCGGTGAAACTCTGTGTGGCAGCTAGCTTGTAGCCAAATCCCAGTTTGTATGCCATGATCATGGTAAGTGAAAATATCACCGTGAAATAAACGACTAGTGGAGCGGCGACGCGAATGACTGAAACTATCTGATGAACAACTTGATGCCCTTGTGAAGCGAAGAGTACCAGGATTGTAAACAAGAGTCCGATGAGGGACCAGGGGCTAGCAAACTTAAGGAACACCCGGCTATACCACGCTTCGCCTGCAGCCCGGAGAAGGAGAAAGCGCGTAATAATCGCTGCGCCCAGTGGAATACCAAGGAATATTGCAACGCTCTTGGCGACTACAGAATATTCGAATGTGATCCCGTCACCGTCGAATATTCGTATAAAGAGGACAGCGAATGGTGCAAATAGTACCATCTGAAGAAGAGAGTTGACTGCAACCAAAATGGCACAATACTCCTCGTCGCCTCCTGCCAGTCCGGTCCAAATCAAGACCTAAACATGAGATAACAGTTAAGAAGGTATGCTTGTACCATAAGTGATGGACAAACTCACCATCGCAATACATCGTGCAATTCCAACGAGGATCAATCCCTGCCGCAATTCACTTTGATCGGGCAGGAAAGCCCAAGCCAGGGCTAACTGCATAATGTGATTGTCAGCTGCTACTCACCGTAAAGGAAGAGTCGGGTCGTGACTTTACCATGAAAAAAGGTGCAACTATCCAATTCAACACGATACTGAACGCAATCTGTGTCCAGATTTTGGAGGTCTTGAAGACATGATGCAGCTCTTCATAGCGAACCTTGCAAAGAATGGGGTACATCATTACAAGGAGTCCGACAGCTAACACAGATACTTAGTGGGTAGGCAAACAACCGAGGATTGGATATGACTGTACCAATTGGGACTGAGACTCCTACGAATTCCCCCCTTTGTAATGCTCGTCCAGTACTTGGAACAAAATTACCGAGAATAATCCCAACTGCCATGGCGAGAAATATCCATACTGCGAGATATCGGTCCAGGATGCCCAGGTTTTTGAAGACTGATTCCTTGCCCTGGTGATCAGCAGGCACACGGAGTTGGTCCTGGTTCTTTTCCACATCGAGACGTGCCTGGCAAGGACGGTCGATTGCCATATCTGTATCCTCCATGTTTGACAATTATTTTCCAGGGGCATGAAATGGTAGCTAGGGATCATTGAGGTCGAAATAATGCAATGTAGGGGCTCCAAAGATGGCATATACATACATGTCACTCGCGGATGTTGATTGGCTAAGCGGCTCCCCACTCTGCCTGAACCCTTTTTTTTTTTTTTTTTTTTGGGTCTATGCATAATACTAGCTAGGTATACTGCCGCCGGCGGTACTTATATATTTTTTAGGCTCTTCAATATGGCTCTCCGATTGTATTCTTGTTGCATGTAGATAGACTGTCACAAACAGATCAAAAATTCATCCAGCCTTGACAACATCGAACCTAAAAAGACTCTCCGCCGATGCCATTATTGCCTGTTCGCTGGTGTATTGCCACTTCCAGCCCAAGGTTTCTGTAGCTTTGGCGTTGCTAATTGTGTGCTGGTGGCCCAGATCCGGTAGGATAAGACGAGCAATTGGAAGGAAGATTGCGACTGCCCGCATAAGGAAGTCTGGGAGAACTATCGATGGCACCTTTCGTGCCTTCGGGCCCAAGTTTTTCTTCAGGATCTTCGCAATGTCTTCCATCATGACAGAACCCTCGCCAATACACAGAAATCGCTCTCCCTTCGCATCTGGATGGGTCATGACCAGCACATGCAAAGTTGCACAATCACGAACGTCAACAATACCCATGCTCAACCGAGGAAGGCCTGGCGCATTGCCTTCCAGAAGTTCACTCACAGTGTGCAAGCTCGTGCCTACATCCGGACCAAGTGTTGGACCTAAGACCACAACTGGGTTGACGACTGCCAGTTCAAGCTCGCCTCCTTCCTTCTCTATGAAATCCCATGCTGCACGCTCTGCCAAAGTCTTCGATTTCGGATAATGCGTGGTATCCTTAGAGTTGACATCGGTCCAATCCACCTCGGTAAATGGGTCCGATTCCGGGATTTTGGGCGAACGGCCATAAATAACTGCTGCAGCACTACTCGTTACCACGACACGGACCACGGAGCCGGCGTCGCGAGAAAAGCGAAGAACGCGCAAAGTGCCTTCAAGTGCAGGAATCAGGAGCTCATCTTCATCCTTAGGTGGTCCATCGGGAAAGGGGGATGCAATATGCTGGACATATTTGACATCCTTCATGGCATCAGCCCAGCCATCATCCTGCACAAGGTCTGCTTGGACAACTTCGAGCGATGATACCTGGTCTTCGTTGATCCCTGCCTCGCTCAGTTTCTTCGCGATATTCTCGGCGCGTTTAAGGGAGCGCACGGTGGTGCGTACACGATATCCTTGCCGAAAGAGAGAGACAATCACCCACACCGCCAGGAAGCCTGTGCCACCTGTAACAAGAACCAGTGACCTCTCAGACATGGTGTGTTGGGAATTAATTCCGCGAAGTAACTATTAGAAAAGTGATAGTTTCTTTTTTGTGACGCTGTTTGAATTGAAGGATCCGATTAGCTTTTCGTTTTGCACGAGCATCAGCTATTTCTAAGTTAGCGGATCTATGATGGTTCCTTGGCAGGACCGTAGCTAGAGCTCTCAGGCTCAACGTTACTGAGTAAGTATTCAAAAGTCAGCCAATTTAGAAGATATAGCTACAACCGACGAGCATCGTTCAACAGCGTGTACTCCCAAAGTATTCTGCACAGCGAACAGCGGGCTCTGATTGGCTCCTCGAGGCTATACTGCGCTGCCCGCAAAGGGTTAGGGCGTTTGGGCTCCCTTGCGTCGCTTACTGGAACATAATGAGGGAGTGTGCATTGCCATCAATAATATATATGTAGGTAGTTATGTAGTTCGGTTTCTGCTTTTTCACCGCTTGATACAGAGTTGGCAAGGCTGGCGGTCACTGGGGTTTTAGCCTGGGAAATCATGATGCGGGCAATGTCGGTAAAATTCGGTGAATATCATGTCCGCAGTGTCTAAAGTACTAGTAGTAGATCCTATAACCCACGCTCTCTCGATGCGTTATTGGCTCGGATTCTAGTGAGGCTGAGCAACAGCATGCAGATGAAGAATTGTGCAAGGCTTGTTCCTCATATCCACACACTCCGCACATTTTATACGTAAGTTCCCCTTGTATAACCCTGCATAAACAAACCATGACACATTGCACTCGGCCAATGGCATGCAAAGGTTGGCTTCGCGCACGGAGTACTTCGCGCTAGTCTATACTCTGTAGGATTCTATATTTGGTCCTCCGATGAACGAGCGGCGTGTGCCCAGCGTGCCGCACGCTGGGAATAGTAGTTTCTACGTCGTACGTATGAAATACTCCCCCAAAATTAATGCCCTGCTGTCTCATGTGTCGTGACGAGATCGCCCACGGCATTCGTTTAGTGGCTTACTGCATTGGGAGTGTCCAAGCCACTGCGGGCCTTCACTTACGTGGCCTTCACGCTTCGGGAGTCGGCTTATTTCTGATTATTGCTCCAAAACCCATGCTAATTTTCTATGCTTGTGGCTCAGCATGTTTTTCCTCTGCCACACGCCAATAGCAAACTACGAAATATGCACTATTTAATCCTAAGTGCTACATTGTACCGGTGCATCCGATACGTCAGTGACACTCGCCCTATGACAAACTCCCTATAACTTGTGACTGGCCCGCCGTGCGAGCGAAATATCTTTCTTCTTCTTCTTCTTCTCCTTCACAGGCTGAATTTTTGACCTGAGCAGCGGCAAGGCATAAAAGCCCTTGAGTTGATCCCGCCATGACCTGGCCGACGTGCAATTCCACGGACCATATTGCTACCAGTAAGTCCCCGTGCTTCATCATGCTTGCTGCGATACTCAACAAATCATCCTAGTCCACGAGGTTGATCTTTGGGATGGCGGCGTCACCTTCCATACCCTATGTGTTATCCTTTGCGCCGTTCTCACCGTTGTCTCCTTCATATTGGCCTCCATCATCATCTTCGGCCATGCCACCCACTATAGCCAGCCGGATCAGCAGCGATAGTATGTATCACCCGCCATCATGAATGAGTGCACCGCGTCTAAGTCTGACTCTCGGCTAGTATCATTCGTATCTTGTTTATGATCCCTATATATTCCATCACCTCCTTCCTGTGCGTATACTTTTACAAGGAATCGGTCTATTACGAGCTTATCGGGAACTGCTACGAACCATTCGCCATTGCCTCATTCTTTACGCTGCTTTGCCAGTACATCGCTCCCGACGTGCACTCGCAAAAAGAATATTTCCGGCAAATCGAGCCCAACAATTGGGTCTGGCCTATTCCTTGGTTGCAAAGATGCACCGGCGGCCAAAACGGACTATGGCGGAAACCGCGCAGTGGCCTGACCTGGTTCAATGTACGTATTGACCTTGCCAAGTCCACTCCATACATGAACCTGTCTGGTCTAACAACCACGATCCACTAGATTGTCTGGATTGGCGTCTTCCAATATTGTATCATTCGAGTTGTCATGACGATTATTGCCGTCGCTGCTCAGGCCAACGATCGCTATTGTGAAGACTCGGACAATCCTGAATTTGCGCATGTTTGGGTATGTAATCTCGATGGAAACTTGGGTCGGTCTTCAATCCCACTAACTTCACCTTTGAATAGGTCCTTATCATCGAGTCCGTAGCCGTCACGATCGCCATGTACTGTCTTATTCAGTTCTACATGCAGATCCATAAAGACATTGCGCAATACAAGCCCTTCCTCAAGATCCTGTGCATCAAACTCGTGATTTTCTTGTCATTCTGGCAATCTGTAAGTCTAACATTCTTGGCTCGGCCTCTTGACACCTCTCGAGAGCAACCCCCCCCCCCCCACCACCTAACTAACGTGTTATAGACGATCATTGACTTTCTCACGTCCTCTGGCGTCGTTAAATCGTCCGCCAAAGTGACGCTTAATGACTGGAATAATGCTCTGCCCAATCTTCTTATTTGTATCGAAATGTCCCTCTTCGCCATTCTGCACTTTTGGGGCTTCCCTTGGAGACCCTACGTTGGCTCGCAGAAAAACTACGGAGGGTCTTTTGGCTGGAGAGCAATTCTCGATGCAGCCAATCCTTGGGACCTTGTCAAAGCAACTGCGCGAGGCTTCCGCTGGCTGTTCGTTGGGCGCAAGTCGCGCACATTAGACCCCAGCTACCGCATGGCAAGACAAGGCTCGCAGGAGGGACCGTATGAGCAATTGACAGGCACTGTATGATAGACACCTGGCGTGTCGAAGCGGTTGCTTTTTCCCTTTTTTGCCCCTTCTTTTTTCTCTGCTGCGGATATCCAGAAAGCTACAGTTATAATGACTGATGAGTTATGATTTTACTGTATTTCATTTCAATTTTGTTTTGCATACCAGCGATTGGATGAGCATAGATCTCACAAATGCAATTTGCATTTATACAGTGTTTGTTCGAAACAACTTTGGGCCATGATCTCTATGTTTGAATATCTGATATCATTTATTACATGGCAGAGCTAGGGTCTGGCTAGTGGGTAGGATAAGGCGCCTTTTCAGTTGGGTTTTGTTACTACTAGTACTTTCAAGCCACGTTGTGACGGATTCAAGTTAGAGATGGCCTTTCTGATATAAGCCCCGGTTTCTTCTTCTGCCTTCTAAAAGTTCGGGGCTACCGAGAGTACACAAGCCGCCTGTAATCGACGATCCTGCAGCCTGCGAGAGAGCGGGCCCGGAATTGTTTCTTGTGAGTGGGTGAAATTCCAGCCCAGAAGTTTAGCTAGCGATTTAATGATTTTAATTTAATCTGACCTGACTACGGAGTGCATGTCGAGTCGACAGGCACTTTTTCCGGTGATCGCTTTTTCCAATGTCTTCTTCTTTCCACCCCCTTTTATGCCTTCTTTTTTGCGCCAATCCGGACCCAAATTTAGTCTCCCCGATTAATTGTCCCAAAAGCCCGCGTAGCCAGCCACTCTCTCTTTTTATGTCCTAAGGGACAGCAGACCATGACAAAATCGCAATCCTCGTTGCCTTGTTCAAGGGGCCCGAACTCGGAGCCAACTCCACGTTGGAAGCAATATGGGAGAACTGACTATTCAGCAAGTGCTTGGTTTCTGCTGGGTTTCTGTGCATTGATATGGATGTGGAGGGAAATATCTCCATTTTATTATAGGTTCCGAGGGGCAACGTCTGATCGGCCGTATGGGATTGAGAAAGGAGCAGAGTCGGCCAGCCTGGGCTTCCGATGGAGTGATATCACTCCCAACGATTCCCTTCAGTATACCGAGTGCTTTACCTCCTTCCTCTGCGCACGACTCTCTGTGCCATTGAATTGGAATGCCACTGACACGCATGATGGTCTTGCATCCAACTCCCAGGTCGCGCTGGCCATTATCAAGCTTCCGGCTAAAGTGCCTGTGACTGATCCGAGATATGGAGGGCCGATTATACTCAATCCCGGAGGCCCGGGAGAGTCCGGAGTGTATCAAGTGCTTACGGATGGGCCGAGTCTCCAAACCGTAGTAGATACGGATGTTCTTCCTTCAACGGCAGAGCTTGATTTGGAGCACGATGGGAAATACTTTGATATTTTATCTTTCGATCCACGAGGCGTGAACAATACCACACCTCGCTTACGATGCTTTCCCGACGCATTTAACCAACAGGTTTGGCAGCTTCAATCACCAGATTACGGGCTACTGTGGCATAGCGAAAGCATCATCGGACTCGAATGGGGTAGAGCATCTGCCCTAGGAGCTAGTTGTTCAGGCGCTGAGCGCGAAGGTGGCATTTTGCCCTACCTAAACACTGCTCAGACAGCCCGAGACATGGTTCGGATCATCGACAAAGAAGGGGAGTGGCGAGAGCAGCAGGCAATCAAGCTCCTGGAGCATGACGGGATGACGGCGCATGCAAATACAGGCGAAACTCTGACCAGAGTAGCATATCAACCCAATGAAGAGAAACTTCAATACTGGGGGATGAGCTACGGGACACTTCTAGGGGCCACCTTCGCAGCTCTGCATCCAGACCGCGTGGGCCGAATAATTCTCGATGGTGTCGTCGACCCCGCAGACCATTACGCTGGAGATTGGCTTACACAGCTCCAGGACTCGGACAAAATCATTTCCAAGTTCTGTGAATATTGTTTTGAGGCGGGTCCTTCAAAATGTCCTCTCTATACCGGCTCATCGGCTGCGGATATCGAGCACCGCTTCACGATGATCATGTATGCGATGAAAGAGAATCCGATTGCTGTATCTCCTATTTACTTGGATGGCGCGATTAGCACAGGTCCGGACATGGTTACATACGGTGACCTACATCTACGTCTTTTGTCTGGAATGTATTTTCCCTTCACCATGGCAGAGAACCTCTTCAGTTTGCTTTTGGAGGTCGAACAGAGGAACTCGTCATCACCGGAATTAGCGTCTTTGGTTTCCAGGAAACAAGCAATCCTTACTCCATCCGGTTGTCAACGAGACGAATCATCACCAGACCCTGACATTCCATATGTGTCCGGGGTAGGTGCCTTCCAAGCAATCTCGTGCATGGATATTGGCGGCTCAATGAATCTGACCCGAAGAGAGTTCCGAATGTACTGGACAGAGTTGCATGGACAGAGCCAGTGGATAGGCCCTAGTTGGGCACGCAATAAGTTGTCCTGTGAAGGCTTCACCGCCAGACCAGCTTGGAAGCCAGACTTCTCATTCCATGTACAGGAGTGGGCGAACACATCCCACCCATTGCTGATTATCGGCAATACCCATGACACAGTTACGCCGTTGACAAATGCACGTCGGGTCTCAACACTCTTTCCAGGAAGCGTAGTATTGCAGCAAGACTCCCAGGGTCATTGTTCACATTCAAGCCCATCTTTATGTACAGGAAAACTCATACGCCAGTATTTCCAAACAGGCCTACTGCCGCAAGAAGGGACAGTATGTCAACCTGATACATTGCCTTTCTTGGGCTGCGTAAAGGATGAAGAGAGTCAAGCAGAATGCAATTTCACCGACAGTTCAGACGCCAGGTTGTGGGAAGCTCTAGTTGAGTTGGCGGATCCTTTCAAGCTCAAACTGAAATCGGATGATAAGCAGACAGTCTCTTGGATACCTAATAGTTACCCTTTTCGGCGATTTATGTGAGTCTCGAAATGATTTATCCAGTCTCCTAGGTAGACAGCACTAGTACAGCTTAGTATGTCGTATTAAGTCGGTTAGCTGTCCCGCGCAGTTACGCCTCAATGTCCATATTTCCATAAATTCTTATTTGCTTGTACTATCCTTGATATGATGTTTTGCAGGACTGTAAATGGAATGGGGACCAATGGTGAAATATAAAAAACGCCGGATATACTCCATAGCACTGCACGAGCCTTCCATATTTTCCTTTTTCCGGAGATTCGGTTCATTACTCTAGATTACTTCCTTACGCTTTTACTTTTGACAAAGAATAATTGCGACCTATAGGACTTCTTGAGATCAAATGAGTCATTCTGATCGGTGATTGGGCTGTGAGATTCCGATGAGCTTGCAATCCACTAGTCCGAGGTAGGCGGATGGTCACTTTAACTTACTGTATCCTACGATTAGCTGCTGCACTGTCCCTTCTGCTCTCGGCTATATGAGCTCGTCTGTGATATGAAGCAGCTTGATGAGACAAATCAATCCATAATAGCAGAGGCACCGCTCTAGATTTATTTGAGCGCGCTTATGTTTGCGCCATAAAGCAGTCTCATACGAAATTTCACTTCAGTGGATGAAGAAGTTACCTGTCATCCGACTTCGTTGGAGTTCTTTGATCCAGATACTTCAGTACGCATCCTGATGCAGTCAAAGGCATCAGTCTTTCATATTATGGGAAGATAGTTGCGTCATTATCATACACAGCAGTGGATATATGTGACCCTGTAACTGAGCAGCGTCTGCATACATTTGAGCGGCGCTTTTTTTTGGAGACGCTGGATGAGGATTACCATTCTGCTCGCTATAACTTCAACAACCAAATTGCGTTCTCGTACGATGGGAAGACACTTTGCATCAATATCTGGCAGTACTATATGGATACTGGAATTACTAAATGGATAGCATCGGCACACGCTCAAGGGTCATACTCTCCCAATTCATCAGATCGCGCGGTCACTCAATGGAGATTTAGTGGCATCAGCTTCAAGCGCTCAAACGGTGTGGCTTTGGAATTCATATACTGGGAAGTGCCTACATGCATACATACATTGGCTCGGAATGGCCGGCGTGGCAGTCAGTGTTGTTCAGAATATTAGCTTCAATATTTAGAGCTTATGAGGAGGGTTTTAAGGAACACACAGCAGAGATAGCTGAGAAAGGAACATTCAAAACCCCAAGAGGAAAAGCAGATTGTAAGACTATACATGAATCTGTATCAGTATATGTTATCTTTGACTCGTGAAATACTTCTGAACTTCATTTAAAGAATCACATCCACAAACCCGATACGAGATGAATCTACTCTGCCTTGAATAGATCTCCATAGACGTCCTTGCTCTTATGCACTACAGGTTCATTATTCTCTCCCATAGAGATAGCGACAGCCGTGGATTCATCCAAGTCGTCCTTTTCCAACCCGAGCACATCATTGTGGAGGCCGCGGGTTAATTTGATGTTACCACCTCCATTTGGAAAAAAGGTGCGGCTGTAAAGCATTTGCACAAACGCATGAGCGTCTCCTTTTTGCTCTAAGGCATTCTTTGCACTCTGCCAGCGCTCTTCAGAGGATTCGTCGGTGATAGTCCAGTCAGCGTCGGTAGTCCCCGTTACACGCTTCACGCTTTCGAACATGTCGCGCTGGCTTAGCTCGAAGCTCGATATGTACACAGGAACGTTGCGAAATTGTGATAGGGTCACTGAGCGGTCATCTTCATTTTCTGGGAACTCTTTCAGGCTCAGCAAATTCGCAATGGCTTTTCCACACTGCTGCCAAGTACTTGTGGAAATAGTGGTGTTGCCGCCATCGAAAAAGGTCAAGGAGCGCTTCTTGAAATCAAAGCCGTAGCGATCAGCTCCGCCGCCCAGACTAAATTCATACCAGAAGCCACAAGACAGCAGAATGTAGGAGCTGACCCCTAGGCTTTTAAATTCGGCAATCATCTTGTTTCTAAAGGGGGTAAACAAAACATCCTCGCACATCTTGTCGTCCGCCGGGTCATGACCGTACCAGTTTGGTAGGACGTATGATACGCCAGCCTTTGCAGACGCGTGGATCAACTTGAAAATGGTGTCCCTCGGAGCCATCACCGACAAAGCAATAATTAAGGCCTGCTGTCCCTTAAGTGCCTCTACCAACGTAGTGTTGTCCTCGACATTGTAGTCGATCCAGGCAACTTGAACGCCGTCAGGAAATGTACTCGCGCTGTTGGGGCGTGAGATGATTGTCACGGCATGCTTTCCAGTCTTGAGCAAATTCTCGACAATATGCGATCCCATTCGACCACCAGCCTTCAATTTCAGTCAGAAATAGCGTATATAAAACGGTTTCATGAAAGTTTTAGAACGCGAGACTTACGCCAATGACAGCAACTTTCTCAACACGATTGCTGAACCCTGCGGGTTTGTCTTTGCTGTATTCTGGCGACATGATCTGTTTCTATCCTCTAATGGCGTTTTACTGATTCCATAGCACCGTGAACTCACTACCTTGTGTTCAAGGTTAATTCTACCATCCTAGTCCATGGCGAGTAAGCTGTTATTTGTAGACGTTCTTGCAATGCTCATGTTGTGAGCTTGAGACGTGAATGTCAATGCATTTAGCAAGGGCTCGGTGATAACGCGGCGATAAGGGCATGCTGGAGTTGATTATCGCCTTAAACTTAAACTGCCTGGCGGAGGTAAGGAATGATAGACTCCGATCCTACCACAAATTGCAGTCATGGGCAAAAGTTACATCGCGAGGCAAGCATGCAATCCGGATTTAGCACTGTAATTCTAAGACCGAAATTTGGTTGTCTTGGGGACGCACAAAATATATGAGGTGACACCATTGTTCTCCTATCCAGATAAATATGTTGGCGTAGGGAGTTAAAGCCTGAACGTAAATAACGTCAACGTCTACATGGGCATAGTCTCGCGTCGGGATGCTCCTCAATAAATACCCTTGCTGTCGCTGTCGTGTTTACTTAGAATACTCTATCTGCAAAGTCAATCACCTGTGCCTTTTCGATAATCCCATCAAGGCTGCGGATGAATCCCTGATGCACAAGGTCGCTTTGAACGTAAAAATCTCGATCTTCTTTACTGGCAAATTCAACGACAAAGGCATGGGTAATACCATTCTAATAGTGGAACGAAAAAAAAAGGTTAACAAAGTGTGGATTTATAACGGTCAGGATATGATGCTGGATGGCTACACACTGACCTGGATCCCTTTGATGGAGTTATCCACCCCGCCGGATGAAGATTTGATATATGGTTTTTGAGAAGACGGATGGAGACAGTTGTCTTCTAGTGCGAGCATGCGACTGTTGATCTTGGTTGAGGTAGATGTCAAATTCGGCATGCTATTAAATGGCCTAGGATTTGATCTAACATCGCTGATAACCGCAGAGTCAGTGCTTGCTTTGAATTGGAAAAGCACAATATGAGTGATTGGCATATTGGGGGGATGTTGGGCAGACGTTGTATACAGAACTGGACGAAGATGCGCAAGCAATGCACACAGAGAGACAAAGGCCACAAAGACGCCTACTAACTGTCTCCTGGAGGGCATCCTAGCTGCTGTCGTTGCTTGTCGTAGCTTGTGTTGTTAGATTCTCCGCGGTTGGCCTGAGGCCCAGGAAGGAATCCGACCAATCGGAGCAGGCGGTCACAAGCTCTGTGTGCCTTCCTAGATATAATGTATTCTCCAATGTCTACATAAATGTTTAGGTTAATGTATAAAATAACGATTATAAAAAGAGTATGTTTAGTGTTTATATATATATATATATGAAATAGACAGAATACTTGTAGAATATATATACATATTCCTTTCAGTGACCTGTTTAGGATGTTGTCCGAGGATTTAGAACGTCACAGCCAATAGATCAGTACCATAAGCATGAAGCTGAACACGGCTGCTAGACAATAAATAAGAGAGTCTAATGAAGTAGTTGTTGACTTTGCAGTCGCAAGAAATTGGCTCAACATGCAAGCCTCGTCTCACTTAACTGACCGTGCTGTGAGCGCTACTTCATCTATGTAGCACTTCGTATTAGACTAATCTGGCGCCATGCCTACCATACACTCCATTACGCGTCCGTCCTATACAGTAGTGCACAGGATGATAGACCGGCAGCCTAGTATTGTGCCACACGGGACAGTGTCTGGTTGCAGATATGCGCTAGATCGACCTCTATGCTAGTCATTCAATAAGGAATTTCTCGCAATCGATATCCGATTGTACATGATGGAGGATATTTGATCCAAATCTTGGCGATCCATGCAGCTGATAGTTTCTCTCAGCCTCACAATTGCTTATGTTTACACTTATTTTCTTCATAATATTCGAATTCAGTGTTAATATAAAAAGGTGGCGCTGGCTTCCGCCGCGCTACGTTGCAGTTAAAGTTAATGCGAATAACTACTCCAACAGAGAAGTAGCAGAAACAGAGTTACGCATAACTCGACACATAATAGAATCAAACCCTCAACACATAGGTCGCCATTTTGTCCGTACCCTGCTTGACTCATCTGAATTACAGGGACCTTGTGGCATTCATGTTTGCACACGAGCCTCTTTGGTTGCTGAAGCAACGTTTCCAGGGAAATGTCGTTCCACCTGATGTTCTAAAACTGGTTTCTAAAATGATCATAGAAGGCGTTCACTATCTTCACACTCAGTGCAGTATCATCCACACAGGTATCTTATCCCACCGATCGATTGGCATGGCAGAACTTTCTCAACCGCTAACAAATATAGCAAGACCTGAAACCTGATAATATTTTAATGGCTCTTCGAGAGCAGAGTGTACTAGAGGGGGTTGTGCATGATGAAATAACCGACCCCTTACCTCAGAAAAGAACTTGGAGATAGGGCAATATATCTTTCACGGAATGAATTTGGCCTTCACGATAGGGGAATGGGAAGACCAGTAGTTTCTGACGTCGGGCTTGCTGTGCGTGGAGACAATGGTTCTCTTCACCATCATCTTATTCAACCAGATGAGTACCGTGCGCCCGAGGTAATACTTGACTCGGGCTAGGGTTACAGTGTTGATATTTGGAACCTGGGTGTCTTGGTAGGATTTATTGAATCTACTCTTTCAAGGCAAACCATTGCTAACTTAAGAAAGATCTGGGATTTGCTTGAAGAGAGAGGCCCGTTTGATGTGGCACACTCACAAACGCAGACATATTCCGTTGGACAACATTTGGCACGTATCATTGCTTTGATCGGCCTGCCTCCACTAGATTTTCTCAAGCGAGGGGCAAAAACCTCTTAGTATTTTGACGATGAAGGTACAAAATCGCACGCCTCGGTCTTTCTACTATATGAGGAATACCTACGCGAATGCCTGGAGGTCAATGCACATGGAGGGTTAACAAAGGGGCACATTCGGCCTCATCGTGTAGAGACACAAGCAGACCACTCACAGAATACACACACATACATTTCTCCTAATAATCCGTTCAGGACGTATTTCGTTATTCATTTCCTTCTCTCTGCCTTCATTCCTAAGCCGAATCCGGTAGTGCATGACATGTAACAGCAAATCTGACAACATTGCCTGCGGACCAATTTACAGTTAATCTGTCGGGGCGCAGCAAAAAATGCTGAGGAGATTCTATTTAGGAGAACTAAGTGTTTCATCTAGCAGCGATAGATCCTTCTCATGCATCAGTTGGAGAACGCATTTCCAGAGAACTTTGCAGCAGTAACGACCAGAGTCCCCATTTCATCCACATTGGTGAGCCAGTAATCCAGCATCCATCCGCCTTCGGATATATTATTCTCGTCGTTGTAATTTGGTTGAGATAAAAGGTCGCGAAATAGGAGAAGCTGGTCGAGGTCTGACTGGACTGGACTCAGCATATATTCCTGCGTCCAATCCGCTTCTGTGCTAGAATTCCACATGCTCTTCGTGCTCGGGAGAGGCATCTCAGCGAGATACCCTGCGCTGCCACAAGCTTGGTGATCTAGGCCCACGGATACGTCGAAAAGCGAGCTTATTATAAATATTATGAAAACAGTCCTGGGACAGTAAATTGTAAGTACAAAGTTGAACTGGATAAGCAGCGGGTGAGTACATATTTCATACCGCCGTACTGACTCGCCAATGATCCACTGTTCCCAACGTGGCAGTAAACTCTTTTCTGATCGAATGTGAATGGCTGGTTGAGCGCCTACTCGTCTCGCGACTTTCTACTCGCACTATTAAGCTTCATGTGTAGAGGAAGAAGAGGACGGAGAAACCATACCGTCATAGTTACTATCAACGGGATGTCAAAGTCCGTTACGGTCTCGTCTTTCTCTAGGATTCGCAAGATGCAGTAGATGCACATGGCTTGGAGGGCAGCCACCAATTCCCAATCGTCGTAGTCATAGCACTGTAATATATAGTTTGTTAGGAAAGTGTCCCACCGGATGGAAAAAGAGGGAGTCGAACCTGTTGGAAAATCCGTTCCTGCTCAGACCGTATTGCTCTCCAGATATAAACACTGTTATCCTTGTTTTTGACCGACCACATGGCGACTATTCCCGCGCAGCGGGCCAGCGAGTCAGACTCGAACTTGCGGTCGAGAAGATTCTTGACCAAGGATTGTGAATGCACAAAGGGTGGAGCACTGTCTTTGCTCTCTGGAAGCATCATGCGTGGGTAACTGCTGAGGTTGACAAGGACATACTTTCGGTTGAGTGATAGGTCTCTAAAAGGCATTTTCCTAGGCCAGAAAGACCTAACAACCGGCGGAGCTGGCTGGTAGATATTCAGAAGATCATTGAAGCCCTCATCGAGAGACGAATTGTTGGATCCAGAAAGTGCCGTTTGCGATGGAGATACTTCCACTGCATATTGATTTGGATAAAAGTGGAGCAGTGATGTGGAATTATGAGTAATTGGGTCCAGAAATGACGCTGATGGTGATGACAATGCAGGGCGGGGTGTCTGTGTCTGTGGATGTTGTGGAATGTGGTATCGGCAGGTGGCATTTCTACCCAGACATCGTGAACAGGCCGGAAATCCAACATCGCAGTGAACTTTGGCCTTGGTACAGTTAATGCATGCCTTCTTCCTAGACTTAGCGGGATTTAAGGCCCTTTTCCTGCAGTAACTGGCATGTCGAATACATGACCTCCCTGTGGTGGTTGCCGGTTGGAGTTAGCCACCTCAGGCAGAGGAAACATGTATGTGGTGGAGGAGTGGCACATACGGTTGTCAAAGTTCTTTTTGCAGATTCCACATTGCAGTTCTGGAACCATCTTGCTGACTCTGGACTGCGAAAAAGTGAATTGACAATCGTCGCACGCAACTCCGTCGATAGTCGGCAACCTAAATAGCTAGTCAGCCAGTTAATTACGTTCCAGTTGTTGCTTACTAATGTGCTTTCCTAGGCGTTGTTCCTTCACGGGGTTTAATTGCCTTAACAATGCTTAAGTGTTGTGTCAAAGCTGTATGTTACCTGCAGGGGCGTTTTGATATAACAAACCTCTTTGAGGGCCATTATCCTACATTCGTATATTGCGTCCATTAAAATTACACCTTCCCTAGTTATAGCGATCAAGTAGCGTCGAATAGGTACATACGGATTGACGGTCTTATCTCCGTCGGTGGTAACTAATGGCGTTGCTAGTTAACTAACTAACCAAGATGGGTTAGTAAGCACGACGGAGTTCCGTGTCTTAGGGCTAGGGCTAGGGTTTATCCTCGGGGTTGCGTTGAGAAAGACGCTGTATTTAAGACAAACGATTGAGCTCTTGTCCCAGGTACGCAGCAGGGAGCTGTCAGTCATTACTGCATCTATTTTGACGCTACATCATCATTATCGTCATCAAGCACTACTACAACAACAATGGCTCCGATCTTAAAAAATGAAGCTGCATGGCTCCGGGCTTCCGGGGCTTATCCATTAGAGATTGGCCCAGGCCCTCAACCAGATCCAGCAGAAGATGAGGTTGTTATCAAAGTTAGCTATGCAGCGGCAAATCCACTTGACTGGAGGGTGAGACAGCCCCACGTCTGTCCTTGATAATCCGCTTCTTACATGTATCTACATAGTTGCAAGACGGTTTGCCCTTCCCAATGGATTTCCCAAACATCCTCGGCGCTGATGTTGCTGGGACGGTGGTGCAACTTGGATCCAAAGTGACCCGATTCCAACTTGGACAGAGAGTCCTTGGGTACGTATTAGCTGGCACACATACGTGAGTGCTAATCGGCTAATCATTCATCACCTTCTAGTCTCTGCAATGGTCTGGTGGTAAATAAGAGGGCAAATAGCGGATGGCAACGATACAGCACGTGTCCAGAGATTCTGGTATCGGCAATCCCGGACTCTTTACCCCTGGCAAATGCGGCTGTCTTGCCGTTGTCCATATCTACAGCTACGACCGCCCTCTTTGTTCATCTTGGACTGCAACTCCCTTCTCTGGCACCAAACCCTGTGGGAGAAACGGTTCTTATTTGGGGTGGAAGCTCTTCATGTGGTAGTTCGGCTATTCAACTTGCCGTTGCTGCTGGTTACGAGGTTGCCACAACTGCCAGTACTAGCAATTTCGATTACGTCAAATCTCTCGGTGCATCACACGTATTCGACCACACAGATCCAAAGGTTGTTGAAAAGGTCCTTCAGGTTCTAAAGCCTGGTGATCATGTATTTGACTGCATCAGCAATGCGCAGACAATGAAGACTTCCGCTACAATACTGGGCAGAATCGGCGGTGGAAAGCTTGCTCTTCTGAATCCACCGGAAAACTCGTATGCAGAGAATGTCAAGCCTATTCACAGTATGTTTCTTGAGATTTTGCCGAGTAAAACTTCTGGTATCTATCGCTAACGAGGAGGGCACGTCGATTTAGTATTTGCTTGGGATCCCGCCATGACTGGATCTGACGTTGGTGATGCTGTGTTACGCAAATACTTTCCAGCCGCCTTGGCTGAAGGAAAAATTCAAGCCAAACCGGATCCAATAATTATTGAGGGCGGACTGGAAACGGTCCAATATGGCATCGACCTGCTGAAAAGGGGGGTCTCGGCAAAGAAGATTGTCATTGAGATAGCTAAAGAAGAGCTGTAAGTTATTGATCCGAGGGTAGCTAAAGAACTTTCTTTTTTTAAAGTTCTCCTTGAAGGGAAGTTAAAGCTGTTGATGTACCTAGATGGCACAAATTCGTTTGTATATAAAGCTCATAGGAGTCGTGTGACGTTGGAATTGTTCTTGACGCTGTTACCTTGCATACTTTCACAAAATTGATGTATAAGCTAGATGTCTCTATATTGGTCTGGAGTAGTCGAGGTGACTTGAGAAAACCAAGTTCATGGTACCTCGTCTGAAAGTAAAATCCCCTTTGATTCAACGCTATTGGGGAATCACATGCTCTGTAGCATCGACACCAGCCTTCCACCGATACTTGGCAGCTGGATGATCGTTACGCGGGCCTGTCTGTCCTTTCTGCCCGTAGAAGTTTTCACGATAAGTGCCTCCTTGTACTGCGTAATCATTCCAGAATAGACCCCGATTACGCAGTTCCGGAATAAGAAGCTCTATTATATCAACAAAGGAGCCAGGTTTGACTGCGTAAGCCTAATTCATTAAAATCTGTAAGCAAACGATTGAACAGCGTATACTTGGCAAATGGGGATCGTACAAAGTTGAACCCATCAACATCTGCCTCTATTACCCATTTCTCTAGCTCATCTGCGATCTGCTCTGGAGTGCCAACAGAAGTCGCACCCAGGCCTCCCACTGTGATATGTTGAGCGACAGTGGTTTTGGTCCATTTTGGGATCCCAGGCGAGGCCTTTGACCAGCCCTCTACAGCCGATCTGATAGCATTGCTCTCCACGTGTCTTAATTCTTGGTCTTCGTCGTACTCATTCAAGTCGATCCCAGTCCAGCCACCGAAAAGCGCCAGCGCTCCTTCAAGAGACCCGAGCTCTCTGTATTCGGCAAACTTTTTCAAAGCGTCTTCTTGCGTTCGTCCTATGACAGGGCAGAATAAGGCAAGAAACTTCAAGCTACGGGGATCGCGACCGAATTTTGTCTCGGCCAGCTCACGAATCTCAGCGATGCTCTTCGCCACGACGGATGGGCTATGGCCGGCGACGAAGATGGCTTCAGCATGCTGTGCGGCGAACAGCTTACCGGCTTTCGATGTCCCGGCTTGTAAGATTAGGGGTGTGCGCTGGGGGCTTGGCTGACAGATGTGAGGGCCAGGCACGGTATAGTATTTACCTTGATGGTTGATGAGGCGAACGCGAGAAGGCTCGGTGTAGACTCCACGTTTACGGTCCCGGACAACGGCATCATCACGCCATGATGACTCCCATAGTTTGTAGTTGACTCTGACATATTCCTCTGCAATCGCATATCTGTCGTCGTGTTCTGGTTGTTGCGCGTGTCCCAAATTGCGCGCTGCCGAATCGAGATATCCTGTCACAATCTGCATAGGATTCGTTTAGTAGTCTGGTTGAAAGAAAATATATGGCGAGGATCAACTAACATTCCACCCGATCCTAAATCACGATCAGTTTATGTGGCACCAAACCTATAATGAGGAAACTCACCGCCCACTGGAAAGATGATCTACCGTGGACAACCTCCTAGCCAGATGATATGGCTGCTCGTAAGTCGTCGCCACCGTCACCCCAAACCCGAGATTCTTGGTTGCTGCAGCCATGGCTGGCACCACTGACAATGGCTCATTTACGGGCCATTGCGCACCAGAGATGATAGCGGGATCGAGATTTCGCGGGCCTTTATAGACGTCGTATCCGCCTGGGAAAAGGAAATCAGGCTTGAGGGTAATACTTGATACGGAGCATTGTTGGTTGTTACCTAACACATCGGCAATGAAGATGCCATGAAATTTGGCTTCTTCTAGCAGTTTTGCAAGCTCAATCCAGTGGTGCACATCGTTGAATCTCCAGGATTCATCGTCAGGGTGCCTCCATAGCCCGGGGGACTGGTGGCCACTGCCTATACACGATGATGTCAATTCTTGTCTCGGTAACAAAAGCGATGCATATACTAACACATCTCAACGAACGCGTTGAGTATGAGACTCTTGGGAACCTTGTTGCTTATTTCGGGCATTTTGTCTTCTTAGTTGCGTGTGCCACTTAGTACTGGCGCTGATGTTGAACATAGGTATCTGGGTGTTGATGTACAGTATAGGTATGGAAACCAAACAGGTCATGGACGCAATGAGCAAGCAAATACCCCGCGGCGTGCGAGTTCAGTCTGCATAGTCTCAGAGTGGACCGCGATGGCGCGATGAGTCCAAGACGTGTCGATCTCGCTCAAACTAAATTAGTTCTGCATACTATGTGGTGCATGGGTTGGGGCTCTATCAAAAACCTCTCGATGACTGGTTTTCCCCCTTTACTGGACTCACTCTGTTCTGTGGATGTCCAGCACGCCATTTCTGCAGATCCCCGAGCTTCAGTTTAGGGTCTGAATAATTTCCCGGTATTTAGCGCAGCTTGCGATGAGAACAATTACTGAACTACTAGAAAAATGAATCACGCATCCTTCAAAAGTCTCGGGTCTTAGGGCTAGTTGTGGACTATAGCCCCTGTCGGCTCCAATCTAGTCGGGTACAATATGGCATTGCCGGTCCATTCTGGTTTGCAGCTGGCTGCAGCGCTATGATCGTCTTCTTCGCATTCCTCGGCGATTCGTGTAAGTGCAAGATTCGCAGTGCCTATACCTCGCTAGAAGTGGTCTGTTCGCGCCGTCCGGATCGTAATCATGATTTTGTGTTTGATCATCAACATCGTCGCATGTGCGAATATGCTGCTGGGTGCTTCGGCCGTGATTCCTGCCAGGTCCTTCCATCCGTCTATGGCACTGTTGCCCCTGCATTCTCATCCATTCTTTATTCGATAGTGACAACGTATATAACGCAGCCGCAGAGTTATAGCTGAGCCGACTTTGAAAGAGAGAACCTCGCGCTTTAGAAGCTAGAAGCTGATCTAACCACCAGAGCTCACAACGAAAACAACAGAGAATGGCCATCTTACGGCCAAAAGACCTCAAAGGCTGGGGGCGAATTGCCGCATTCTGGTCCATAGCGACATTGATTGGGGTCACTGGGTGATTGGCCGCTACCAATGTATGGCAGTCGATATTTTAGCAAAGGGGGGGGGGGGGGGGTTTGCTGCCCTATCAGTTCTTGGAGTCCATGAAAAGACATCATTGGCTACAGTTTATCACTTCGACCCGTGAGTTATATGACTGTGGCTTACCATACTGATGGTCATGTTCTATGCACTTATCGACGGTGGAATCCAGCAGATGGACATATATATGACTGAAGGCATTAAACAAATAAAGACCGAAGAAGGGGGTTGCAATGGAATCAGGACAAGAGCCTTATTTTCTCAAAAATTATATCTAACGACGGAGCAAGGAGGAGGATCCGTCAAGTGTATCGCATTGTGAATTATAGTGCAGTTGGCTGCATGATAATCGCGTTGCAAATTCTTGTGTTATACTCCGCAGTCAGTATGTTCGATATATTCCGAACTTGGGTTGGTATTCTGCCTTTCAGGAGTATGTACTAAGAGTGATGAGTTAGTTTCGCAGAGTTTGTTGTATTCGTCTTAATGACTTAGAAAAACTAATCCTACTCAGAGAATAAGGGGGTCGACTCTATTATCCTCCTCGACGTTGTAATGTAGTTTAAGTGGCTGAAATGCATATCTGTCAATTTAACATGATTTGATCACTGGGTACTAATCCTTGTGAGATGAGGGCAACAGAGGGGCTGCAATGCCTGTACCTCTTACAATATCTGACAAGCACTGACTCCAACTTTCAAAGTAACCAGGTACCCCTGTCGGTTATTTTCCTCATGCTGGGGCTGAAGCAATTCCCATTCACAATGTCTCACCCGTCCTTCGTCTGCACTCACCAAATCTAGTGTCCTTCTCTGCACTCCCCTATTGAACCGCTTCCAGAGAAAGGTACACTGCCACCTGCGATATTGCTGAGGTACTAAGACACTTTCTTCGCCGCCAAAGTCTCCTCGTGCCACGTGCTCTTTCGGTATCACCGTCAACTGGGACGCATCGACGGATCCATTCGCGTTCGAGGAGGCGATACTTGAATTATGCGGCTTGTACCACACACTTAGATCGTTAGGCAAGGTTTGCAGGAAGTCATCTGCTAGGACCTGATCAACACACGTCGGAGGGAGCCAGTGAAATGTTACGGGATCAAAAACGCAGTTGTTGGCGCTTGCAGTGGTAGCATCAGAGCCGCAGGTAGCAAGAACTTGGGAAGTAGCCGAGGCAGACACGAGTTGGAGACTAATGAGTTGGAGGATGAGGATAAAGCCGAGGAGGATCGCAACAAGAACGGTCATCCAATGTGACCGCCAGAATCGGTATTGAGGTGGTATCGCCGACGGCTCCTCTACAGCCTTGGAGCGGGCATTGAGGAAGGGCTCCGCTTCGTTGATAGGAGATTGAAAATCCTGAACACTCATGGAGACGGCCGGGTTTTACGCTGGCTGCCGCTGTTCCGGCGGTGTCGGAAGATAGAAGTCTGATTAGCGCTTCGAGTCCTCTTAGAATAACTAATGCTGAGATCCTTCTAGTAGAATGACTCGGGTGAAAGGAAAGACAGGTTCACTTCTAGTAGAAGAACTCGGGTGAAGGGAAAGACAGGTAGACAATTGCCAATGTTTGCATAGGAAGTAACTAATATGCATGATAAGCCTCTGGATAAGACGGCACGGGCTGAGGGTCTAGGCGGGGATCTCAGATATGATAGAAGTTAATCTCAGCCCCTAAATTACTAGTTCATGCTACGGCAGATTCTGTAGCTGGGCTGCTCACTGCTTAGTGGTTACTCTGCAGATTTGAACTCCTAGCACTCTTCTAAGTAGATTGGTCCGCGTGTATTTCTCCATATTGGTACCCTTACGTAACATCTGCTATCTACACTGCTACATTAGCGTCAGTTATGTATGGAGTGTATCTGACATTACGATTAGATCCAAGTCTAAAGATATGGCCCCCAGCGTCATTCACAGTCTTCCTGAAAATCGGGTACTACGGAGAGTAGTCCGTACTTACTCTATCTTGTCTACTGTACTAGTTCTGTGACAGAACTTTCGTTGTTTCGACTTCATCGGGCATGCGTTATTATTTCGCTTTTCATTGAAAACGAAAAATTTTGGCCTGCAAAACTAGATACATTGACCACGCAAAAATACGAAGGTAAATACAATCATTATGCATTAGATATATCTGCAGAAGTCCATAGCCAGATACCAGAGTACAGCACAAGTAGAACAAGGAATATCTACAGGATCATGCTCCTATGTCTAAAATAGTCTTGTTGCCCTTGCATTACTGCACCACATCATAGAAAGAAACAAGAATAATACAATCATCAGCTCGTCGTTCACACGCACTGGGGTGGTAATCCATCAAGTCGCTGTACCGGCTGCCCATTTTTCCTGCCTGTGCCCTCTCCCAACTCAGTAAGACCGGGAGGCACTTCTCGTTGCTTCGCATCCGCGGGCTTCTCAAAGGCATACCAGCGGTCGTGGCCGTTCTTCAACTTGTGCTTCTCCTGCCACTCCAAAATCGCATTGAAGTCCCGACATTGTTTGCGGATGGCAAAATCTGGAAAGGGAGACACTTGCGTTTCACGCCAGTTGTAAGTCACGGTATCCACGTCAGCATGGCACATTAGATTCTCCAACAATGCCCCCATGCAATGGTTCAGATGCATGGCAAATGTTACGGGGGGCTCTAAGTCATAGCGATCTCCCCAATAGTATTGATAGTTTGTTATCAACCCTTTACGGAGGGCATTGAGACAATGAATCTGATGGAATGCGTCAATCTCTACCATCCATCCTGAACCCCATTCCTCCGACCACCACTCAGTGGGAGAATGGATGGCTAGCATAGGGTCCTTTCCGAGGCGGCGGACGTCTGTCTCCGAGATACTGTGCAGGCCAATGTTGGATATCCGATCCCAAGCAGCGTCTACCTCAGGGGATGGTGGCAAGCGATAGATATCTCGGGGATCTGATATGTTGGGGAAAAGTGGGATATGAAGCTCCTTAGATATTGCGGGGATATGGAGGCGATCAAATATTGGTGCTTTGGGAAGGTCAATATTGCGATACCCTTATCAAGAGAGCAGAGAACATACAATAGCCTGATGTCCATCGAAGGAGAGTATTCCCTGAGGAAAAGTAGAGAAAGCAGATTCCCATTGTGCAGATATTGGTTGCTAGGACCAATCCAGCAATCATAAAACCCACTAATCGCCGGCGAGACACCTGGACAGAATCCCGGATGTTCCAGGTTTCTAGACGGCCAGACTGTCCATCACGTAAGAGCGAGTGCTCGGATGAACTCCCGTCTGTTAAATCCGAGGATTCTTTGTCTTCTAGCTTCTCATATGTTTGACCTTTTGAGAGATGCATGGCCTACGGATCGTGTTGAATGATGGCCTAAAGACAGAGGTGGGATATGCAGTAAGGGAAGAAAGAGACAGTTCACGGAGAGAATGAAAGACACTAATTCGAGTTCTCGCCGAGACTAAATAATTGGCCATCAAGCTTTTTACTTTACGACGTCCACGTCTTCTCGTCTTCCGTTATCTGCGATGAGCAGTCGAGATAATAGCTATACGATACGATTTGGCAAAAATGGGGGCCAAAAGGTCACGGCCAGATTGGGGTATGTATGGGGACCTATTAAATGTCTCACACGCCTCATCGCTGTAAAGTGCGCAGTGACTTGTCACGGACTATGACCGAAATCAGACTTCGTAACGCGGTTTGGGCTCGTCGATGACTGCATTATCTCACCCTTCACTGTCACCTTCTTGCATGAAATACCACCTGAATATTGACTAATTCAGTAACTCAATGCTTCCATGATAAAGCATATGACTATTTTGGCGTCATTTTGTCTTTGCATTAGCCTTTGAGGGCTTTTTTGGGGCATGTCAAGACTTTTATAATGTGGAGCAGAACCCCACGATGTAACAGTTACGACTGTAATATAAGCCCAGATCCGTTTGATAAGTTTCGTCATTTATGTTCTCGTATAACATTAAAAGTCGTGCTTGACATGCCACATCGGATTTATCATCCACACTAACAAACTATAAGACAGGGTAGTGCCGGAGTCTATGATTCGATTCATCACACTCAGAGGCATCCTCGCTGGTATATAAGAAAAACGGAATTGTTTGTTTCAGTTTTAATTCCAAAGGCCTATAAACCTAGTTCAGGCATCAAATTTTATTCTTGAAATCATCATTCTCATCATGCGACTTCAAGTCATCGCTGCAGTGCTTGCCCTGAATCTGGGCTTGACTCAGGCTAGGGCCATTCCGAAGCGTACTGGTAATTCGTTTCCCTTTTTTATTATTGGTTCTAAATAAGCCCTAGGCAACGATGTCCTCGGCCGTACTGTCCAGGCTTGGGGAGGTGATCTGAATGGTATCGAGGTTGATGCCACTGAGCAGTCAGAAAAGCGTACTGTCCAGGCTTGGGGTGGTGATCTGAATGGTATCGAGGTTGA